ATCATTTAATTTATTTTTTTATTTGTTAAATAATAAATAAAATATAAGTTGTCTGTAATTAATTTATTTGAAATTAATTATTCATATGATGTTAATTAGTAAATGACAATTTTTCTTTTTTTGCCTAAATTTTTCAATATATTTAATATAAAAATCTTTTATAATATACAGTACAATGAATCTGATATTTTAACTGAATTTCAAACAACCAGAGGTCTCAAAGCTCTGTGTTATTGTCTATACTTTATTGTAAACTCTATAATATAAACTCATATAATTATTTTTGCCACTAAAGACATGAAATTAAACATTTAATATTTATTTATTTATTTAACAAATAGCTGTTATATTATTAATTATACATATTATATTGTACATATATTATTACTATATTGAATAATTAAAAATATAATTTTAAAGTATATAAATATCAAAAAAATTATATCTAAAAATGTTTTGCCAATTATAAGGTTGTTTAATTAATACTACAATAATTCATTTTATTGTTAACATGTATTTTGATAAAAATTTATATAAAATAGTTTGTGTTTGTAAAATGTGTTTTTTATTTTCTTTTTTATTTAAAAATAAAAGTACACAATAACTATGATGTAATTATAATTTATTTTTATTTCTCTTACTTGGATAATCATAAATGATTTATTAAAATTGTGTTTTTAATTTATTAAAGCTTTCAATGAATTGAATAACAATATATAAACTTTTCATTATTTACTGTATAACAATAACTAATCTTTTTCCAACAAAAATCTTATATATATATTACAAATATTGATTATATTATACAAGATTTGTAATGTTAGCAACAATAACATTATATATCTTATTAAAGGTTAAGAATTTATATACAAAAGAAATTAATTCATTAATATTTTGTTTAATTTTTTTTTTGGCAACGAATAATCAGCAATAAATTTAAGTAAAATATTTTTCTATTATATGCATCATTATTGCAATTTGTATGTTATTATTGTATATATACAGTACATATGAAAATAAAACGAGAAATTAAAATAATAAAAAATAAAAGCATAAATTGCTAGAAATGACTCCCAAATGAGTTTTATTTCTCAAGAATTTTGCATTTCCTAAGCACTCATTAGTGGCAAACATTTGCAATCATTTTTCACTTATTTTCATATCAATGGCTTATAATAAGCAAATTGCTTTTTATATGCTGTCAAATAATTTTTGTAATAATATTATTCCTATTGTAATTCTTTATGTATACATATCAGTATAATAGTTAATAAATAAATAAAATATAATTGATATAATATACAACATTGTAAACTATAAAAATGTTACTCATATTTATGCGACCATTTATGTTATATTGTGTATACAAACAAACACATATATCCTACTGTTTCACTAAAAATACATATAACAATGTTCAAACTGTATGACAATATAATGACATTTGTTATAAATTTTTTGTTAGCAAATGAATTATTGTTATATTTTTAAAGAATATATGATAAGAAATTGTATTATTGTTATTGCTATTCACTGTAGAGATCATCAAGAATTAAGAAAATAAAAGGCACTAATTTTTGTTCAAACTTTTCAAATCTATTGCTTAGAAATTTTGTTGTTATGTTTGTCGTTATTATGTGTGTTAAGACACAGACTGTTTTGATGGGTTTAATAGTAATGGAAAGGCATATACTGTATATACTGTATATATATTATAGTATAGTACAGTACATCTGCAATGAAATGTCTTAATGTACCAGAAATGATATACGAGTCCTATGTCTAGTCGTATGCTTGCTATAGCTTTCATAGAGTGACTAAATCTTTATATTGACAAAAAAATTAAATTATATTTAAATTAATTTATGAAAACTATTTTTTTAAAATTAATGTTAAGGCAAACCATTTCTATTTAAATTTATTCTAATTTAATTTAATGAAAAAACATTTTTGTATATATTTTTATATATTTTTTTTGTTAAATTGAAATTTTTATTTTTTTTAAAAATTATTTTGAACGTTTGGCCATGCTAACATTATTTTATTTTATTTTATCACTGATAAATAGATATATTTAATAATTTTTATATAAATTATTATATTCAGTTTATTTAATATTTTATAAATACAGTATATCTGATAATAAAAATAGCAATATAATAATGAAATTGTTAGACAAAAAATATTTCTAAAAAATAAAATTTTTAATATAACTGTAGCGAAAATTTATGTTAAAGATAAAGATAATAAAGTATTATCATTAATCGTTTAAATAATAAAAATAAATATATATACTGTATAATTAATAATTGTTAAAAGGTTTCATATATTTATTTTCTGTTTTTATATGAAATTTAAACATTACATATATAATAAGTATATTTAATATGTTGTTTTGATTGTTAAAAAAAGAAAAAACATTTGTAAATTTTTTTGTTTACTTTTTATATTTATAATATTTTGAATGCAATTTTATATTTTATAAAATATAATATTTGTCGCGTTTTACGGGTGGTAATGACATATACCATCTCAACATTACATGTCATCAATTGTTGAATCCATACAAATATTTTTTTTGTGTGTATATAACATTTAGTAAATGCTTTCATTTTTTAAAAGGGTTTAACAAAAATACTTATGAAATATACAATATATGATATATAAAAATACATAATAGGTTTACTGCACTTACAGTGTGTGATATCTTATAGAGTGTATTATATATGTGATTGAAGTATCTCTTTCTTTCTTTTCTCTCTCTCTCTCTCTCTCTCTCTCTCTCTYTCTTTCTTTCTTTCTTTCTAACTTTAAGCTAAAATATTAAATAGTAAGAGTCAAACGCATAGTTATTTATTTGATAGCCCTGTGCTGTAAGCAAACTATTAAATGTTGTTATACACAATGTTATAGTAAACTATTACCTAAAAGGACCCATAGATTAGAGATAATGGCAGTGAATGGCACTGACTTTAGCCGGTGATCGAGTGTCCGACTATTCGTTTACTACACTCAACGCAAAAATGCATATTTAATTCAATCCCTGAGAAAATAGCCATTTGTTTAGTCGATGCTATTATATAATGACCTACCACTGCTCCACTGGGAAATTGTGTGCTATATTATATTTATTTATTTTGAAAAAGTCAATTGCCTTAAACATTGGATTATTTAAATAGAAGTCATAAAAATTTTTTCCCAAACTTATGTCAATTTACCGGTAATTGTGTCTACTATTTGTAAAATATATAAAAATATAACAAAATATTGTGTTTATGCTACGTTTTGTTAACTCAATTTGAATCTTTAAAGTCAATGCAATAAATGCTTAAATAAAAACTTTAATAAAATATTTATGTAATCTCTAAAGTATTGTCTCAATGCTTTTGGTTTATTGTTTTAATGTTTTTGGTTTTTATTATACAATAATACTATTTGTTTATTGTATAAAATAATAAAATTATTAAAAAGCGTAAACTATTTATTTTGTTTTCTATATAATTAAACTTTTTTTTTACTATATATTTATTATATTATATTATTATTAATATTGCTTTATTTTTTTATTTACACTACTTATTATACCATAAGGTTTAATTAAATTTTGTAGAGATATTAAATTAATAAGTTTACTTTAAGAATACAATTGTTGTCAACAAATATATCATTTTTGTTTTGCTTTTTCTTTATATATACTATATATACCTGTATATACTGTACATATATTATATTTAACGTATTAATGTAAATATAAATTATATATATACCGCATATATATATATATATATTGTTTTGTTGCTGTAGCAAAATACAATATATTATTAAATTTATTTACAAAATGCTTTATCTATAGTATTATATTTTTATATACTATATAATTGTATTTACTATTTATTTTGTAAGATAAAAACACTAAAAAATTTAATTTGTTAAAATTAAAAATAGACGTGGTTGTAATATAATTAAATGCATAATACATTATAATAAGATAATGTACTTATAATAATAATAATAATAATTTTATTTTATTATATGTAATTTACTAAATGTTACAAAATATGAATAGAATTTTAAATAAAAAATATTTTCAAAAATTTAATTATATTTTTTATATATTATTAAATTTATAACTTTAATAAAGAGAATAAAAATAATAATGAACTTTTATTGAATTTATTTTTTTTAAATGAATGATATAAAAATTTTATAAATTTTACTAAATTGAATAAACAATTTTTTTGTAAAATAAAAGATAATAAACATTTATATATAACAACAATTTTTAATTATTAAACGTAATATACACTTTAAAAGACAAATCTATCGTTTTATTGATGAAACATCAAAGAGTAAAACCAAATGTTTTCTTTAAGTCAAATGATATTATTTTTTCTAAAACACATATAAGATGTGATTTTTTTTGGTTGTTTAGGTTATAGGGAAAGAGTGAGTAACTATTTAGAGCACTGTTAGCTACGGATAGTGTTGTAAGAAATTTGGCGGAAAACAGAATAACGAGAATATTGTCGGATAGTGTCTGCGCTTAAAAACTCGTGGATGTGTTTTGCAGTCAAGAATCCCACGATTCTCGGGAACGGCAGTTGAGAGCAGATGTTTGTGTCAACTCGTGAACAGTCGCTCCTCTCCTCTTCGCTCACTCTCTCAACTCAAGCGTATATATAGTCTACACTTTTGGCTTTTCATTGCTTTTGTATGTGCGGTATATGTTATATGAGTTGTCATTGTGTTGTATGTGCTGGTGGTGCGAGTGATAGGCTATGTTGGTGTCAGTGACTGTAAAACACTGCAATTGTCTTTCATTTAAAACTATTAAAAAAGCCGACGCAAGACACCAAACCTCTTTCACTTCAAATAACTTATTTTTATCAAATAATTGACTGATTATTCAAACGGTTCGTCCTTTTGCTCAGAAATAATAGCTTTTCATATATTAGTTTCAATTGTTTGACTGACTGATGGACTCGAAAGCCGAATTAGATTTCAATAATTATTATTTTTATCTAATGTCGATATAAAAATCATAAAATACTGGTATATCGATAAACAATTATTATAATTACTATTATCTTTAATATATCAATAATAATAACTATTACAAGAATAATAATAGTAATAGTAATGATAATAACTATATATTTGGTGTTTCATTACATTTAAGGTTTTTATTAATAATATTTTTGTGTTATTTTGGTGACTCGCAAGAAATTGTAACGTTATCTTTAATCTTATAATACAGTATAACAATAATCTATTAATCTATTATTATTATTATTATTATTATTATTGATATATATAGTATATGTAAGTGCAATCATATAAATACACATAAATTTAATACACACATACAGTACATCATACAGTTTAATATATTTATGAGTTATGTTTAGTATTATTATTATTATTGTTTGTTTCGGGGAAAGGGTTACAAAATGCTAAACACGTCGACAAGATTTATACGGACACCCAATTATGACGACTTGTTTTTCTTTGAAGATGACTGTAAGTTATGAACACTTTTATTGTAACTTATTTTTGTTGTTATATTTTGATTGTAACCATTCAATTGAGTTGTTATGTAATACTGTGTTATATAAATAAGTTTGCTTAACACACAAATACTAAACATGTCAAATATTATTTGTTTGCATTTATACTTAAGTCTACTATTATTTTATTAATATTTTTTATTATTATTAATAATTGTTGGTATTAATTGTTGCTAACAAAACCATTTTTTGTAGATCTATTACAAGATAATTAATTATTAAAATTTAGATCTTATCTAATGTTATTTTTCATATTATATAACGGGTAAATAGTTTTTAGCAAATATAATGAATATTTAATTTTAATATATATATATGTTTTGGTGATCACTACTATTTTATCCTTTTATTATGACTTTTGAACTTAACTATACACTTGAAACACATTTTAATGTATATAATTCGATAAACAGTATGTTTTTCAGTACTTAAATGTATATACTGTTAATATATTGCATAAGAAAATATTTTATAAATTATTTGCTCTAACTTTGCAAATCAATAAATAAATAGATATTAATCATATTTTAAAAAAGTTATGTCAGACTTTATATCAAAAAATTTCTAACATTAATCTCATTAATGATTAATAATTGAATTTTAAAAGACGTTTAAATATATTTATGCTGTGATATGACTTTCATTAAAATTTATGACAGTTTTTATAGAAATTTTTGTTGCAATATATATACAATATTAAAAAAGTTAACAATATTTTATTACATGTGTTATTTTAGAAAAACTTTAATTTTTTCCGTTTTATTATATAAATACATTACATTAGAATTATTATAACAAAATTATAAACAATCTAAAAATTAATTTTTAAATTATCGGAAATTTATTATTATTAAAACAAATTATTTGWTTTTTCTGATTTTTTTTTGAATTTTTTTTAAATCGCGGAAATACTAGAAATATTAGTAATTTTTATTCATATTAAAAATAGATATTAATTAATTCTAAATTGGTTGTAATAATAATAAGTTCATATATTTTTATCTATATGTTAAAAAAAATATATTGAAATATACTTTAAAAATAAAACTACTGTATAATATTGAACAGTTAAATTAAATCAATAAACTGATATTTATAGAAATTTATTGTCGATCCGCAACATTGATTAATTTGAATATTTATTATCATTAAACTGTATATCTGTTTAATATACTGTTTTTAATGCCTGATACCTGTATATACTTGTGTATTATTTTTTTACATTGCAAATACTGTAATTATAAAAAACTTTTAAAAATATTAAAAACTTATTTAAGTGATTAAATGACATTAATATTATAATCAATGCATAATCAACGTTGATACATACGTTGCATTTAGTACATAACATTTTTATAATACAATATTAATAAATAGTAAAACAATATACAGTATAAGTAATATAAATTAATGATTGTTAGGTTTATTTGTATTTCCAATGTATTTGACTATTTATCATCTAATATATTGCGAGTCATTTCCCGAATCCCGGTTTTTTCTATATTCCCTCACAATAATTGCTTGTCTGCCCTAATATGACTGACCAACACATCTAATAAAACGAGTAAAGAGATCCATAAAAATAAATAAAAACTACTATTTATAGGAATCGCCTAAAGGGCTAAACAATGTCTGCACTGACTCATACATACCACACATTTTCTTAAACTTTTTATTATTTTTCTTTTTCATTGAAATATTTGTGTTGTCTGTCATTTTAATAGACCCATTGGCTACTCATTTATTCCCTGACAGTCCTTACAGTATGCTCTCTCTCTCTCTCTCTCTCTCTCTCTCTCTCTCTCTCTCTCTGTGTTTGTGTAATATTTTGATCAGTTATACATTACATTTTAAGACTATTCTCAGTTTTTTTATATCACTCAACACAACACATAATACAAAACATGTAAAGAATTGACTGATTCTCTTCGGTCTTCATCTCATTCTTTATCATAAATAACGAAAGAAAAGGCTTTTCAAATGAAAAGTTGCCTAAAATTGCATTCATGAATACCAATGGATAGTTAACAGTGAATGAGAGGCCACTGATATATTGACAGTCACACTGTGCACTGGGATATGATTGTGTATGTGTATGTGTATGTGTATGTGTATGTGTATGTGTATGTGTATGTGTATGTGTATGTGTATGTGTATGTGTATGTGTATGTGTATGTGTATGTGTATGTGTATGTGTATGTGTATGTGTATGTGTATGTGTATGTGTATGTGTATGTGTATGTGTATGTGTATGTGTATGTGTATGTGTATGTGTATGTGTATGTGTGTGTATGTGTATGTGTATGTGTATGTGTATGTGTGTATGTGTATGTATGTGTGTATGTGTGTGTGTGTGTATGTGTGTGTGTGTGTGTGTGTGTGTGTGTGTGTGTGTGTGTGTGTGTGTGTGTGTGTGTGTGTGTGTGTGTGTGTGTGTGTGTGTGTGTGAGTAAGTTAAGGAAAGTATTGTGTATGTGTGCTGAATGTAGAATATTCTGTGGGTATAAATGAAACAAAACCAACACAAGAAAAGAAAAGACACTCTCTATTACTGATATGTGAAGTGTTGGACTAACTCTTTCATTGACATTAAAAATTGTTACACTTTTTTGTCAATAAATAAACTATATATCTATTATAGACATCATCTCATGGAAATGTATTCAACAATAGCCAACACATGATACTAACTGAACAAAAAGATATCTATTGGCACCATTAAAAATAACAATAATTATAAAAATTGTAATTTTTAATCAATCACTACTATTTTGTTTTTAATTTTAATCAACAAATCACTTTATAATTTTTAAAAATTATAAAGTATTTATTATTATTAATAACTACAGTGCTATAACTTATTTAAAATTGTTGGATGCATATTATGTTTTTTAAGTTAATATTTTATATTATTGCTTATTTTTGGTTTTTTCTTATGGCGCAAACAGCAATAAAAGATTATTATTTTTATTTTTATTRTATAACATGATTTATATTGATGAAAATAAGCATATACTGTGTAGGGTTACATTTGAGGAAATTTCCTATAAGTATACACATAAATCGCGGTCAAACATCATTATAAGTTATATTTACTTAATTCAGTAAATAACTGTTATGTGATATAAATGTATTTACAATAATATCTTCATAAATATGTTGATTGCATTTAAATGCTATACTATATATATATATATATTATTCTAAATAATAATGTATTTTTTAGTGATATAATAATCAAATTTTAAAAATAAAATTCAAACAGATATTTATATGTATCGTATATATTACATATATTTAGCAACAATTCTAAGTGAATATCTATTGTTTCATTGATACACTTTAGCTAAAGTGTATATTATACAGTATATATCTACAGTATATATATATATATATATATATATACCGGTATAYTATTTATAAAATTATAACATATTGATACACATTTATTGTTATATTGTATAGTCTATAACAATAGCAATCGATATCAAGAAATGAATGTAAAGATTATAGTGTTTGTGTTTTACTACTACTACTACTACAGAATGAATGAATGAAATAAAAGTTTATTTCTATTTTAAAAACATTTCTCTCGTTTTACGATTCAATAGCTTTCTCTTGAGTCGTGACTTCTGGTCATATATTTATAGTAAATGTTTAAAGTTTTATATTTTTTTCTTTCTATTCAATTATTATCATTGCTTTTAATAATATAAAACCATAGTTTTTACCGCAAAATACACTTATTTTTAGGCTTCTCGTTACTCTCTCTCTCTCTCTCTCTCTCTCTCTCTCTCTCTCTCTCACTCACTCACTCACTCACTCACTCACTCACTCAATAAATATATCTTCTTTATCTCTTAGGATTAAGATTGTTGTTAACACATAGATAATTACTTACACTTCAAAAATAAATGTTTATGTTTATTGAATATTGAAAATTTTTATTATAAATTTTAATTGTACGTTTTTAAGCTTAATAAATTTAATTAATTAATTTTRAATAAATTTAGAGTGCATATCTACAGTATTGTTAATATAATTCATAGCTTATATATTTTTTATAAATATATTTAAAAATTATATAACTTTTAACGCAATAATCAGGTATAAAACATTTTATGATTAATGATTGTACGGCGATGTGTGTGTATATATAAATGTTATATAAAAATAGGGACATAAAAATGTATTGAAATTGAAAACAACTTTGAATACATATTAAAAGTGAAAGCATAATACGGTATAATAATATTTTAAATCATATATCAATTGTTTGCAACACAACAGCATAAATGAATTTTTGTATTTTTTATAGTATATTGCTTTTTATATGTTATCTATTAGTGAATACTCCCTATACTGTATAAACATCCATTGCCTGTATATACTGTATTGTAATTTATATAAAACCTCATAACATACTATTTAGAATATTATAACAACAAAAATATATTATAGTCTATATATTTTGAAGTAAATTGTGGAAAATTTTCTTTCATATTTAAACATTATTTATATATAATACCAATATTAAAGCTAAATTACATAATACTGTAGAAACACACATAATATAAAAGGATTTGAGATTATTTGTATGACAACACCTCCTATACAAACAAATAATAGGCAATCATATAATATATTGGTATTTGTGTTGTTTTTGTGTGTTTCTGTTATCATATTTGCAATGAGAGACCCATTGAATTCAGAGCTCCAGGATTTCAATGATATATTTTTATATCTTTATTTATTGACTAATATTTCTTTTATTTTCCGTATGCTATTTACTATATTATTATTAACAAAGATATTAGTAGTGATCATATTTAAAGAAATAATGAGTCAGAGAGAGGGTTAACAATCATTGGTGTGCTTTCATCAGTGATTTGTTTCTCACTATTGTTACGCTCTAATTGATGCCAGAAATTGACCAAACAATGTGTGTGTGTGTGTGTGTGTGTGTGTGTGAGAGAGAGAGAGAGAGAGAGAGAGAGAGAGAGAGAATGTGTCCCATAGTTTTTCTAACTCAACCTTAAATATCTGGACATTATTTGCTTCTAAGCACTAGTAGATACTAAACAGGGAATGATAGAGAGAAAGAGAGATATTAATAGAGAGAGAGAGAGAGAGAGAGAGAGAGAGAGAGAGAGAGAGAGAGAGAGAGAGAGAGAGAGAGAGAGATGAATAGTAAGGCCATCATTTCATTACAGGATTTTATTTTATTATTAATCTCTATCTCACTGTAATATTGGCTCATTCTATGCCATCAAACAAATACCATATTATATATAATAAAATAGTTTCCACACAACAAGTCTAACGCCTAACAAAAGTTTGTGCATTACTTTAATCCAGTTTTTCTGTTTGTTGTCAAACTTGGCTATTGTTTTGCCGACAATAAGGTCCAGTGTTTGCAGTTTCAGTGATGAGATCCGGTATAGTGTTGGTTGTAAAAGTAGTAGTAGTAGTAGTGCTGAGTATACTCTATAAGCAATAGATTTTGACAAACCCTTATATTGTATATTAGAGATCAGCCAAACTTAATCAATAGTATAGATGAACTCATTGTAAAAATTTAATTTTTGACAATTTTCTCTAATATTATCCGGTTTTTACTCAGATTTTAATGTATTTTCTCAATCTCTGTCACTAATTGTTTGCTTATTTGTCAACTCTATTCCGATAAACTATTTGCTGTAGTCATGAGATTTAATTTAAAAAAATATGTTTATTTAATAYACATTAGTAGATATAATAATGCATTAAATATTATAATTTAGTAAACTGTATAAATACGATGTACGATATAAAAATTAATATAATTAAAATAATGTATGTTTGCTAAGTTTATAAAAATAATATATTGTAAAAATATATAGTTGTTTATAATTTTWAAAAAATCATTTCACTAAAAATTTAAACAATTTCATAAGTCTTTTAGATTTATAAAAAAATGACAATTTTACTAAAATTTTATAGAAAACTTGACAAACGTTTTTTTGTGTTAAACAAATATATTAATGTGATTTGTATTACTGTATTTATTTTATACTATATTCTACGGTACTATTAATATACATATATAGTATATAAATAATATTATTATTTAAATATGGATTATATATATAATTTATAATAATGTATTTAATAAATTATTCTTTATACAGTATAATTATGTCAATAAAATGAATTAATAAAAATAGCTAATAAATTATATTCATTATTATCATTAAATTATATTTGACTACATTTACAGTTTATATCTGGTATTGATTTGCTAATCATAACATTATTTGCAATTTTATAAATACAGTATATATTTTACATTTGCGTGTCATCTTTTAGTCATTAATTTTAGCACAACATTTAAAAATTGTAATAATTATATATAATAATTGTTTATGAAATAATTTATATAGTTAGATTGTAAAAATAATTAGCTATTTTATATAGTATTATATACCCTATTAATAAACTATAATTAGATCTAAAATTTTAATTGTATTAACAAATGTTACTTTTTCATAGTCAGCAAAACATTTGAAACCAATTTATTGCTATATTACGTGTATATACATTATTTGCAATATATTTATGAAAAAGTTAAATTTATAAAATTCTACATATATGATATCATATAAATGTAAATTTAATTAATTATTGTTATTTAAAAATTGTCCATACTCGTAAAATATATTGAATACTACATAAAATATTATATGATTCAAAAATATTTTATCGTCTAATTAATTTTATGTCAAAATTATTTTTAATAAATCATTTATATCATGATTTATATATCCATAAAGTATATTATAAAAATATAGAAAACGAGAGAGAAAATGGTGATCAATTAAATTCAATAAAATAAATTTAATATGTAAATTTATAATCTAGATTAATTTATAATGTTTATTTTAATTATATATTTTATTTAACTAGCAATTATTTTTATTTGTTTTTTGTATAATATAATTAAATAATAATATCTACTGTTTTTACGCATCTAAATAAAATTTATTTTAATGAATTCAAATATATAAAGATTTTATTATCTACTTTAAAAAATAACAAAATAAAATAGCATTTGCACTAAGATTTATATAAGGTTTTTCATTAATTTAAGTTTTAAAAAAATACTATGTAGTCTATTAATATAACTAATATAAATTTTTATTATTAAAAACTTTTTTTATACAAAAATAAACTCTAATTATAGAAAATACTACACTAAAGCAATAAAAATATTTTCCGATGCATTAAGATATCAAAATAATATTCATTAAAATTTTATATTATGGGTTGTGAGAGAATATATGTTAAACCCAATATTATTTATAATATATTTTAATTGAATTAATGGATAATTTTTAATGAAATTTACTAATCAATAGCAGACATCAAAAATATATATAATTTAATAATAGCCTTTCATTTATTGTGTCATATTATATTACTCATAAATAATGCCTTAATATTATATATATATATATATAGTAAATGCCAAATGTTTATGTACTGTACATATATATATATATATATATATATATATATATATATAGTATATATATATATATATATATATATATATATGAAATGATAAAATTAAAAAAGTAGACAAATAAAGTTATAAAAGTTTAATAAATAAATATTGATTATTTGATTAAAATATTTATAATTAATTTATAATTATTTATAATTCTGCAAATAAAATTTGATATTTTTAAAATTTATGTTTTCATAATTTGCTAAATTAGACATTAAATTAATTTTTATTATTATAATTTGTTTATTGCTTTGAAGTAAATATTAATTTAATCTGCTTTTATTGACTCTTAAAGTTACTAAAAATTGAAATATCATTATATTCTAAATTTATAATATATACAATATTTTATATAAATAAATATATATATATATATATACGGTATATAAGTTTATATCTTAAACGTAAGTTTTTAGTGAATTTATGGCTGTAAATTAAAGTATAGTATTCAGAATAAATACTATTACAAACATTTGGCTTATAATTTAAATATTATGTTTAGCAAATTGCTTATATATAAATTTTTTATATATAAAACTATTAAATATAAACACAACTTTACTCTTAAATATTAATATAAGACATTATGACAAATATTTAATGCAAAATGTTTGTGAAAATTATAGAAATAATATTTTTGTCTAATATTTGAGATATTTACTTAAATTTCTTTTAATTACTTTTTGTTTTGTATATAGTTTGTAGTATTTGTTTAAAAAACAAACCAATTAAATATATAACTGCAAATTTAAGCAATAATTAAACTTTTAGCTGATAAGACATAAGGAAATTACTGAATAATTTAATATGTTTTTCATTAAACATGATTATTGTCATTTAATTCACAAAAAAAATTAAAAACATTATTTTTGATGCAATAGTACCGCCAAAAGTGAAGATTGTGTCTCATTTTGCGAGTCCACCGCTTGTGGCCAACTGTAGCCGTACATCGACTCAATGTTTGGTTACGCCAACCCTTCCCAATATACTTGTCTGGTGGACATTTCGCGGCGACAACGCCAGCAAATTGCCATCGGTTCACATTAGCCGGACGTCGCCTAACGAGTGGAAACTGTCGATTGAATGCGCAACACTCCACCATTCGGGCACCTGGGCCTGTCACGCAGCACTGGCCAATGAAACACAACGGGTCTATCGCAAAGAGGCCGTCATTCAGGTTTACGGTAAGTTTGACTCAATGAGTTAATTATGTACTACTTTTAATGTATATTTACCGATGCAATCAATTTACGGTTCACACCATTTGATTGAGTGATATCTTTACGTATAAATGTGTTTGTGATGTCACACACACACAGAGGGCTAGCAGTTGAACCAAACATCTATTTTTCCCTCTCTTATCATTCATTCACTGACTTACTATAATATTGGTTAAAACAATTGAAGCACAAATCACAGGCACTGCCCTAATCGTGTTCACACATAACAGATACACACTTACACTCCGGTGCTCTAAATTAGTTTCACTTAAACACAATCTTAAGATACATAAGCTCTGAGACCTATGCCATAGTATTAATGAATAAAGCGGTAAAAATAAAATAAATAAGTCGTTTTACTACCAGTGCTCAAAAGTTAGACTGTGCTATGAATAGTCTTAATCTCATGTCATTTGTCATCATATCTCACCATTTTTTATGTAGCAATCAATTGTCTTTATATATCTATTGTGTATATTGTAATTACAAACTTTAATTATAAACTCAATGTACTAAACGTGACAATAGTTTCGTTAATTTATTACATTCACATATAAGTTATATTTATAGTAAAACCATTGTATAAATTAATGTAAATTATTCTTATATTTTAATTTATTATATTAGTGTATAATTTTGCGTTTTGCACAAATATATTATGTTAAATAAATTTGATATTTGATTTTTCAAAATAAATTATGAATCAAAGTTTTGTTTGTTTAAGTTGATATGGTTTACAGTTTACTTAATGCAATAATATTAGAAATAGTTTGCTTTCTACACTTATATATACATACAGTATATAAATTTATATATGCCTACAGTTATTTGTTTGGTAATACTGTATAAGTATAGCAAAAAAATAGTAAAATGAACATAAAGACAATGTCAGGGTCATTTATTGGGCATTTATTGGGCATTTATTAACATTTATTTTCTATTCAAATATTACATTAGTTCTTAAATCATTGTTGTGTGACATTTGATTTAATGCAATAAAAACTTTTGTTTTGTCTAATATAAATGACAAAAATACAATTAAAACAGTGTTTTGCTGTTTTGTGTGTTAAAACAAATACAACAGACATTTTCTTTGCCTTTTAAGATATGTTTTTGTCAAATATGATTATATTTAATGACAAAACTGCTGTCAAAACATATACCCATATAATAGACTAATTCAATAGTGAGTAAACTTTAAGAATACATTAGCAGTTATCTTAAATTTGAGAAAAATAATATTAAAGAAAATAGTTTATACATATATTTAATATAATTTATAATATATATATATATATATATAAACATTAAAATAAAATACATGGGTTTTAATATATTTTAATAAGCAACGTACATTTAATTTTGACATTAATTTTCATTTATAATGACAAATATGAGTAGTATATTTATGCATAAATTCTCAATAATAAAAACTATATATAATAATTTTTATTATATAATACTATTAAAGCAAAAAATAAGACAAAAAAGGAGAATATTATGGTTTAATTTATAATTATTAAAGAGAAAAGACATAACAATTATTTATATACAGTATAAATATCTTATAAATATAAAGAATATTCTTAGATATAGTGAGATATCATACATATATATATATTACTGACAAAACTAATAATATTAAGCAATGAAGTAGTAATTTTTGTTTTGTAAAGTAATAATAGTATTAGTAGTAGTTTTTTTCTGGGAATGGTTTATATGTATTGCACAGACAGATAAAAAAAGTGAGAATAAAGTGAAAGAGAAAATGCAAACAATATAAGCATTAAGCAAATGCACACAACATTCCTATTTCTGCCCATTATTTTGCATCAAATATTGTTAAGTGCTTTCCATTTACCCAAAAATTTTTAAAATAAGAATTTTTGCATATATTTAAACTTTTAAAATCTATTGTATAATGTACTTTATAAACACACACACATACATACATATACAAAATATATATTTAAAGTCTAAATCTATATTAAATACGTACATAAATATATAAAATATAGTGAATATTTAATTATTGTAAAAATTATTTATTAATTGTAAAAATTGTAAATTATTGTTTATTATAATAAAAAATTAATATATTAAGTAAAAATTAATTCAATTTACTTTAATGAGAAACTAAATGCTTATTATAAACTGTATGTTAAATGTTTTTATGCAATATTATTAAAGACTAAGTATAAGTATATTATGACATAAATAACAATTTAGTTCTTAATTAACTCAAACTATAGCCAAACATGTTGTGTGTGTCTGACTGTCTGTATTGTGGGTTAAATGCCAACCCATCTCTTGTCTTATTCTAACTATTGATGAAATATTCAGTAATATATGCTATAAGTGCTATTGTGAGTGAGTGAGTGAGTGAGTGAGTGAGTGAGTGAGTGAGTGAGTGAGTAAATTATAGTAAAATATAGGAGTGAGTGAGTGAGTGAGTGAGTGAGTGAGTGAGTGAGTGAGTGAGTGAGTGAGTGAGTGAGTGAGTGAGTGAGTGAGTGAGTGAGTGAGTGAGTGAGTGAGTGAGTGCTATGAGTGAGTGAGTGAGTGAGTGAGTGAGTGAGTGAGTGAGTGAGTGAGTGAGTGAGTGAGTGAGTGAGTGAGTAAATTATAGTAAAAAAAAATAGGGAAATTATTATTGAAGTGCACTTCAATCTAATAATAACAACAATAAGAGAATCGATTGTTTTTTTTCAATGAAAATTATTCAAAATATTCCGCTTCTTTGCTCTTTTTATATGCAATTTATAGTAATAATGATAATAATAATAAAGTCTTTAAGTGAAAATTCTGGTTAAAATAGATTTGCATAGATATTGAACTTTTTTGCTGAACAAATCATATCTTTTAAACAACTATATTATCTTACAATAAGTAAAAGCGTTTTTATATATTACTTATACAATATATACTGTATATTAAAAATTGAATAATAGTAAATTATATTGAAAAGTACATTTATAACAACTAAATAAATATAATCCATTTTATATGATTAAACTTTTTTATTTTAGTATTTTTCAATAAATACAACAAAATTATATATAATATATTATATATTCTAATATTCATTTTAAAGTTCATTATGTACGGTAAAATATAAAATTTTTTATTATTTGCACAAATTAATTATATAATTATTGATTCACACACTAAATGTTATTGATTTAACTAAAAAATAATAAATGCAATGTCGGCAAAAATCAAACGTTTTAATTCCTTGATATCATAGATATTACAAGTTTTAATATATGATAATTTCAAATTAATTATCACTAATTTTATTAATTTTTACATTTTTAAATTAATTATTTATAAAACTTACTATTCTTGATCACTTTTATTTTTTAATAAATAATTATTTTTTGCTAATTTTATCAGACAACCACTATATTTCGTAATATTATATGTTTTATTTGTTTTGCATTCATTTACAGTATGTCAACAATTATCGTTATACTGTATAATCAATTATACAAAACATGATATAATTATATTTTTTGTAACATTGTTATTTGTATTAATTACTTGAATGAAACAAAATTATTATTGTAATTATTTTATTATTGTAATAATACGCTTAACAACATATAAATTACTAATTTAGTTTATATATATACTGTATACATGTATATATATTTATTAATAAATAATAGTTAATAAATTAATTAACATGGTTTATATAGTTTGTGTTTATATATAATATGTATATATTTATTTTTAAAATCATTTACATTCATTTTGCGTACAAATTATTATTATTTGACTTATATTGTTAATAATGTAATGTAATTAATTAAAATTTACATAAAATAAATAGCCATTTTTTCAAACATTAAATATATAGTATTGGCATTAATATTCATAAATTTTCAAACAAAAGTAATAAAACGTTAAATATTATAAATTTTAGGTGTTATTCTTATATAACAGTTATTTTTATTAGTTTTCCAAATATTAAACAGTTATTAACAATTTATTAACTATGAATGATGTTTATTATATTTATAAAATTAATACTGAAAATATATATTCTTAAATAATATTATATATTTAACATAGACTTAAAAATATTTCATTTATTAATAAAAAAATATATAAAACATAGATTGTTATTTTAATACAAAAATATTTTAAAGTTTTTGTTAAATATATTAAAAATTATATAAAATTTTATGTATTTTTCTATTTTATTAGATTGTCTGAATAATACACATTTTTATAAATCTTTTAAGATTTTTCGTTTATAAGATTTGTCATTGTTTATAAATTTTAGTTTTTCATATTTAAAAAAAATTATTTTATTTTTTGATATATTTTTATTGTATTTTATTTATTTTTTTATATAAACTTATTATATTTTTGATATCTAAACAATAATGGCTGTATATACAGTAATATATAAATATATGACAAAATAAATTTTATAAAATATAGATAATAATAAATAATGTAACACTAAAAATATCCTAGAGCAACTTTTAGATAGTTGTTATTTTTGGAATACATAAAAACATGACATTTATTTTATATTTTAAACTATTTTGTATTTTAAATTATTTTTGTATTTTAAATTATTTTGTATATGCTCAATTTTCTATATTTATTTTATTTAACATAAAATTATTAAAATATAGATAAACGTATAGAATATGATATATTCTGTTAGAAAATACTCCTTATATTTTGAATTTTGAATGCTATTTTTGTCTTAATTTTTTTTACTAAACAAAAAATATTATAAATCATTATTATTATTATTATTATTATTATTATTATTATTATTATTATTATTATTATTATTATTATTATTATTATTATTATTATTATTATTATTATTATTATTATTATTATTATTATTAAAGTTTAACATTATTTTTTATCTATTTTTTATATAGTACTTTGAAAAACTATACGAAGCTTTACAATTGAAACTAACGATAAAAATAAATTGATATAAATTTGTTCTTTACTTATACTCATCGATCAAATAATTTTGTACAATAATATTTAATATGTGATTTAATAAGCATACAAATTATTATTTATTTGAAAAAAATTAAATAAAAATACTTGAGATAATAAAACTTGACAACAAATAATTATATTATAAAAAATAATCAGTTGAGAATGCTAGAAAACATTGTTCATAAACAAACTTTAATGGCGTAAAATACTTCATAAATAATTATAATCAGGGTTTTAAAAATGGTGGCATAAACAATAAATGCCAAATACCTGCCCTGTCTCTGCAGGTCAAGATGTGCAATACTTTTTAAAATAATCCTATAATACATTTAAAACCTTTCTATGAAATCAAAGTGAAAATTTTTAATTATTTATTTTTTATAATTTGGCCGCCATTTTGTCTATTTTCCTAATGTGATGTCATTTTTGATGTTCTAAGCGAATCTGAAGTCAGAATTTCAAAATTAGTAAATGGAATGCAACAGACAAACAGACAGACACACACACAGACATACATTACATTCCAGAAAACAAAATGTTTTCAAAGTTTGTTTGAAAATACAATTGATTTTAAAGTAATTATGTTATATTATTATTATAATAACAATTATATTGTATATTATAATATAATAGAATAGTTTTATTAATTGAAACATACATTTGTTTAAAAACAAATAGACTGTAGAGATATAGTATTTATTAATGAATATTATAGAATTTTTTTCTCAGATTCAGTAAATAAATCTATTGTATATTAGTATAGAATTTTTAATTAAATTTAATGTAAGTAATACTGACAATAAATATTGTATTGTTTTTTGTTAAATATATTTTACTATAAATTCTTTATATTAGCATCACTTAAGACTTTAGAATAAGAAACATGTTTTAAATTGTTTGCAACTCTTAAAACAGTGAATTCAAATAAAACAATAAATTTATTGCAATTTCTAAAACAAAATTACGATAAGACTATTACTATATAAATAAGATATATATTCAAAAAAGTAAATCTTTTAAATAAACTTACAATTAATTGTAGTCTACAGATAAATGTTAGATTGTTTCAAGCGTTACATTGTTTTGTTGTTTTTTTGTTACTGTCTTTTATCAACTCTAATATAAAAACAAAAGAAATGCTTCATTGAATGCGATTAAAGTATAATGTGTTTTGCGATTACAGTTATTTATAAATTTTTTATTTTAAGTTTTCACTATATAAAGTAATTTAAGTAATTTCTAAATTATATCTGATTTTTAATAAATAAATCATTTATAAACTTTTATATTATTATATTTATTTATTTTATTATATAGTATTTTCAGTCAAATAAAAAAATATAAACTCAAATTTCATAAAATCAGTTATTCATTATACAGTATATAGTTATTATTGTTTTTACTTACAGTTAACCACAAGAGTCAATCTCGACTCAAATGATAACAAATTTATTATTTTTGTTTTTTTCAGAATCTGCTTTTCATTTATTATTATTATTATTATTTATCATTTGTTTTATTTTTTATCAATACAATTGTACTAACTCTGCAATTTTATTAAATACTATACTACAATATTATATATATTACAGTCCATATAATTTTGATTAATTGGAAAAACGATTTCATTTTATATATATATTTAACTGTATATTATAGAGTTATAAGCCATAAGTCTTTATTATTTGCAGATAACAAAAAAGTGTATTATATTTTAACGAAAATAAATTAATTGCAATTAAAAGTGTGTTATAAAACAATGAAATTGCTTATATCATAATATATTTATATGATTGTTTAAATTTTATCCATAAAACTAAAATACATTATGCATTTGAGTTTTTAAATTAAATATTATGTAAATTTAATAATTTTTTGATTGCATCTATATCTATATATATACCAGTATACAATATTGAATTATAATTTTAATTAATATACACAATATATTTTATATTAATATTTATTACACATATTTGAATGCAATCATAGATATCTATATTATTATTTTGTTTAATTTATTGCATTTATTATAACATAAATTTAATTATAATTTTGTTTAATCTTATATTTTTAGTACCGGTCAGTATAGAAGTAGTTCCCAACAATGGTGTGGTTCGTCAACTAATTGGTAATACCGTACAACTGAAATGTTTGGTCACAACGTATCCAAAAGCAGTGATCAATTGGACAAAAATTGTCAATAATGTGGCCGTCAATGCCGTATCCGAAGATGATCAGAGACTTCGTATTGTCAATAGTGATGTAAGCGAGACATTACAGTCAACCCAATTGGTAATCGACAGCATCCGTGAGTCCGACAACGGGACGTATGTTTGTCACGCAAAGAATGAGTACAACAACCAAAGTGAAGGACATATGACACTTGTGGTCATACAAAAAGCTCAACTTTACTTTGAGAGGACACAAGCACTCAGTGCCCGTTCCCTACAACTGTTTTGGCGAGTGGTCACCGACGGCAACGCTGATATCACGGCATTCATATTGGAAATGAAAAATTACACAACAGATGAACACAATGATCAACAATGGCATCGTATTGATGCACACCTGGATGTCAATGCTGTACAAACCGGATCTTATCATATCGTACACTATTTAGCGCCGGCAGTCACTTACGGTTTCCAATTGGCCGCAATCAATAGTGCAGGTTTGTATGTGTATGTATGTATGTATGTGTGTGTGTGTGTGTGTGTGTGTGTGTGTGTGTGTGTGTGTGTATGTGTGTGTGTGTATGTGTGTGTGTGTTAAATAACTATGAGTTAACATTTAGCTGTTATTAATCAAAACATTTTAGTAAATGACAAACATATAGATAGAGTCACCCAACATATACATCACTTCTTAAGCTATCTGTTTTGATTTATTGAAAAAATACTCTTTTCTCTCTCTCTCTCTCTCTCTCTCTCTCTCTCTCTCTCTCTCTCTCTCTCTCTCTCTGATTTGTACATTTACTTACAAACTTATTTTCTTATCAATTGCCTGATTATATGACTTTTATTGACATTTACAGTACACTTATTATTTATCCAAATAATTCATATGGAATACATGTATTTAGTATAGTACTGCAAACATTTTTTTGAAAATCAAATATTTTTACTCATATTTTACTGATATACACATTTAAATACATAACTATGTGGATAAAATAATAGCTTTTTACAACTTATTAAATACAGTATATGTATTATTTGTATTATTGATTTGTTTTAAATATATAGACAACATTTTAGTGTATCTTTTTATAAATAGTATTATACTATTAGTATAATATAAATACAGGCAAAATATTTTAATAATTTATTAACTATTATATTAGGAAATATTGCTAGAAAATTGTCAATTAGAGATAACATCACATACTAAATAAATTATTAGTTTAGATTTAATATCAATATATTAGTTTTATTTTTCAATGTTTGTTAAAACACTTTATTTTAGAATTGTATTAAAAATTTGTTTGTATTTGTTTGCTGTTGACAACACATAAATCAGTTGATATATATTTAAACATATTTTATTTATTTCAGTTTAAGTTTAAGTTCAAATTTTTACTTATGTTTATATATATAAGTCTGTCTGACTCTCTCTCTCTCTCTCTCTCTCTCTCTCTCTCTCTCTCTCTCTCTCTCTCTCTCTCTTTCTTTCTTTCTTTCTCTCTATACCTAAAAGTATTATACATTATTGATGTGTTTGGTGTCCGCAAAAAATCACTTTCAATATCTTATGATAACATCGCAGAACAAATAGAAAACAACGTTTAGTTTAGTGTATATATGTGTGTTGTGTCTATAAATGCATTTAAAAACAACAAAACAAGAAATATCAAACAATATACAAATACTATAATATATAAATTATATATATTGTTAAACATTACAATTTTTTAATGGCAATTTCTCATATATTGCACGAGTCATAAATTTTTAACGATATGTTTGCCATAATATGAGAAATGGTTGTCTATTTTCTAACCCATAACTCCTTATATCGTTAGTCAAATCATTAGTTTTTCAATAATTATTGTTGTCTTAAGTTTTGTGTAAATGGTGTGATTAGACAAACTAAATGCCATAAAAACAATGTTATTGTTGTGCGGTTTTTAAGCGGCATTAAAACAAAACTATACAATAAATGTTTTTGTATAAAAATACACATTAAATAACAATATGCTTAATGATAGACAAATTGAGTGCAATTTTAGACAATTTTGAATTAAAAGATTGACTTTAACTAAATTTCATTAATTTTTATACACAGCTGTTGCCAATCAAACTATACTTTTAAAATAATTTATTAATATAGAGTTTTCATAAATAGTTTATTATTTTTCAGTTATAAATATAATTTATTTGAGTGACAGCTTAATTTTTATTTTGTATTAAAATTATTTTGTAAATATTATCAATAAATATAATAAATGTTAGACTTGTCTCATGTTTAACTTAATTGTCTAAATTGTTATAAGTATAATAGTATTGCAAAATATTACATGACTTTTAGTTTTGTTTTTTATTTTAATAGTTTTTTGTAAGTTAAACATAAATGTTATTTATTAACAACGACGAAAGTTATAAAAATAATTATTGTTACTTAAGATTTAATATAAAAAAAATATATTTGGAAAATCTATAATTATCTGTATATAAAGTTATAGATCTATAAATAATTGACAACATATATGATATCCAAATATAAAAACTATAATTTAATGATTATCTTATGAATCATTACTAATGAAGAAAAGATATATAAAAATCTTTTAATTACACTATAATTTGATTCTTATAAAAATAATTGCAAAATACATAGATGTGTCTAAATATAAAACAATTTTTCATATATACATATCAAGTCAAATAGTGGGAATGACACAAAAATCGTTATTAAACTATTATTTTAGCAAAAAGCTATATAAAAACATAGATATGGGACGACAACTCATTATTCACTTACAATGTATAAAGAAAACTATAATTAAATATCATATACTTTATACAACTTATAGTGTATAATATAATATATGCTAAAAGGAAAATTAGTCAATGATAAGACAATATATGATATGATGGGGAGTGGGATATAATATGATTACCGCATAACATAACAGTACTCCATTGAGGATATAAATTCAATATACAATATAAATCGTTGTCAAAATAGGTGAGAATGATTTTTTGGGTATAACTTCATTATTTAAAAGAATAAACAACAAAAAATTAACTGGTTTTCTGTTACCATTAAATTGAGTGAACCAATACTTTGAATAAACACCGGTATGTTAGCTCAGGGAGGTAAGATATCTCAGGAATTACTAGAGATATTAAAAATTTATTAATTCTAAATTATATTAATTTAAAAATAATTAGACACGTATTTTATCATATTTAGATATACTAAATAGTTATCGAGTAAAATGAAATTTCAAATTTAAATAAAACAAGAATAACAATGTATATCAAATGCAATTTTTTCTATAAGTAATTTATTAAAAATAAAATCTATTTATTTTGATTTGTTAGCTTATGTATTTTTGAGATATTTATAAAAATAATTTTTCCAATAACAATAATTTATTAATTAATATTAAATGTATAATAATCCCATATATACAGAATACTCACAGTATTGGTGACAGAAAACTATAGTTGCATTTAAAATATTTGAAACAAAGAAATAATATCCACAAAAAACCATTCCCACCTATTTTGACAACGATTTTAAATATACTTTATATATACTGTAAATATATAAAATCAAATTTAACTCAAAAAAGTTAATATAATTTTCAAAGTTTTTATTATAAGACAAAAAAATTTTGGGCATTCAGTAAAATACAAAATTTTGATTACAATTTCTATATATTTATAAGAAAAAAATATGATTACAAATTGGAAATTATAGAAAATTAATTATAGGGACAGACAGATACTGGGGACCAACAAATTGACACAATATGGTTATCACTATTTATTAACTCAACTCTATGTTCAATCAATAAATGCTATTTATATATAATGTGAAATGTTTAACTATAAATGAATATAATTAATGAGTTATCATAACTAATGAGAGTCTAATATACTGTATATAAAGCAATATTGAGTAGTAGCATAAATTTAGTTTTAATTATAAAATACAAATTAATATACAGTAATACATAGTATATAAATTTAATGATAATATGGCCGATAATTGACGACCTCTATAGTAAAGTAGTGTCTAATTTTTAGGTCTCAATAAGTTTCTATGACTACTACTACTACTACAATACTATAACTAAACCCCAAATTTGCATATTAAGAGTATAACTACACGTATCGACAAAACAATTGTTATTTCAATTGCATTAGGATTTACCAGTTTTTTGGTGACTTCTCTCTCATTTCTCTTTCTTATCTCATTTGTCTTTCAAATTTTAATTTATCACGAATTCAGTGAAAAGTTTAGTGTTTTATTTAATTATTTGGTCTTATTTTATCTCATTTTATTTGTCAAGTGGTTGACAATTGTAAACTAAAAGTGAAACTAAAGTTTTTTTTGTCAGATAAAAAAAATCAATAATTTATTTTTAAATTTTTGTTATGTGTTCTCTAATATTATTTCCGGAAAATTAGAGTTAAATTTTTGTTGTTATAATTATTGATTTTTTAGACAAAAGTTAATAATAATAACTTTTATTATTAAAAATATTTTATTTGTGTTTTTAATGTGTGATTAAAAAAATATTATATTGTTTAATAAAGTTTGCATTTGTTTTTCTAATCATTTATTAAATTTAATAAAATGAAAATCTTTAAGAAAGTAATTATAGGTGAATAAAAATTCTTAATAAATTATTTTTTTTAAATGTTGTCTAAAAAATAACTAAATTTTAATTATAACATAAATTTGAAATTTATGTTAATAAATATTTTGAACTGTTTAAAAATATAAATAGCAAAATAACACAATATTAATATTAATATATTTTTTAATATTAATTTAATCAAATTTAATTTGATTTGAAATACAAGCGTATATCGATTATTATATTTTAAAATATTTAAAATACAATATATATATATTTATATATATTCAGAAAATTTAAAATATTGAATTGGATAACAAAAATATTGATAAATTTATCGATTGATTCGTTAAACTGACTTTTCATCAATCAAACTGATTGTGAAAAGAAAGGGAGAGTTTTTGAATGTGATTTTAGTGAGAGATATAGACATATGAAAGTAAAATGAAAAAAATATATATAAATTGATATTAGAGTAGTAATGCAAACCAAAGGATCAAAGAAATGGATTAAATATATAAAAAAATGTTTGAATACTTTCACATATTTGTGAACGCAATCATAATATTTATGATATTATATGCACATAATATGTATGTATAGTATACTATATCTAAATAAGTATTATATTTAAATACAATGCAGTATAAACCGTATATATAGATTTATATTTATATATTTACACATGTTTTTTACATCAGGGAAATCAATCAAAACAAAAACAAAAAAATTATTATATTTAAGTAGTTATACTTTATATCTTTATAAAGTAATATATACAGTATATTAAAGAATATTTTTGTCTAAAAATCAGTTGTTTTGTTTGTAAACTTATATTGTTGTGAAAGTTGTATATTTTTATATTTAAATTATATATTCATATAAATGAAAAGAGCACTGAATTTGTTTTTATTAAATTGACTTTTTGTTTTTAAAAATAAAGTAAAACTTAAGGATATAAACTTTATTATATAAAGATTATATATAATATATTTTTGATAGTCTAAGTTCAATAAAAACATTAAACATAAATTTAAATAACAATATTTACCATTCAGTAAGTTATGTGAAACAACGAAACTATGATACTGTCTATGTTTAGGTCAGTCTGAATGGGGTGTAATAAACGCGACGATGCCGTCAGATGTGCCCAATAAGATCGATGAGATGCGAGTGTTGGCCACAACTAACGAAACTTTATTAATTGGTTGGAAGCGACCGCACGATAACGGCGCCCATATATCGGAATATAAAATGGAGTTACGAAATGACGGTCAGAGTTCGGTAATCGGTGAGACTATGATTGTAAAAGACGCACAACAGGAGGTCCGCCGTAATTATATGTATATCTTTGTTGGTCTCGAACCGGCCACCAAATACTCATTTCAAGTATGCTATCTATCGAAAGTCACAAATTTCGAGTATATAGTATAACTATGTTTATTATGTTTATTAGGTGCGTGCCTGTTCATACCTGGGTTGCGGTCCGTGGTCTGAGCCCCAATTGCCTGCTCAGACCAGTGATGGTAACTCGGAAGCACCCGAAAAGCTTAAAATAATTTGCAGTTTTGACTCCCGTCGCTCAGCAAACTTTGCTAACATAACTTGGAGTCCAGCGGTCAACGCTCGGGGGACAGTCATTGGATACAATGTGACTGTTGTCGGCAGTGCTCGGTATCGTAACGGCAATGACCATATTGTTACCGACCATATCGTTGAGTGGCATCGCATTCATAGCAATACGACACATCAGATTCAGGTATTGTCATATATATTCATCCAACAAATTGTGTTATTTATAATTTGTTTGCAAACCATTTATCAATTATAATTATCAATGCTTGTCGTGTTTTATATATTTTTTTCATGTATATATTATATGTATACATTGAATATAATAATTTGTTTTTGAACTATAACCATAGCTTTATATATGCGTTTTAGATATGAAAAAACTAAATGGATGTAATGTAAATAAAATATATTTTGATTTATGATTTACTAAGCAAACTAAAAAGCCAGAGATTGCTTAATATCGATAAAAATGATAGCCTTTTATATTATACAGTATATCTCTGCAAAATATATATTATTTGTATTTAGATATAAGTTATGTACTATATTTTAAGCGATACATTAACCGTAAGTCTATTCATCATATATTAGTTGATGTCCTGGAAAGTCGTTTCCACAAAACATTATTCTCTGTTAGTATTTTATGGACACAAAACAAAATGAATTATAAAACAAAAATATGTCCAAAAAAGTTGTGATCAATTTGTTTACTGTCTCTCTCTCTCTCTCTCTCTCTCTCTCTCTCTCTCTCTCTCTCTCTCTCTCTCTCTCTCTCTTTCTCTCTTTCTCTCTCTCTCACTCACTCACTCTCCGGTTGTGTATTTGTGGTATCATATCATATACTTTAATCATTAAGTAATTTTTCAGATATTTGTCATTTAATAAATTGAATAAAAATGATTTAATTTACAACACTAAAAATTTTATAACACAAAATAAAATATTATAATATTATTATATGTTTATATATTTTTATGGTTCAACAAAATAATTCTCAAAGATATAGAAAATCTTGAAAAATAATTCTAAAGATATTTTGTTAACAATTGATCTTCTATTTTGAATTATCACAACAATACTGATATATAAATATAGAGATATTTTTTCACTGTATTGCAGAATATTTTTGAAGTGTATGAAACTTTTAAAAATCCATTTATTTTACTATTAGTTTATAACGAAACTAATGTATTATTTATTGTTATATTATGTGTATTTTATTGACTTTGCTTTTTATCAATGGATAAATAGATAGATAGATAGACGGATAGACACATACAGAGAGAAAGTTAAACTCCATTGAAGAAATGTAATCCATTTAAACAGCCATTTATTTGGCGATTGAATTGAGAGCCAAAATCTTTAAGCAAAAACATAATATGAAATGAATAAAGAAAGAGAAGGAAAGCACAAACAAATTGCAATGAATTTTGTAGATAAAGACAAACTCATTGACTAATCCTTTAAATTGTTTTTTGATTGTATGTCTTATAATATATATATATATATATATATATATATATATATATATATAAAGTATATATACTGTATCTGCGAGAAATTACAACGAGTTAATGCATTTTCCGGGCAACAGTGCTGTCTGTTAGTAATTAATTGCTATTCAAAATAGAGATATTTTGCATATTTTACACTTGCATTGTAACCCTGGATCTATAAATATTTAATGTTAAAGATTATAAAATTATTTTTTAATTTATATCAATATTTCGTTAAAGTTAGTTGTTATGACTAGGGTTGTTATTTATGCAATTTATTTAAATTGTCAATGTAAATTATGCTGAAAAATAATTATATTTGAATAACATAATATATATCTCAAAAAATGTACTAAAAATATAATTATTTTAATTTTTTCCGTAAATTTTATTAATATTTATTAATAGAATATTCATATTATTTCATTCTATTAATACAGTATAATAAAATAACATACAATACAATACTAAGTGATTAAACCAAAAACATTTTTGTTTATTATTATTAATATTTAACAAAAATGATTTCATGGATTAATGAATTAAAAAATTTGAAGAGGATATTAAATTTTAAAATAAAACAAATTAAATAATTAATTATGTTTTGTTTTTGAAGATATCACTCTGTAATCTATAATAAGTAACAAATCTGCTATTGTTATCAATAGTATAGTAATAATATTACATATATTTAATTGTATACTAAATATATTGAAAGTGAACTATTGTTTTGATATTTTATGGTGTATTAAAAATATAAAAATCTGCTTTTGAATAATTGAAAATTGTATTACAAAATCTAATTGTTGGCGTATTTCATGTGTAAAGCACTTTTGATACATCTTTGTCATAATATTACATACATATTCTCTACCTATTATGAAAATTTGAACCATTTTTCTCTGCATATATAATAAATAATATATATATACTGAATATATAAACTGTATTATATATATATATTAAAGCTGAAGACGGAACTTGTGATTCCTTATGAATAAAATACTGTAAACCTGAAGATCGCATACATATTATACATACATAACAACCAGTTCTCTATTAATGTTATATACATTAGATTATATTGTTGGGCTATATTTTATTGTTAATGTAGTAATGAATTTAGGAAACAATTTATCATAAACTATATATTCTTTTCTATTATATATATAAAACTACTGTTTTTAAACCAAAAATGTTGTTTTATATAAATAAAATTTTAAGCCTTGATTTTTAATTTTTTAGATCAAAATATTTATAATTAGTTGTAGTATTGCAATAGTTAATGTTATGCAGTGTATGCAATATGTGAAATGTTATATACAAAATTTATAGTAATATCATATATATATATATATATAGTAGTAGTAGCAGTACATCATGCATAGATATATAAATCATTAATAAATAAAATTATTTTATTTTGCTTTATACTTCCGTCAAATTTTATCGCAAGAAGTTTTAATTTTAATAATTATATAATGTAATACTATTAATGTATTTACCATAATAATGATGATGAAGTCATTGACTTTTGTTATTTAATATATGAAAATTATTTCAAAAATCAATTTTTATATCCTTAAGAAAATATCAATAAAGTGTTTCAAGTATTTGAAAATATTTCAAATAAAAACTAAAGGCAAAAAAGTGCTTACAATTGTATAAAATTTAAATTTGTTGCACACTTTGTCTTAGATTTTATTACATTTATAAAAAGTTATGCCACTTATGATTGTATCAGTCACTCACTAAATGTATGAATCTAACAGTAAATGTACTGTATATTATATATTGAATAAATACATATATTATTTTATGAGTGAAAAATAATATTAAATTTTTTAAATATAAAATTTCGCATAACATTTAATGTCTTATGTATAAAAAATCGCCCAATTTTTTTGTTTTTACGGAATACGGTATACAATAGTTTTTTTGTTGTATAAGTGAATTGCAGCGAAAACCTAAATAAAATGCAATACAAGTGTATTATATAGTGAAGAGATGGGAAAAAATTGTGAGCGATTTGCATATGAATTGTGTGCACACAATGTCTGTGATGATGATATTGTTGTTGAATGTCGTTTACATTTCATTTCATTCAATGTATTGTTGGCCTCAATGAACACAAAATATGGAGATTACATAATAAAGAGATAGACATTTGACCGAAAAACAATCGATAAAATGACATTTAAACAACATTTTTTCAATAATAATAATAATATTAATAAATAATATCATTAAATAATTAACAAAAAATAAACTCAATAAATATTGTGACTTATTGCTAAAAAATCCATTTATAATATTATATTTATTTTATTTCTAAAATATTATTATTGAATGTAATATAAGAAATAGTCTTATAGTTATATACGGCATAAAACATATAAACAATATTTTGTGTATTTTTTAGGCACTCGACTAACTAACTCATCTTTATATTCTCTCTCTCTCTCTCTCTCTCTCTCTCTCTCTCTCTCTCTCTCTCTCACACACACACACACACACACACACTCTCTCTTTCTCATTCAGTTATATACTAACTCAATGTTATGTAAAAGCGATTCCTTAGAGATTTCTCTTCTTTGCCATTAATCTCAACGGAAGATTTTAGATGAATGTCGAACTCTCACAGTTATAGAGACAGAGAGAGAGAGAGAGAGAGAGAGAGAGAGAGAGAGAGAGAGAGAGAGAAATTGCAATATATAAGACTAGACCTGTTCTCTGATATTGTTTGTGTTTTGACAATACAGTTACTTTCGGCACATAAGTTCACAGTACAGTATATTTAACAATATTTTTAATACAACCGATGCTTGAGTTGAATTGAAACATTTTCCTCACATAGAAAAAGTTTTTTTAAAAGCAAAACTCAATACAAAACGGGTTAGTTGTTTGAAACGACATTTTTTTAAAAAAAGTAAACACAAAAACAAAATCAATGAATTGATTAGTCCTTTGAGAAATTTGTTTTTTTATATATCATATACAGTATATAGTATATTGCAATATATACTTTATATTACTAAAGCTATGACTACAGAGTTAAAGAGCTTAAATTGTCTCTCAATTTGATTCTTAATTTGATTTACTTTTTAACTCATATAATCAAATCATAGAAAGATAAGAAAGAAGAGAGAGAGAGAGAAAAAAGCCTAATTTTTTTTTTGCAAAAAAAATAGTTATGGATTAATCCAAAAGACTATTACTGATGGGGTGTTTGACTTACAAATAAATATGTGTAATATTTGCACAATAATTATCAGTTTGTTGTCTCTATGTGTCTGTCTATAAATGTGTATAACTTATTTCATAGTTTATGTTTGTCATTATACAAAATAAAACAAAAATGATAAAATTCTATATACATATATAATATTGACATTTAATTTATGTTAATAAAGATCATAATATATAATATAAAATCTACAAATTTTTTACAATTGTTAAATCTCTTTTACAAATACGTAATATTATATATTATATAATTTATAAGTAGAATGTATGATATTATATAAATAAAATGCAAATCATAAATAATTATAAGCATACAAATCCATTAATAGGAAAGTAGTCATAAATCAAATAATATTTAATAGTTATATTAAACATAACTTTGTATATATATAGAGCATTCATGACATCCTAAAATAAATTACTTTTTCAAAGCATAACCTAATAGTTGTGATATCGGCTGTCCTAACAACTCGTTCACTATTCTCACCCGATTATCACTCAACTATATTTTTACTTTATATTATATATATATATATATACAGTATATATATATTATATTACTGATATACCAATATATGTATATATATATATATATATATATATACTATATATCATATATAGTATTATGAATTTTATTAAAAATTATCTTTATAATATAATATAACTTATATTATAGAAAGTCATATTTATAGCAAAATATGTTGCAGTATTGGGTCTATATGTTTGATTGATTATATTTAGATCATATATTAAAATGTTTAAAATTATTATATTTATTATTAATATTGTTGTTTAAAAAATAACATATGTAATAGTTTAAAGAGATTTATAAATTTTAAAAAAATATATTAATATGATTTTTTTTGCAGAATAAGTAGTTTTCATTTATATAATATATCGATTAATAATAATTTTAAGCTTTAATAACAAAAATATTTATTGTTTATATTAGTGTCTATCAATATGACAGTTACTGTTTTAGTTATTTAAATACATAATCAAAGGGATAATCGACAGAACCGGCAGTTTATTTATTTAAAGTTTTATTTTATTTTCAAACTCAAAATGTTTGACGTATCAAAATTATTATTTCTTATTATTTTATTATCATTAAAGCATATGTGTGTACGTGTTTTTCAATTGCTTCTCCTAATTTTTTTTAAAGAGATAATACTTGAGAATTAACTAACAATTTTTTGTCTGAATTTTTGTTGTTGAGTGTGTTTTTATATATTGTATTGAATTGAAATTCAATTCTAACTCAATATTGTTAAAACCTATTATGAGAAGTCCATAGTATATACCATATTATTTCTAGAGAGTGGCCTGTGATGAGGATCTACAGTATTTATATACTGTAGTTATAGTATATAGTATGGTATGGGTATGTGATGGGAATTGGTAAATACAATGTCATTGGAAAAAATAGCTATGAGATGACATTAATTTCTTAATTATCTATTGAGAATTGCTGTTAGTTTTCATTTGAAGTCACTATTTAATAGAGGGTTTCATAGACGACAATAAGGAAAGTCTTATATAGTGTATTGAATTTGCAAATAATTTTTTATTTATTTATCTTACATATAACATTAAATCATTAGTTAAGCTTAATCGATATAATTTGAAGTCAAATGGGAATTCCTGTGCACATCCCTGTCCCCGATAATAGTGATGACACATTATTTACACGACTAATACCTTCAGATTAAGGCGCTCTTAGTTGTGTTGGTTAGTCTTATACTGTATACACTAAATACAGTACAGTATTGTATTGTATTAATATGTATATATATATACGTGTAGTATTAAGTATAGTAAATGACATAATAATAAAATTCAAGAAGTTGTTGGATTAATATAATATTTATATAAAGTTATACTAATATAAACTACTAATATATATTTAAATAGTACTGTGGATTGTTGACAAATATGATATTATGTTTTGTTAACAAAAATCTTAATAATTTTAACAAATAAAATAATATCAAATGAATGTTTATATAAATTTAGTATAAAGTTTTTATTCACTAATTTATTTCATATTGAACTACAGTACATCAAAATATTTAATATTTATTTGTTTGATGAATCAACAATACATTACAACAAATAGTTGGAGTTATATTTGTAATACAAACAGGTCTATTATAATAAAATAAATTTTAATATATAGACTGTATGTGTAATACACACTGTGTATTTTTTCAAAAAGAGATATTAAAGAGGAATTGTGTGAATTTTAAATCAATATATCATTTTAAATGTAAAATTGAATAAATTAATGTTTGAATATATATATATAGTACACACAGTATAATAATAATGCCTTTTCCAATACTTAAAGTGGAAAATCTAAGTCAAACACAAGAGTAATAATAATAATGATAATAATAATAACTTTTTATAATATTATTGAAAGTTTGTGAGAATCAAAATGTAAACTAAATGAGAGTTAGAATTTCTAACTTAGAAATGAATTTATTTGATTTTCAAAAAATTTACTTTTAAAATGATTTTATTTCTCTAATATATTTCTATACAAACTAACAGAATATTCTATAGATTAACCCAAATATAAAAAACAGTTATATTCTGTTATATTGTGTATTTTAACAACAATATTATTGAATGTGAAGTTTATTTTTCTGACTCATTAACTCTTATTGTATTTGTACTGTACTGTACTGTATTGTATACACATTAAAGTTAGATATAAGTTGTATCTATATATATATATAATTTTTATATATCTATATATTATAGTTAAGTCACAAATCACTAATAAATTTTTATTTTACTTTGTTTTGCATCACATCATCCGATATATTGATATATTTAGCTGCCATTAAAAGCCAACACTAACTATACGGTTCAGTTGTGTGCTATCAATCTCAGTGGTTGTGGCACATGGACTGACATCACTACCGCTTCTCAATGCTCGACTGGATCCCATTTACAGCACAACTTCCCCGACGATATCAAGTTAGTGATCACTGAATCAATGGGACAATTGAAAATACTATTGCCCAGAGTGTCGGAACGGTTTGGTTTTATTACCTGTTATCGGGTATATATGATCAAAATGCCCACCGGCTATACACTGACCGATCTCAATCATTACCGACCATCGGAGCTCAATTTGACCAGTTATGCAAAAGTACACTATAATCAAGTGCTCAAACCTCAGGCATACATTGCCGATGAGATACCGTCACATGAGTTCAACAATGAAGTAATTATTGGGGATCGCAAGTACTCCAGTTGTGTTAGTGCAGAGAAAGACCATTTGGTGCTCAATGGAGGGGAACAGGTGGCTAATGGTACGACCACTGGTGAGCCAGTCATCGATGACGGACCATTAGCTGAACTCACCAATTATACCGGTTTTGTTGAAATTCACGTATTAGGAGCTAATGGAGAAATATTGCGCAAACAAAGCACATACTTGAGTCCTATACAGACCAGTTCGTCACCATTACTATCAATGCCGACCACCACTAACTCTGTATCGCCATTATTATCATCGATTGGTAATCCCAGTACAACAACAATCCTTTTATGCCTTATTAGTGGAATTGCAATAATTTTGTTAATAATTATTTTGATACTTTGGTTACTTATCCGCCGAAACAGCGATGCCAACAATGACCGGTCGTCATCATCAGCTCGGAACCGGTCAGTGGCCGCTCAGGAAAAACTAAATTCTTTGCAGCGCTCAAAACACATCCATACAAACGGATTGATAGTTAATGGAGTATTGCCACAGACTATCCATTCACTTAACTATACCAGTGATCAACTGACTGATAATGAGACCAACAATATGTCAGGAATATCAACACTACCGATACCAGTGATAAGTTTACCGCAAATTTATAAAGAGAGAAGTGCTAACAATAACCGTTTCTTTGAAATGGAGTTCCAACTGATACCCAAACAGTTTGATGACAGGACATGTCTGGCCAGTGAAGCAGAATATAACGCGATTAAGAATCGGATGCCATCAGTCAAGTGCTACGACCAGACACGAGTACGGTTGTCATTGATTGATGACAAGCCTGGATCCGACTACTATAATGGTAATGTTGTGGCCTATAATAATAAACTATACATTTGTTGTGAAACACCTATGGATGTGACACTTCAAGACTTTTGGCGTATGATCTATGAGTACGAGTCGTCCGTAATTGTGATGTTGACCACCGGTTGTGACGAACAGTGCCGCCAAAAGTGTTGCCAGTATTGGTCTGATGATAGTACCAAACAAATTGGCGACCAATTTATTGTCAATGTCCAGAGTGTCCGCATTTATTCCGATTACATTATAAGGCGCTTCAAACTGTCAACAGCTGACCAAAAGTACACAAGAGATGTATTGCAGTTTCAGTATATGATGTGGAAGGAGACACTAACCACCAGTGCAGCCGAAATGTTACCGTCGGGTATACTCAGACTAATCAAACACGTCAACGAACATTACTGTCCCGATAGGGGACCCATAGTTGTTCACTGTTGCAATGGTTTGGGCCGATCGGCCACTTATATTGCCATCGATAGTCTTCTACCAGAAATAATAGCCGGCTTTGTAAACATCTACGAGTGTGTACTCCATCTACGATATCAACGAAACCGGTGCATACCTGAGCTGCAACACTATATGTTCATTTATAAGGCACTGCTAGAGTTTGCCGTATTTGGCGACACCGAAGTAGATGTCGATCATTTCGGTAATCACTTTACTATTAGTTTTTTTGTTTGTTATATATTTTTCTTTTCTGTGCTATATTTGTCACAAACTTTATTTCATCCTTTGTTTTGTTTTTTCTTGTTATATATGAGTCAACCAATTATTTTTAATCTAATTTATTGCACTTACTTTCTCAACATTAGTGACCAAAGCTATAAATAATGACAATTTGTGTGTATTTTTGTTATACARTACACATACAAACACACACACACACACACACACACACACACACACACACACACACACACACACACACACACACACACATTGTTTTAAGTAGTGTTGTATAGGAGAGTGAAAGTAATGTTAACTATTATCAGTATTATTATAATTGTTATTATTGTCGTTATTATTATTAGTGGCAGTATTTGTCAAAGTGATTGCTATTATTAGTACAAGAGTTGTGTACAAAATTATTGTTAAACACTTTTAAAGTTAATATATCGTATAAAAGTAATAATGGGTTACAAAAATTGTATGTTATTTTTTGATGTAAATTGTATATAATAATACTTTTTTATATCAAAAATATTCTGATTAAGTTTTCTCACGATTTAGTCATGAATTTAAATTATTAGATAATTTTTCGCGACGTCTAATAAATTTTAGATATATTAATAGTATTTTATGGTAAAACTATTTAACGTTAATGCTATTTTAAATTCATATAATATCTCACATATTTGTAGCTAATAAATTTTGTGTTAACTTTATGTATATTTTATAATTTATTATTATCAATCATAAAATATTTTTCTAAAATGTTATAACAGAATATAAATTGTGACAAAAATTTTGATATATTTTATTATATACAGTAAGCCTAAACATAATTAATTTACTTGCATATTTACACTACAATAAATAGTCTAAATTTATAAAAATTTGCATAGTTTTAAAAGGAAATAACAATAAATTACTAAAACTATAAATAACAATAAATTTTTATTGGCTTATTTATTTAGTTATTTATTTTTTATTTTTAAATAATAGAAAGCTATTATCACCAAATTATTGAGGAACAGATCGATAACGTGAATCTACTTAATACACAATTTGATGTAAGTATAGTATCTTTTTTTATTACATTGTTATCTCAAGTGTGATGTTTTTAAAAAAATTGCAAAATTATATCTTTCGTGTAAACAATAAAATTATTATTATAATAATGTAATTTAATATTATTTTTTGTTGCATTAACTTTTATACTGTACTTAATAGAGACTGGAGTTTATAGTAGATGAGTCCAAGTCCTGTGAATTTGCATTATTGCCGGAAAATGTCGATAAAAATCGTTTCATTCATGTGATTCCCTGTAAGTTATTATTATTATTAAATCACTTTTTTTACTGTAGCTATTGAAGTAATAGTAATAGTTGTTGTTGTTGTAGTTGTGCTATAATTTTTAAAAGTATTTTTTTATAAACATTTATAAGAATTTATTATACTATACAATATGTGTAATATATTAATGTACTACACTGTTAGGTAATAATTTTTTTTTAAGTTTTAAAGACATATAGTTTGATCCGATAAACATCAAAACAGTATATGCTATGGATATCCTCAACAACTTAAGTGTAAAATCTTTCAAAAACTTTTATAAAAAGCATTTTATTAAAAAGTTTGTGATATTTTTATTTTTGTTATTATATATTAACAACTTTGTGTGTAAGTGAGTGAATGAGGTGTACTGTATATACTGTATGTGTATTTACGGAATATGTATTGTATGTGTGTTTAATAGGATGTGAATGTGAAAAAAAGTATTTTTAGTTATTGCAATTAAATATATTTTTACGTATACAGCAAACACACAAATAGAGAGAGAGAGAGAGAGAAATTTTATATAAAAAATACATTTTATAAGAAAGTTATTATATATTTTTTCACTACCAATATATTTATTGTGAATCAGAGACAGAAACGTACATAACTATAGATGTCTACTATAATATATAGACATACAATATATATAAAAATTTATATATCATATATATATATATACAGTATATATATATATATATAAAGCACTATAAAAATATTTATATACTTTGTTCAAAAATCAGATTTACTTTTCTTTCGTCGTTGAAATCGATGAGTTGTTATAAAGAAGTCCTTTTATGCGGCAAAACAACTCAATAGTCTCTCTCTCTCTCTCTCTCTCTCTCTCTCTCTCTCTCTCTCTCTCTCTCTCTCTCTCTCTCTCTCTGTCTGTCTGTCTGTCTCTCTCTGTCTCACGATTTTTCTTTCTCTCTCAAAGTCTCAATCTTTTAGGTCTAAGACTCTCTCAAACTGGCGAAACAGTATTTGAATAGAAATTTTTTGTTTGTGGCATTTGATAGTAGAAAATCGATTTTTGCCAAAAAAAATATACATTTATATACAGTATATCTGTAAGAATCGTAAGGACACAGAGATTCTGATAGGACTCACACATCATTGACTAACATATGAAATACTATAACATTTTGATCGCAACAAACACAACATATCTTGGAAAACAACTGAACAGTCAATCAAATTCAATATTTTTTATTCAAACATATAGTCTGATTATCAGTTTTTATATTTGGAGCTTATATTTTGCTTAATAATAGCATATTTGTTATGTTTGTTTAGATGTATATTTGGTGAACAGTTAGCTATATTAGAATCTATACATAAATGTATACTACTTTAGGATTTATTTTACAGACAAAAAAATATTTGGTTTTGTTTTATAAATACTTTAATTCGAGAGACTTGTATTTACAAAAAACAACAGTAAACCCAAAAAAACTATTGTATGTAAAACCAGCAATGGATGTCCTTTTTTGACAGATTCTGTTCGCCCTAAAGAATATTCTGTCGACAAAAATCTGACTTTCCTTATCTGCCATTTAGTGTGTATGTATATGTGAATGTATATATATATATATATATATATATATATATATATATATATATGTGTGTGTGTGTGAATTTGTATTTATATGCGAGTGTGTGTGTGTGTGTGTGTCTATGAGTAAACAAGAAATTTTTCTATAACAAATAAATGTCAATGAAATCTGTGTCAATAATAATCGTTATACAAATACACTGAAAATATAACGCGACACTGATTTACTAAAATGCATACCTTTTTCTTACTTATTTATAAATATTTTATATTATTAGATATAACTTTATTTAGATAATATATGAAATTTCAAGTCAATGCACTTTACGTTTATATAAATTTATTAAATCAAATTGTCTAATCTATGGTGACAAATGCAAATATATACTAGCTTATATTTTATTTGATGTTTCACATGTTTATATTGTATATTTTTTGTATAAAGTTATAAATTTAATATAAATAAGTCATATATGTTATAACTATTGCCACACAAGTTATGGTAGAGTTCACAAGTAATCGTACGCTTCAAATATGACATTCAATTGTATGAGTATTTTTAGCATTGATTTTTCAACAACAAAAAAATACTACATATTGTACTCTATTAATGCATTTATTTAGATTATTTTGTATTAAATTTTTGTTGTATATGTCAAAATGTAAAACAATGACTACTTTAAATATATTGAATTATCAATAGCCAAAATGATATTATATATCATTTTTAGTGTCCACTTACTAAAAATGTATTTTAGTTGAAATGCTATCAATTAATTAATTTAATTATTGTATATATATATATATATAAATTATGTCCCTATAGAATATATAATTTTTAAAGTTAAATTATGATATATTCATCATGCTTTGGTAAATTATTCATCAGTGTTATTAGTTTATCAGATAAACATAATAAATGTTAACATTTTAACAATAACTACAAAGTAATCTTTCACAATTTTGTACATGTAAATATTATTATTAATCAGGGTATTTGCTAAAATAAATACATTAAAAAAGTATATCAAGTTAAATTTTATCATTTTCATAATTACAGTGAGTGAGTGTGTGTGTGTGTGTGTGTGAGAGAGAGAGAGAGAGAGAGAGAGAGAGAGAGAGATTTAAAGTTAAATTAAGTGATAAATGAATTTTTATGGATAAAATCTTATCTGTTTGTCTCTATCTATAATACGAATGTATAACATAGATATTGATTCATTACTTAACTCTTTTGAAGTTTTTTTTTTGTATATCATTTATATTCCGATCAAACCTGTGAAACATTTTCCTCTTTGATTCAAAACTTGGTGTTTGTAGTCCACAACCAAAGCTATGAACTAATTGATAGTTTAAATCTAACTATAATACAAAAATCAAGTTATAAGTAGAAAAAAGAGAAATACACGACACGTTTGATTCTGATTATACAAATATTTTTTGTCGCATTTCTTTCTTATCATTCATAAGACATTGATAAGACTGGTGTCAACATTAAAATAAACTTATTTATTATGATATGTCAGACAAAAACTAATTGTATATCTCAGTAATGACATTATATAACACTATCTCTATTTTTACACAACAAAATCAGTTAATCATTACATGTAACCTAATGGTGGTTAATATATATATATATATATATATAATTATATCATATATAGATTATATTTATATAATGTTTATGATTGATTGTAGATATAAAAATAAATTTGAATATTATAAAAGTATATTTTATTAAATAAATGTTATTTACTAGTTATATATCAGTTTAGGTATTTAATTTATTAATATATTTTTAATTTTATTTTGATTAGACATGGAATTTTATAATATTAATATTTAGCATTAAACGTAATTATATATTATTTATATAACTAGAAAAATGTAATTACAATTTTAATGTGAAATAATGTAATTTTTATTATTGTTACTCAATTTACACGACTGATATTACAACATAAATAAGCATTATTTTAGAAGAAAGTTTAATTAACCTTAATTTTGTTTCAGTAATAATAGCGTTAAGATATAATTAAACGAAACATTTTTATCATATAAATTATATGTAATAGTAATTTATATAAAAAATAATTTAAAAGACCAAATGATGAGCATTTTTTACAATTAACATCAAAACTATAAAGTTATTACAAATTTGTAATACATTTGATTGGAGTAATAGAGTTACTGTATATAACTTTATGTACTTTACTGTAATGTAATGTTGTATAATTTGAAGCACTCTTATGTTTTTTTGTTGGATATTCATATGGGATTTGTGAGAGTAGTGTATCAGTGATTTTTCTGATATCATTTCCACCAGAAATAACTTCAATAAATAAGTTATTAACATTGATTAATAATCAGTAAATGTTATGTGTGTCAATAGCAATTTATATTAATTATAGACATTTATATAAATTTATGTTAATATAAGATATTATATATTTTTAGATGATATCAATCGTGTTATACTACCGGCCAATATCGATGACCAATCGTCTCCATATATCAATGCATCGTTTATTCAGGTAATTGATTTAATACTCATTAATTTGACAATATTTATAACATTTTATTAATAAATAAAAATATTACAATATGTATATATATATTAAAACAAATGTTTTTATTTAATTCTTACAAATTGTATGTCCTTTTTATATTATGTTACATTTAATACAATATATATTGCATTATATAGTATATTAGATAATATTTTATATCCAATCCGTGATACCAACCGATTCTTATGATTTACACTTTTGTTGCAATTTTCCAGTGATTTATTGCACGAAAATACTATGACTTTGAGATATTATTTATTATAGAAAAGTGTGATTACAAGCACTGTTATAATTGCTGTTATCTCTGATAAACCTTTATTTCTAACAATTTTGTTGTTGTTGTTGTAGTTATTGTAGTTGTCATTACTAATAATTGGAAATAAAAGTTTCATTTTTGTTTTGTTATTACATATCATATAATATTTAGCCGTTTGTCTTATCTGTTTGTCTGACCATTTTGTGTATGATATATATATATATATATATATATATTTATATATATAGGGTTACGACTGTTACCTGACATATATTGCAACTCAAGATCCGTTGGAGTCAACCCTAAAGGACTTTATATGTATGGTAAGTGTATTATTGATTTATTTTGATGTCATTTATCATGATTTACATTCACGCAAAACATACCTAATTTATAAATTTGTTGCTAAATTGTCCCTTAAATTTGGTTTTTTAGATATATGAACAAAATGTGACTACAATTGTGATGCTCTCTCAAGACATGGATCTCTGCTACTGGCCTTTAACTGAGACTAAGTATGACAACTACACTATTAAGGCTATCGGTGACATACCTGTCCAAAATACAACTTCTACGACCGCTATTGAGTTACAAATATCCAAACTGAGTGCTGATCAAAATAGCAACAATACGGTACAAATAGTGACAGTGTATCGTCTATATGGTTGGTCAGACCATCCGGTACCAGCAAATGTTACACTGGCTGTACTTGACTTATGTGATACCATACTTTCCAATATGACTGTTGGCACCCAATCACCAATTGTAGTGCACTGTTGTAATGGTTCCCAGAGAAGTGCTATCTTTATATCACTGCTCAGTCTTTTACAACAGATAAGAGTCGATAAAAGACTGGATGTATTTCAGACGGCCAGAGCTCACAAAATGCAGAAGTCCTCAGCCTTCCAGTGTTTTGTAAGTTTGTTTTGAACACTTAATTTGCTGTCAATTTTTTGCCAGTTTTATATCATTTTATATTATAGTTATTAACACAAACCAGTATCAGTAGTTTGTTTTGTTTTGTGTCTCTTTTTCTTGTTGTTATTGTGTGTCATCTAAAACATAATATTGTGTATCATTTTATTTGGGTGTCATATCTGAAACACTAATAACTTATATAATGCTCTCTATGAATGACAGATCTTTATCCCTGAAAACAATCTTTATATATACCGTATAATATCTACTAAATGTCTTTCTTTTCTCTCTCTCTTTTATTTCTCTATTTAGTCTATTATATAAAGATCTTTTAGATGTCTTTTCAGATCTTTAATAAACTATTACCTAATATAATATGATTTTTCTTGTCAATCAATTTCTCACATATTAAAACATACACACATTTTTATGCACAATACATACCCACAAACAAGCAAACATGATGTACTGTATTTATAATACCTTGTTTTTATAAAGCATTCTCTGCAAGTATTTCTCTCAAAGTAAAGTATAAAATCGTTTTCATTAAGATATACTTTAGCATTACTTTTATAATAATTAATATTTATTAATCATTTAGATTTTAATATTTATATTGACATAAAATATTAATACAAAAATTTCAAATAATATAATAAATACAATATATGTGTAACGCATGTGCTTTACCTCATACTTTGTAAGTATGGTTTTTATTAAGTATTTGAAGTCTACTTTCTCTCAAAGTTTTGTGTTTTTGCTAACTTTAAAAGTAAAGTATAAGTAGTGTTTTTATTAAGAAATTTAGAAAATACTTTCAGAGTTTTCTTTATGAAAACAGGGTATAAGGCAGTATGAATTAATTTAATTAATTTCAATATTAATATATGGTATAATCTACTCTAGTTGTAGTATAAATGAAATTTCAAATTATTATAACTTATGAATACATAGAAATATCAATAAATAATGAATTACTTTTTATGTAGAGTACATTATTTAATAAATGTTGAAATATAAAACAAATTCATTATAATTTAAAGAAGATGAATGAGCGGTTTGTATTGTAATTTACAACTAAACAATCAAAAAATTAAAAAAAATTGCGACAAATTTAAGTTAATCTGACAATACCTTTGATTTTCGTGTGTTGTGTTTTTCAACATATTATACAACTATTATATTATCTGACAAACGTATAGTTTTTGCTAACATTTCTATATTTTTTTCTCTACAAACCATAGGAAGAGTATGCCTTCCTCTACACAGCGCTCATGGATTATGTGGTGACACGAAATCTGTGCGACACAAGTGATGTTGTATTATAAATAGGATAACGATTTGGACGGTACATACACTGTAGGAAACCATTGAATAACTGCAGTACTAAAGAAAGAAAGAAAGAAAGAAAAAACATTGTCAACAAAACAAACGGTCATTGAAATGGCTGATCAATTAAGTGGTAAAAACATTATTGGAAACTGTTTTGTCCGGTGATGGACGTGTCGGTGCTCTTTGTGTTCAGTCATTTCATTGATCAATAAAAAACTGGTGTAATTGCTATAGTGACAGATCTCCAAATTATTTTACTGTTTTACATATATTAATATTAAAAACATTTAAATTATATATATATTGTATATGTATGAATTAATTATAAAATCTAATAAATATTGTAAATAGCGATTATGTTTTGAATTATATAGAAATTGTTAATATTATTATGAATAATTTTGATTGAATAAAATTTGATTATAAACTTTTATTATTAATTGTAAATTATTTGATTTAATAGTAAAAAATAGTTGAGTTATTAAACAATAAATAAGTATTAGATCGATTTTTATTAAAACAATTTTTTTGCTATTTGCTATTTATATAATATTTATAATTGACTATTTATTTGTTCACCAAATATTATCTGAGAATCTTATTTCTGGCATTTTATTTTTAAAAAAATATTTTAATAATTATTTTTTTAATGTGAGAAAAAGAAAAATATTGATATTGTATTTGGTTATAAAATATTTTGCAAAAATATCAATAAGTAAATCAAAATACAGTATTTATAAAATCAGTTAATAATAAAAATTATTTTATTTAATGTAATCTTCAAACACATAATGTTTATTGAATAAAATGAATATTTAAAAATAGGATTCAATCAGTATTTGTAATTGTTAAATCGTAAATATATGTATTAAGTTATATATGTATTAGATAATAATAATAATCAGAATTTTTAGCTATAACATTAAGATAATATTAAAATACAGTACTAAACGCAATATTTTTAAAGCTTTTTGTTGTGTACTGTAGGCAACAGTAGGTTTAAAGTAAAGGTTTTGTATATATTAGCAAAATAATAGTTACATAACATAATCATATATAAAGCCACTATAGCAAATAGTTTATATTTATAATAGCATATAAAAAGTGTTAGTAATATTCATTTATATGACAATAATTATTATTAATTATTTTACTAATTTTACAATGAATTTAGTAAAACTATCACAAAAATTATAAGTAATTATTTTATTAATTATTTTGTAATTTTTAGCTATTATAATAAGTATTATTAAATAGTCTTTTTATATTCTATAATATATATATATATCTATATACAATATAAGTAGAATATATTCCTTAAAAATCAATATGTTATTTATTTTATATTTCTATTAGTACCAGTTTATAATGGCATCATATATTTAATATAAAAAAGATACGTTATATTATGTAATAATATATTTTAGTTTAATATCACATAAAAAATGATGCATTTATTAATTTTAAATGAATTTTTATATATATATATATTGACCTAAATCTAAACTCATATTGTTTTCACATTTTTTTACATATTAATTAACTAACATTTAATAATTATCATATTATCATATAAATTAATAATAATAATTTTTATACATTAATATTTTTAAATATTGCAATAATAATTTAATTAATAATAACTAAATTAAGATAAACATGAAGATTAACGGAAAACTAGATGACAAGTTTAAAGACCAGATCCCAAAATTCAAAGAATTGCCGCGAGAGCTGAAGATAAAACTAATCAAAGAGTTTTCTATTTACGTGATCAGTGAGATAAAGCTCAGACACTTTATTATGATTGTCTCTCTAAGCATATTATTATTTCAATCCCGGATTCTTGTTAATAAGTTTCTGGCCTTTGAAACAGTGGTCAAAGTGGAAATCGGTCGACCATTTGAGACTGACTATCCCGGTGTCACCATCTGTACGAATCGGTTCAATATGGTATTGAAAAGCAGTCTCGAAGTCAGATATCCAGAGTTAAAGGAAAGGATCGACAAAATGAAAGCTAATAATGATTCAGACGATAAAATGCTAACAATTTATCGACAATTCAAGAAGAAGGCAGAAAATGAACTGACACTCGAGGAATGGTTTGAATTGTTGGTTAAACCAGAGATGATAATTAAGTGCAAAATGATATCACCGACTAAATGGCTTAGAGATCAAAGAGGTTACAATCCATTAGATCTACCGGATTGTGAAAACTATACCCTCCCTTTTTGGAACTTCCCGTTCGGGGCCGGTGTCTGCTGGACATACTTCTCGCAAATTAATCCAAACAATTACATTACGAATCAGAGCCGACCAAACCTGTATCGGTTGGACATTGAAAAAGATATTTTTGCTTCGTTTAACATTTCTTTTGATATATTTTACAAAAAACTGATAGTTGAAGACGTCATACCATCAACCAATACTGATGATGGCGAAAATGAAATAGCCGTCCTTGCCATTGTCAACCATCCAAAAGCTTTAAGCTCAATGGTTGCACTGGACAGGGCCACTATTAAGCCGGGAACTAATTACGACATCCTCGTCTCGCAGACCAACGCATACTTAATGGGTTGGCCCTATCAGACTGATTGTCGTAGATATCAATATCAAAGTTATTGGAAAAAATTAAAGTCAAACTATCATTGTATGGACAACTGTTTGACAGATAAAATGTACGATCAATGCAATTGTCTATTTAAGAACAGCTATAAGGATCGGATGACAAAATGGGATAAAACAGATACTAAACATTTAAAACTCAAGTGGTGTCTGGAAAATGAAACCGATAACAATCCGTGTCATTCAAGTACTACATGGGATGAGATGGTTGCCGAACCATCCAATTGTAAGATCAAAGGCATCTGCAATAATGACTGTCTCGAAGAGTACTATCGGTTTGAAGTGAAACAGACTTTTTGGGAAAAAGATTTCGACGGCAAGAATGAGTCGGAAATTGAGATGGAAGACGAAGACTACTTCTATGGACCCACTCGTCGACCATTTCGACGGGCGCTGCCAAACGAGTCATGGTATGCAACCTTAACTATCAAACGTAAAGACGTGGCCGACATTACCTATACTCACTCACAAGAAATGCTTTTCGTTGAGTTTGTCTGCTATTTTGGTGGACTATTGGGTCTTTGGTTGGGTGTATCCATACTGGATGTGTATAACCAGTCACTCATTTGGTGGGCTCAGACTCCTATTGAATATGAGAAATGGTTGAACAGACAAAATCAAATGGGATATTATGTGCCATATATTAGTAAAGCTATTAACTATAATAGTAATATCCAGGCATTTGAAAAGGCATACACTAATAATTATGATACCAAATATAGTAACTTTAAATCTAATTAATTAGATTATAACAAATATTATAGTAAATAACTGTTTTATTATATAATATTTATGATATAATACCAATTGAATAACTTAAGTTAATATATTGTTATCAATCACTATATAATGCACAAAATAATAATTAATTAATAAATTATTTATTAATTAGTAATTAAATAAGTAATAAGTAATTATTTTATCACTTCTTTACTATAATATCAGTATTAACAGTAATTGACAATACAGTAAGTATTTCAAGTGTTTAACCAAATAAAATGTTAAAATAAAACTTTTTATTATTATTAAATTAATGCATTAAACAATTTCCTCCTGTAATTTTCCAAACCGGGAAATTTTTGGCAATCGGGTCGAGAGAGAGAGAGAGAGAGAGAGAGAGAGAGAGAGAGAGAGAGAGAGAGAGAGAGAGAGATGACTGATATATTAAGTGTTTATTTTTTGAAACAAAATATCAAAATAAAATCTAATGAGTTATAACTCATGCTCCAGAATCTCAACCAAAAGGCTACTTTCAAACAAAAAATATGTGAATAATAATAATAATAATAATAATAAATTGACTAATTTTAACATTTATATAAACAATACTTAATTCATCAGTTAATTAATTCTTTGGTAAACAAAAATTAAAAAACAAGGCTTTCAAGTATTTATTGCATTCTCAGTCATAAGATTTTTATTCAGATTGTCTTAGAAATGTTGTATCAAAAAATAAACAACAAATTCCACAACTATTAGTCTCTCTCCTCTCTCTCTCTCTCTCTCTCTCTCTCTCTCTCTCTCTCTCTCTCTCTCTCTCTCTCTCTCTCTGACCTACTATAAAATTTGTTTATAGTTGTAAACAAGTGCTTATATTTAGTAATAAATTATAAAATATAAATATGAAATGATTTATAAATTTTGGTTATTTAACACTTTTTTGTCTAATATTGTATATTATTGACGATACCTACAGACTTTAGACTACGGTTTTTCATTTTAATGTCACAGTTTATCAATCAATTATCATAATTCCCCGGTTTATATATATATATATATATATATAATGAAATAACTAGGAAATTGCAAAATAATTGAATAATATTTAAATATAAAAATTATGTGTTTTTCTCTTTAATTTACTAAATTTACAAATACAGACAATTGACAAATAAATTTAATTGATATTTAATTAGTTTTATGATAAACTTTTACTGATAAATTATTTTTATTTTATTTAATTAAAGCATACGACAAAACAATTTCTATTTGTTTAATATAAACTGTATTTAGTAATTAGATAAGTCTTATATCACTTATTCGTGTGTCTATTATATCAATATAATTAGATTTATAATTATATAAATTTATATATATATATCAAAAAATATATATAAATTGTTAACCAAAAATCATTTTGTAGTTATTTTTATTTATTAATAATTATATATATATATTCATTATACTGTATATTGAATCGATGCCAATGTATTAAAATGCAATATTTTAAAATTTTAAAATTCAAGGATATTTTGGCACAAATATCAGTTTTTTAAAAATCAATTATAAATTTAATTCAAACTAATGTATAGGTATTATGCATACGGTTTTCACTGTATATATACTGTAGTATTACTATTTGTTTTTAAAATTTTGAAATTATTTTATGGAAAATTACTTTCATTGATAGTAAACAATAGAATTTATGTAATCATTATTATTATTATACGATTATTATATTTTTATTGTTTTATATTAGTAACAAAAAAAATATATTTAATTATTACACAAAATCTGTATTCATAAAAAAATTTTCCTATTAATGATTAGGCATTTTTTAATTTTTTGTTTAAATAAAATTTGTTTAAAGTAAAATTTAGTTAATAATAATATTATCATTTAATAAATAAATACACAGCAAATAAACTGTTAAATAAAATTCGCATAATTTCTATAAAATAAAATAATTTACATAATTATAGTAAAAATTAAAATCATTGAAAACTAATTTAATAATGAATTAGAATAATAATAAAAAACAATTTATGTATCATTTTTTATTAGTAATAATTATAATAATTTATATACATTAATGTATTATATCTATTAATATATTCAATTAGTAATATATTTGTAATTAAATTAAATATATTAATAATTTAAATTAACTTTTATTATATACACTAACATAGTCTGTAATATACAGTACATAATACTATATAATAAACAAACGGCAGAGATCTCTATAATAGAATTGTTTATTATAAATTGTGTTTAATATTAGTTATTTTTCTAGAAATGATTGATCTAGAGGTGTGTACGTGTTGTACGACACACACATTAATGCATTCATACATTCAATATGTCTGTATTATACAGTACTGTATATTATGTTTACAATTGCAATGTATTAGCCATTGAGTGCAATGCATACCAAAATCGAGTCTCTATTTAAGCAATTGATTGAACGTTTGATTTCCTCTTTATTTAACTCACATTCAATGCGTTTACATCTCTTTAAGTGATTTTGTTTAAACATTTCATTTAATTATTAATTATTTAAAAATTATAAATAAATACTTATTTCAAAGTAATTATATATATTTGAAAAATATTAATTGTTATTATAAATACATCAATAGTAATATAATTTATTGATTTTTTTAGTTATTGTGTTTTTACGTAATATAAAAGCATTTATTATTATTATTTGTAAATCTCTGGTATTGAACGTCAAAATTATTAATTAATTAATTAATTATTAGTTGTTTTTTTCATTTGTGAGACAAACGTGTATCGCATGACATATAATTTATTGTTAGTTTTGATGATTTTTAATTACAATTTTATAAAATCAATTATATGACAAATATATAAAAGTCCAATTAAAGTGTGTATGACTGGACCAATACCTAACTTATACCTAACTTATCATATAATGATCTACCCGTCCATTATTAGTCCATTAGTTAATTATTACATTCCATACCTTTAACTGGTTTTCTCAATATTTGTCATATAATAGCATAAAATATATAATTAATTGAATTTATATGTTATATAACACAGTATTAATTTATATATATATATATAATATAGTGAACAATGGAGACAATATCAATGTTCATCAATGACTATCATCTTAACAACAATAACAACAACCCGTCACCGGAGGACAAGTCGTTCCCATTTAACGGCCAAATGCGAGATCAGGCCTACGATATCTGTAGGCGATTCTTGAGTGGCGAATGGAACCGCATTTCCAGCGATGATATGGTCTTCAAAACAGTCAGGTATGACATCCCAATCCATAACTATCTTATATTTACTAAACATATTATTTCATTATATTATTAAAATTAATTTATATATGATATGATATGTTTAATTTGATAAATTATTTGATACAGATATAGATTATTTAATTTATATTTGATTCTTTAAAATCTACCATGATAATTTATTTAATGTTAGCCATGTCTTTATATGTATTGCATGTTATATTAGTTTATTAATTATTATTTAATTGGTTTTATAAAATTATTAGTCAATTACTTTATAAAATACTCTTTTCTCATTATTATTAAATACTTTAATATCTATATATATTACAAACAATATTTAACAAATAAAATGATTATATATATGACGCCAATCTTTGATAACTTTATAATGTCGTAAACATTTTTTCCATATATCGGATGATATATGATATCAATCATAAGACACTTTGTTATCTATCACTCAATATTTCCTGAAAGTTTAGCAAAAAAATTAAAGTTGTTTATAATAGCATTATGTTTACCGAAAGTTTATTGAAATCAAAGTCAAACCTTTTTTAATTGCATGACTTTTATATATATTTATATATATCTCATACGTTGTTATTATGATCCATAAAAGTGCTATTTATCTGTCGGGTAATGTTTTTTGAGTAAACATATTTTGTTTTTATCATTTAATTGTTTGCAAGGAATGGGCGTAATTAGGAAAGCCCTACGACTGTACTGTTTATGGACGATCTACATGTGTGATACATATATCTATATATGATATGATTTATATTATAATATTTATATATAATTATTGGATTTTAATGTAAACATAAGCTCTATATCTGTCACTATTTTACTATTAATTTTTAAATAATAATAAAATATTGTTATATTAATAGCATATGCTTAGATAATATTTAGGTTATACATACATATACTCTATTTATATAAAACTATTTTTGTTTGTAAAATTATATAGTAATTTGTTTTTACAGACATTGATTGTATTTTTTGTTTTGAAGGAAAAAGTACAGTAAAAATACTGTATTAAAGCTTTTGAATGTCAAAAGTTATTAAACCAATTTGTAAGCTTTTTTTGATTAATAGTTATGCAATGATTCTGTAATTTATTTATGTTTTAATTATGCCTTAATTTTTGTCAACCTATTTGGTAGCCTTGAATATCAGCAAAAAAATATGAGATTTTTAAAAAATGTGAGAAAAGAGTGCTTTCAATGCCACTGAATCTCAAGGATAATATCAGTAAAAACCATAAGATTTTTGTTGATTTAATAAAATATTTTTTTCTCCCCTTTTTCTGATAATATTGATATGTATTATAGTGGAGGACTAAGTAATTACCTGTACTACTGTTCATTACCGTCAACGCACACACCACTCAATGGTGAGCCCAGTCAAGTGCTTCTACGAATGTATGGCCAACTATTGGATGGGAACGATACGAAGGTTACCGATTCGGTGATAACGATGTTGTTATCCGAGCGAAATCTCGGGCCTAAACTGTACGGTATATTTCCCGGCGGACGACTAGAAGAATACATTCCTGTAAGTAACCCTCACATTGATTTGAATTTACAAATTATGTGCAAATTGCAGACCAAAATGTAAATGTTTTGATAACTGTCCACAAAAACACTTGGGATGTCCTTAAACATTAAGAGCAACAAACAATCTGTGTGTCTGTCAATGTGAGAGACAATTTCCCGGCAAATACCTAACCGTTTGTCTGCTCTTGTAATGTGCGGCCAATCCTTAGGATTGATGAACGAAAAAAAGTAGTGAGAAATACATTGAGATAATTGCCATTAAAATTGCTTTAATTGTTTAGATGTGATCGAAGTTATGTTTTATAATTTTTGTTTTATATTTTTCTTTTTATGTTTAATTCAATTAATTGAAAACTCAAACTAAAGGCCCGAGCGATGCATTGTTCCGAACTTAAAGTTCCTATTTATGCCGAAGCAATTGCCCGTAAGTTGGCCACTGTTCACGTACTTGACGTACCTATCAATAAGGCGCCGACGTGGCTGTTCGATACGTTTGACCAGTGGTTACATTCAGTGTTGAATCCACCAGAAGATTGTCAACAACAGAACCCCAACCTTAAAGTGGAACAACAGTTGTGTGCCTTTGACTTCACAACAGAGATCAAGTGGTTGAAAGAGTTTCTGTTGAGTTGCAACTCTCCGACTGTCTTCGCACACAATGATCTTCAAGAAGGAAATATATTACTCCCGGAAAAGTCTTCCGTTGATAACTTTGACGACACTATTGTGTTCATTGACTTCGAGTTTTGTGCCTATAATTATCGAGGCTTTGACTTAGGGAACCACTTCTGCGAACGAATGTTCGACTATTCCAATCCTGACTTTCCTAACTACTACTCCTATTTGGACGCCTATCCCACTGAAGACGACCAAAGGTTATTCATGAAAGAGTACATAAAGAGGTCAAAAGACTTGACACCGGGAAAAGAAACCGAAGATGAGTTGATGAAAGAGGCCAACTGTTTTACACTGGCATCTCATATGTTATGGACTTTATGGAGTATTAATAACGCCCGCACCTCTAAAATACAGTTTGGTTATTGGGTTTGTGTCTATTTATTTGTATTTATAATTTATGGTTAAACTAATAAATGATTTTTATTTGATAACAGGAATATGGATTAACTCGATTGACAGCTTACAAGAGTCACAAGAAACAGGTGCTCAGGAAATACTGTTCAACACATCAGACATTGAAACCTTAGCTTAGTTTTGTTTAGACGATTACGAGTAGAAAATTGTTTATAAATAGTACATAAAATGTATAAAAATGTTATCACTTGTTATGAATACCATTGAAATAATTCTAGTTTTTTAAATTGAAAAAAAAATCATTTGATCAAACCATCCATTAGTTGTTTCTACATATTATAGAAATAATTATATTTAATTTTTTTCAATATAAAGTACTTATTGATTATGATATAAATATTCTTAAAATTTGATGCATAATTATCATAACTATATTTTTATGGTTACCGGTAGTATAATATCATAAAGAGACTTACAATTCTATAGTTGTTTACTTAAGATATTATAAACAATGAAGAAATTGAGTAAATGAGTTGATAAGACTGATAATTGATTTGACAAAATTGTTATTATTTAATATATTTAATTTTTTACATCTATAGTATACTATAAGTTATTTGATATCATAAGTTTTAATTTTAAAGAATAATGAATTTCAATGTTTTGATAATTTTGCTAATGTATGACTTGTATTGTTTTTATGGTGATATCTTATGATTTTCAATAACTTATTTTTTTGCCATTTAAACCATTCGATTAATCATTTATTTATTTTTTAAAACAATTATTTCTATTTTATCAGATATTAATATTATATTTTTAAGTTCATATTATAATATCAATGAGATTTACTTGATTATATATAACTATTTTATGATCTATTTTTATGTATAATTTTATTACCTGATTATTATGTCTATAATTAATTTAATGATAATTATTACTATGATTTGATTAATGAGTTTATATACATATTTTGAATTAAAAAATACTGTGAATTGATAGGAGAGTGCCTTTTAAAAGGAGTGATTTGTTATATTGTTATGATTTGCCAAACGATAAGTGATTTTTGTGATTATTAATTGAATGTATCGATTAATTAATATTATTACTGCTATTACACTATTAAAGAAATATAAATAAAGTTGATTAACTGATTTGTTGGTCTAATTATTTAATTCAAGGTTTAATTGTTGATACAATACCAGTAATATTATATTTTTTAAAACATCTGTTTTATGTAATCAATACTATAGACTACAAATTGATTTTAAGAAATATCAATTTGTTTATGTACTGTAAAAGTAAAAATTTCAATATTTTATCTAAAATTATTTATGTATTTATTTAGCTTTAAATTTTTATTATAACAAAAAATATTTATCCAGTTGAGCTTAATTGTCATTAATATAATCATAAATTATTATTTTAAATATACGTTACGTTTTAAAAATACAATACCAAATATATTGAAAATTATACTGATAATTATAAAATACATAAAAATATTAACAAAAATTATAATAATTATAAATTAATATATTTTTGAGTAATTTTTTCTTATAATTTAATTAATAATTAATATCAAAACATATGGTTATTAGTTGTTATTAATATATTCTGATTTATCGTCATTTTGTTGTATATTAAAAACGGTCCGAAAGTGTCGGATCTGTTCTTCAGTAAACTTCAAGTGCTTTAACTGTTCGGCCGGTAAGACACCGTCGGGTACTCTATAAATGTTTTGCAAGCATTGACCGCCCTGTATGTGTTGGGGAACTTGTTTGGCGTCAATAAATGTAAAAATTTCTTGACCACTGGCCAATTTGATTTGTTGCCGATCCTCTTCCGAGAGCCACATTCGCGAGATTTTCCAAAAAGTGGCCAAAAGCCACGGCATCTCATAAATGATTACATATTTATATGATTTTGGAAAGTAGTTTTGCAATACATCAATCATAAACCGTGAGAAATCCATGTCTACGTTGGACAGACCGCTAGCGGTACAGTCAAACACTAGAACCCATTGGCCACCACTTGATACGTCAATTTGATTAACTTTATGCACAAAAAACTCTTTGACTAATTGAGCCAATTCTTGTACTTTACGGTGAACACAGATCCGGATATACAGTAATGGAAGACCCGTTTTGTCGCAATTATATTGAAAAAGACCACCGATTTTGTAGAAGTCGTCGGGAAAGTAGGCGTCAGTTCTCTGGTTAACTCCAAACGATTTTCTCCACTCGAGTGTATCTTTCAAGTTGTTTAGCGCCAACTCTTGGTTACAGTTATGGGCCAACAAATACCGTTTCAAAAGCCAATCACATTTCTGTACTCTTCGGACATCGCAGTCATCATACAGTCTGTCGTTATCCTCATTATAACTGTTGAGAAATTTCTGTCTTAAACTTCCGATTTTTTCATTCAATTCATTATCATTTGACTCGTCATTATTGCTTTCAGACATGTTTCGACTCAAATAATATTTTACAAAATTAATTAATTTTTACTTTTAAAAAACTAAATTTTTATGAAAAAACTATTTAAAAAATCATTTTAAATAAAATATAACTAATAATAATGATAATTTAAATTTAAAACAAAAACAATTATAAAAACTATAACATTTTACGGTTAACTAAATTAAATGTTTTTTGCCATTCATTGTACATTTCATACAACTATTAACTGGCATTGAATGGCAACGTTAAACATAATTTGATAAAATGCTATATAATTGATATGAAAACTTATTGGTGGTGTGTATATCTGTTTTATAAAAATTATATATATATGTGTAGAGTATATGTAATATTTTAATATATCACTAGTTTTTGATATCAAAAGATACTTTTCAGTTGGTATTACCATTAGAAACTTTATCTGAATTGACAAAAATAAATGATAACAATTTGATATACGTTTATGACTCAGTTATTATTTTTGTTATTTATATTACAAACAAATAATATTTTCAAAGTAAAATGAATTTCAAAAATTTAATCTAAATATAAATATTTAATTAAAATATATTATTAATTTACAATTAATTTATTATAATTTTGTTAATAAGTAATTGTTTATTCAATAATTAATTCAACTTACCTAAAAAATATTGAACTTATAAGTTACAAATTGTAAGTTACAATACAAAATTTAACGAATATTGATATATCATAATAACTAATGTATTTTACTGTTCATCAAAAACATTAACTAATATATTACTTTTTTAAATAGTTATATATTGTTATTATTATAATTTATTTTTTGAATGAATGCAAATGTATAGACCAAATAAAATGTATGCTATTGTTTATTTATTTAACATTTATTCCAATTAAAATTATGATAAAATTTGATATTAAAATATAAAAACCAACATTTTATAACTTAAAGTAAATATTTGTATAAATATTTCTCTATTTATAAGTTATGTTTGATAATATACTGTATATCGACATTAAAATCGGTCAAAATTGATAATATTAAAGATGTTTTCTATTATAAAAGTTGGTTTATAAAACATTTGTTAATTCAATATAAATTTGACCACAAATTCAGTAATTAATATTATTGTTATTTATTTATTTAATATTAAAGTTTGGTTTTCATACATTATATTATTATTATTATTCTAACAATTTTAAAACAAAATTGTTGATCATAGAAAAAGTTTGATATAAATAAAATATCATTATTATCAATATCTGGTTATTATAATTATTAATATTAAAATACATTATTTATGATGAATTAATGAATTCATTAAAAATTACATATTTGCGTCAATTATAACAAATACAGCATTATAAAATTGAAACATACAATTGAAAATCCGCTTATTTTTATTTATAAAATTATCAATAAAGTATAGTAACAATAATAATTACATTATATTTACATATAGTTGTGATTCTGTATTCCAGATTATAATATAGACTTTTACAAAAAAAACTAAATTTTATTAAAATAAATACTAAAATAAAAATATAATTCTTACAATTCTTTATGAATTTTAAATAGTGAGACAAAATAATTTTTAAATGTAGTTTACTTTATTGTATCAAATTTAAACAAAATGTTTTATTATAAGATATTTAAAAAACATTGGGTGAAAATATCGTTAAAACTAAATTTATTAAATAGTCATTTAATGTTTAGTAATGATTACATAATTGTTATTACACACCACAATATTTTGTTTAATTTTTTTATATTATGCTTTTATTTATCAATAATATAAAATATATTTTTTTACATTTATTCAAAATAAATGTTATTAATATAAAACTTTTTTTTCTATCTATAGATAATATTAATATATACAGTATATGTATAATACTGTATGATGTCAGATAAATAATATATATAAAAAATGTATGCAAAATAATGTACTAATACTTGGAATTGAGGAAATTATACTAGGATATTTTATATGATACACATAAACACATAAACAAATAAATACAATGCAATAAAAAAGTTGACATAAATTTAATTACAAGTTTTATTTAAAAATTTAAGTCAATTTTATTTACAAAAATGATTAATTATTGCTTTATATTGTTTTACTCAGGTTTTTATAAATTATAATTTATATTTTAATTCAAATAATTTTTACAATTAGTAAAATTTATTTTAATATAGTTTTAATTATAACAACTATCGATGGCAAAGATGAAAACGATTGTGTTATGCAACGCATTCATGAGTGCCAACAAAATCATAAAATTAATCCCCGATTTTATCCAACGGATTTGGATCAACTCAAACAGTATTGCAGGTAATTAGTGATCAAATCTTTGTATTTTATTTATTTAATAGTTTATTAATGTTTTTAATTTATTTATATATTTTAAGGACTATTGAACAAAATGACGAGTGTTTGAGTACAGTGGGGTCACAGTGTCTGAACGATACGGCAAATGTTAACACAGAGGATGTGATCAATCATATGAATAAACAAACGACTCCTCATTATAGAGATATTTGCAATTATACCTCAACTTATAGCAGATGTAAGTCATTGATAATTATATGATACTATTATTTGTTTAATGACTTCAGTAATATTTGCATTTAAATATTATCACAATATTAGATTATTAATACAATATTAAAAATATCCAACATTTTAAAATTATATAATAATATTTATATTATAGCTAAAAAATAGTAAAAGTTTTAAAAATATAACATTTAATTGAAACGATTGTTTGAATAGTGTTTGTTAAGTATGGGAAGTGTCTGAAGGAAACGGTTTCCGAACAAAATAAATGTCAAAACAAATACCGGGTTTTGATTCAGTCTAAAGAAGACTTATTGTTAACTGTGGGCTATTCACGCAATAATAGCAGAAGTGATAATTACCAGAAAATTAGACAAATTTGTTGGTATAAATCAATTTGATTTAATTGTTATATTTTGATAAACAAAAAATTTTATTTGTTATATTTGTAATCAAATGATAATTATGGTAACAGTTGGTGGGCTGAATACCAGACCTGTGCCATGAAGATGGCAATCGACCGGTGCGGACAACAAGCGGCCGTTCTTCTCAATGAAGAGTTTCATAAACTCCATACAAGCAGTTCTACTGCTAAGATGCTGACCTACAGGTCATGTCTACCGCAGGACCAGTCCTACACATTTCCCGCCTGTTTTCTTGACCATTCACTCGAACCAAACCCAATGTCGGTAATTATGGATAACAATGAATTAGACGTCGAAGAAAACAGTAGAATCAAAGATTTACAGCAAACTCTTCAAAATAAAGATCTCAATGGTTATAATCAATCGGATTTCACGCATTTGATTGAGGCATCAACTTATAACTCGGCCACCGATTTGTGTCCACATTTGATTGTAACATTCACTCTATACTTATTAACTTTTATTAAATTCAGTTAATTGTTATTATATATTATATATTATTTTTATTTTTAATGGAAATATATTTAGCCTGTAATCAACAAATAAAATAACTTTTTAACTTTTTAAAAGCATACTTAAGATATTATTCAAGTAAAAAGTCTGTAACTAATTGATTAAATTGTTTGGCAAACTCCTGGTGTATATTATGAGATCCTTCCTTAAATCTATGGAGTCGGGCGTCGGGTATTTGGCTCATGAGATACATGGGGTGCTCCAAATCAACTAAGGGATCACAGTCGCCGTGCAATATGAATGTTGGACTGCGGATATTTTTAGCCTCATTTCGGCAAATGTCGTCCACATTGATCTGATAGTGATCCACAAGTTTTTCCCACATCGGTTGCAACTCATTGCCGTAAACCCGTTCAAAGCATTGACGAACAGTCGGATTCCAAACCTATTGATAAATACATAATTTTTCAATTTCTATTTTATCAAATATTTGTCATTTAAATTATCTAACCTTTATATTTTTAGTGGCCATCAGCGCCCGTTTATTTTCAGGTTTACAGTAAGCACAGGCACCCCAAACAATGGTCTTATCGATAACAGACTGATACTTGATTGCCATCAACAGTGCTGTCTTAGCGCCGTCACTCCAACCCATTAGAGAATATAAAGTAATGTCTAATTTCTATAGATATTCACCAAATATACCATTAGTTTTCTATTGAAACAAATTCAAGATTAAAACCTGCATTAACTTTGCGGCCAAATCTGCGTCTTTTTGATAAATATCTGGACACCATTTTCGCTCAGGTGGTCGACTAAATCTATATATTTATTTATTTTATCAATTTATTTGATCCAAACTTTAATACAAAATTAAAGTTGAGTCATTAAAATTAATAAATTAAAGTAAACAAACCCATAACCGGGTGGATCCCATGCAATCAGAGTAAATACTTTTGGATCAAAATTGTCTAACTGTTCTGTAAAGTCGGTTCTTGTGGTACCTAAAAAAATGATTATTTATTATAATAAAATAAATATACAGAAACCAATTTAATAAGATTGCATACCTAAGCCACCCGGCAATAGTAGTACCACTTCAGATCCATTTCCAATTTTTTCATAATGAATATTAAGGCCGTCGATTTCAATTATGTTGCCAAACATTTTTTTTTTATTGTTATCACTAATGTTATACAGTATTATATAATATTATTAAAACTTTTTATGAATATAATGCTTATAAATAACTTTTCTCTTATTCTGATGTCAATCAAAATTACATTAAAAATTAATACAACATAGAAAAATCACGATTTTTTTATTGTTGAACTATTCAACATGTTTTAAAACTTAAAATAAATAGATGGGCACAAAATATTTCATTTATGACAAACTATGGTATAAAATGATTATACAAAATAACAACTGTTAGGCAACATTACTATTTTTGTAATTTAAATAATAATTATAATTGTCTATTACTATATTTTTCATTTTTATACTATATTTCAATGATTATGCAATAATATGTTTTTACTCTTTTTTCCTTAAAAAATTATGTATATTTTAAATATATAATTACAGTAATATAATATATTTTTTTAAATAGGTGATTTATGTTTAGTATATATTTATAAATATCATAATTAATATATTATAATAGTTATAGTAATTTCTTAATTAAAGAATATAATATAAATATTAAGATAATTAATAATTATAAACTTATTTTTGATTTTGTCTCAAAATATTGACTTAGTTTAAGTGTTAAACCATAAAATACTATTTAAAAATAGAGATAAATAGATCTTTTTATACAGTAAACTATAATTTAGTTGACTTATCAATGTTTTTACGTATTTTTATAAGGAAATTATTATAAACCTTACATATATAATACAGAATGTATACATATAAATTTATATATACTATAGTTTATATGTTTGTAAATTAGTTATAACTTATTTAAATGACTAACTATACAACACATAAAATATATTATTTCGTATAAAAGTCAGATAAATAATTATATTAAATTATAATTATTATATTTGAAACAATTATAATCTATTTTTCACTATATTAAACATGTTTTAAGTCTTGTCGTTAATTGTATAGATAAATGTCAATTGAATTTATTATGTTTTGTAAATTTAAAAGCCATTGTTAACAATTCCTAAGTTAATAAATAACATTAGTCTGTATAAAACATAACTGTTTCCTCGTCTTCAATATAGTCATAATTTTTAAAATATATATTATTTAAGAGTTTTGGCACTTTTTATGAAGCAATCAATTTGAAAATAATGCCAATCAAATTTATTATAAAAATTATATTTATAATTTATTAATTTATAATCATATACTATGTAATACTATTTAATTAATTTAAAAAAAACAATTTTAGTCATAGTATTAAGCATTTACGAGTCAAATGATTTTTAAAAATTAATTACACTAAAATAGCAAATTTAGTTTTAATAATAATTAATATAATGGTTTACTGAAAAAATAATTATTAAAGTTAAATACAGTAAAATCATAATCAATTTATATGTGTTAATCCAAATGTTTTTTGTTGTTACCCGTCATGTGGCGTAACTGTGATTATATTATTTTACAATTAATATTTGAATTTTATAATTAATATTTTTCAAAAACTTATTGAATCTGATTTTAAAAATGTGTTAAAATTTTATGTTTAATAAGAATAATTCATAATAGAATAACCTTGAAACAAAATTGATAAATTATATAAGATTAGTATTTTTAAAAAATTATTTACTTTATAATATTGTCGACATTTTTATTAAATAGTCAAAATTGAGTTTATTAAATAAAATAAAGTTATTTGTCTTTAAAAAAAAAATCACAAAATAAAACTTTTATAATGCCTTTTGATATATACTTTATCGATGCCTTTAGTGATAAACCTTTTGGTGGCAATCCGGCCGTCATTTGTTTGCTTGAATATATTGTATGTATAATAAAATCTTTTCTTTAAAATAAAATTTTCGTTTTTATAATTTGTAATTTTAATTAAAGGATGAGTTAAGAGATGATATAAAACAAAAAATTGCAGCCGAAGTCAATCAGCCGATGACGGCATTTGTGTCACCAAATTGGAGCAAAAATGATAAAAACAATATCAATAATAGTAGTAATCATTATAATACATATAAAATACAATACTTTACGCCTACGGGTGAGTTCCCACTCTGTGGTCACGCGACTGTTGGCGCTGTCCTCGTGTTAAATGAACGACAAACTGATAATAATAAGTCAATAAAAAAGTTTACATTTGAGACAAAGTTTGGCGAAACACTTGTGACAGACATTGATGACAAACAACAGATCACTGTAACACTTCCGTCTGATGGATATTATAAAACAATATCATTGTCTGATAAATGGACACAATATGTTGTATCAAATGTTTTGGGATCAAATGTCGACAACAATAATGTTGAAGAAGTAGTTTTGTCCAATAAATTTGTTTTAATTCGTCTCAAAGATTCTGATGATAATAATCTATATAAAGTTGAACCCAATTTTCATCTATTAAATCGTTTGGATGATCGCAAAGATATCAAAAACGGCATAATTATCACCCAAAAGGCTGATCTCCAGAAAGATGGCATTCATTTCTATTCTCGAGTATTCTTACCGTGGATTGGAGTCAATGAGGACCCGGTCTGCGGGTCAGCCCATACACTGCTAACACCTTATTGGTGTCAAAAATTAGGACTTAGTGGACAACAATTAATAGCCAAACAGTGCTCTCAGAGATCGGGTATTGTTGGCTGTCGTCTCAATGGGAATGGCATACAATTGAGTGCAAGTGCTGTCATTGTCTTAAAGGGACAAATTTTCATTTAAATAATTTCTTTATTATTAATTTAATATAAAAATCTATTTTATACACTGTTATTATGTTATAAAGTGTTATTTACATATAAATTATAAATACAATATTAAAAATTATATCATATAGATTTTTTAATTGTAATATATTCTAAAAAAATATGCAACAAAATAAAAATTAATTGATTTCAAAATTGTTAAAAATCAATTTTCAAGTCAAATATCGCATAATATTGAATTTTTATGCGTTATTTTATAGATACAATAATAATAATCATAATAATCATATTTATCATAATAATTATATGTATGATTGTATATAAAATACACACATTTTTTACAGATGAATAGATTTGTGTTACAATACAATAAAATTTTTTATGTAAGTAGTTTGTGCACAATTTTCTGCAATAAATATTTTATATTTTGAATTTATATTTTCAGACTTGTAAAAAATGCTAACTTATTAATGCAAAATTATACTGTAAGTACAGTACATTACTACAGTAATAATATCATAGTTATGTGATTTTATTTTAATACAATACAAAATTTTAAATTAAAAAATTTATATATAATTTATTTTTTCATTGAGATTTTATTAGTAATAAGTTATTATTGAACATTGATAGCATGTTAAACTATAGTTTTTAAAAATAAAATAAAATCTATATTTGACTTTATATATTTAATAGCATGAGCTCAAAATATTTTTGTAATTTTTAAAATTGTCAGTTTTTATGATTGATATTCAAGTAAAAGTTTTCATTTTTTTTAATTAAAAGATAATAACAAGTTTTGACATTAATTGACAATCATATGATGACTTTGACGATATCTTTTAGAAGTAAATTTCAATTAATATTCAATCATATATTAATTTTATGTTATTTAATAAATTGTCAAATAGTGTTAAAAAATAAACAAAAATGTTATATACTTTTTTAATATTTCCTGTTATTTATTTAATTTTATTTTCACTTTATTTAATTTGCAATAATATCATATATATATATATATATATATATATATATATATATATATTTAAAAAATCAATTAAGAATTAATGTTATATATTATAACTATTATTGTTTAGACAAATTAATTTATACAGCTTATTTGTCAAATACTACACATAGATTATTAAAAACATGTTGTTTAATAGCCTTATAAAAAATTTTATTAAAAAACAAAACATTAATACTAATTATAATGGTTTAATGCCACGTCTGGCTAAGTAATGTTAGTTTATTTATAATAATACTTATATTATTATAATTATAATTAAGTATTTATTCATATGCTAAAAATATTTATTATAATTACATATCAAATAAATTAAGTTTGACTTAAAATATATATATCATATAAATATATTTATATAAATTGTAATAAATTGATTGTTCAATTAAATGCTTGGTTAGAGACGTCACTGCAAAAGGCTTGATGTTTGAAATACTTGCAGTTGTGGTGATAATGGTTGTGACACCAGTCAGATATATGGCCCATAAAAATGTCAGGTATGTGTCCCAATCCACACAATAATTATTGTCATATGATTTGATGATAATTTCTTTTGGGGACATTATGCACACTAAACACATACACACACATATGATATATAGTTTTGATAATTGTTTTTTAATGTCTCATAACGTTTGATCAAACTGTTTGTTTTGTCTTGAAATGAGATAACAAAACAATTTTGTTAATCACATATCATATCATTGACCACAGGGTTGGGTACATTTTGGGGGATTTATATCATATCTAACAGCTTGTCTGGAGTGGTATTCTTACTTGATTTGTGTCTTTATTGACTTCTTTGGTCACATCTTTTGGTGACTCATTGCCCTTCAGTAGGTGTTCCTCATGTAGTGGCGAATCACTATTATTGTCTGCAATTTCCGAGTTACTGGTGATCCTCATTGTTTTACGGCGTAAACTCATCCAAATAATGAGCGCCAACACAGATATTATCACTAATAAAAAGATCGCAATTATAACAGTAAGCACTGCTCCAGTTAGCGAACTGCTCCGGGAGTCCGTAAATAAGCCAAACAATATGGAACTAAACGATGTCTCCAATAAAGGACATTCGGTAAAGAAATTATGCGGTGATTGCGACCAATTGTCATCATTCAGGTCATCGTCGGTTATATTGAGACCATTTGGCAATAAATTATAAAATTCGCGATCAAACAATATTACCTGTCCCTCATCGGAACCGGTAGTGACGGCACTGATTTGGGTAGACAGTGGCTTCGGTGGCTGAGCAAACACTTGAGTGTATGGGTTCTCCACACATGGGGTTCGGTAGCTTACGTTGTATATTATTGAATCTATATATTGTTGAAAAAATAAAATAAAATTATTTAATAATTAATTATATATATATATATTTATTTAATTAATTAATTTCATGTTATGTTTATCGACAATAATTTTTTAATTAAATTAATTATTATTTTTGTTTTCTTATTGTTTTTTGTCATTAAAAATATAAAATATTTTTTTTAATTTCTCATGCAAACAACAAAAATATCTAAATCATTAAATTTATATATTATTAATATTTCATTACAATATTATTATTATTATTATTATTATTATATCTTTATATGGCATTCTTTCTTAAATTAAAAAATACTTTACAATCAATGGTCACCCCTTGTGTTTGTCTATTATTTAGGAAACCGGTTATACAATTTCAGTATTATTATTATTAGATTTTAATGTTATATTTTTGTATAGCCACTGATAAACAACTAATCTTTAAGGTTATATTGTTATTATTTACATTAAAATTTTTAAAAGCATATTATGAATACTGTTTTTCTTAAATAAAAATAATAAAAACAAAAAAAACTATAATATAACTATTTATAATATTATATAATATAAGCACATCAAAAATTAGCTAATTATATTGGTTCTTACAAAAAAAAATTTAATAAAAATTTATGTTTATCTATCAAAATTAATATTATAGTTATTATTATGTATTAAATATTATATTGAGTTACAGATTTTCTCTTAAAAATGATTAATGAGAGCTTCAATTAACTTTAAGGCAAATAACAATTATAGAAAAATATTTATTATTTAAAAATAAGATAATTATTTTAATAAATTGTTTGGAAATAACGATACAAGCCTTGTATAAAATAGGCGTTATGTCCGACGACCCCAAAAGCGGCGTCCAGTGACCGCTTGAAGTTGAAGTTCATGGTTGCAAAGTAGTTGTCTGATGTGGAGCACACTTTCGAGTCAAGTGAGCACCGGGCGATTCTTGAAGGTTCTGTCCAAACACCAGAATCGCTACCATTTTGGCCCCACTCGCCAATCAAATAATCCATTGTAAGCCATTCCTCTTCACTGGTGCCGGGGATATGCCGTTTCTGTAAAGACATACAGTCACGCAAATAGCTTAATATATTTTGTTCACAATTTTTTTTTAAAATCTAAATATACAGTATATTAACACAATTTTTCAAAAATCGTGAGAAATTGCTTATTAGGTTTTCTCTCATATAATCTCCTTTAATGTCAAGTATACTAAAATATTATTTAAATGGTTTTTAAGGTTAAGCTTTTTATTTTTAGAGAAAATCATTTAAATATTCATCAAAACAATTAATTTTAAAAATATAATTTAATGGCATATCATACAATTTTTGTGGTTTTTAAAAAAAAAATTCTGTATATTATGACTGCTGGCTAATTAAGCCATTCATTTATTATATAAAAACATTAAATATAAAACTATTTTTGCTTTTATTTTGCTTTCAATGACATATAAATTAATAAATAAATCTTACTTTAATTGCGATTAAAATCTTAAATTAAAATGATATTTTAAATCATATACTAAATATACACTGTATGTACTTATATATATATACTACTATATACCGATACTATTAATAGTATATATTAGGCTTTATGTATCAAATTATCTTAAAAAATATTATAAACTATTATATAAGTAGATTAACATTTTAAACTATATAGTATACATTAAAGTTTGTTAATGTTAATTTCATATAATAATCATTTTTTATTTAATTTATTGAATTATCAATTCAAATTAACAGAAAATTTTAAGGATTTATTATTTTTTAAAAACTTTTTTGAATAAATATAACTATAATTAGTGTCAAATTATAAATTTTAAACTAAACTTTTTGTGATAATAATCAGATTTATATTTTAATTTATATAGTTATATCTATTATATTTTCTGTAAAATGATACTAATATTATATTTATTTAAAAATATTTATTTCAAACCCTAAAAGAAAAAAGTTGATTATATTAATTATACTGTTTTTTATTTACAAATATATTACAAACTAAATACAGTATATGTAGTACTATGCAAGCGGTTTGACATAAATTTTAATCACAAAAAAAAAGAAAAAAGGTTTATATATAATAATTAAATCAATGATAATAATTTTGTATTATTATTATTAATAATAAAAATACAAAATAACAACATTTTTGCCAAATGACATAAAATATGATATCATTTGTTAGTAATTATCTCAATAACATTGATTGTATTAACACAATTGCTTAATGACTAAAAAACTTTTACCGGATTTTGTAAATGAATAAAATGTTTGTTGAAATTATTTATCAAAATTTATGAAAATATGCATTTTGTAATAATAATTTAACTAACTATTTAATTATGTATATTAAATCTAATTATATTAGCTTTTATATAACAACAAAACTGTATTGTGAAATAGTTATATAATTATTTTGTAAAAGTATACACTGAAAAATATCAAACTAAAATAAATGAATTATATATATATAGTGAATAATAATTTTCTGTAAATATAAATAAATAATAAAAGCAAATTAATCATTTATTTTAAAAGTCACAAATAAATTAGTGTTTTATCTACAAATAAAACCCGGATATGGGGTTAAGCCAGAAATTTGTGATTTATTTCATATGTTTTTGTTAAATACAATATAATGACATTATATAATACATGCACTGATATCCCACATTTAAAGCCAAACATATATCATACAAAATATAATATTTATTTAAAGCGAAATAAAAATAAAATTTATAATATATCACTAAATATGGTTAACTTACAATTAGTATAAATTTCTAATATTAGAAAATATTTGTCAAAATATATTTATATATCGTAAATCATTTATATTTTTATATTTCAATTATTTTATCAAATGTGTTAAGCATTTTTGTAGACAAAAATAGCATTAGAAAATACAATAAAATTAATGGATTACAATAATTGAAAATCCATTGAATTTAGTTGAAATATATATTATTATTATTACAATCAATGGTATTGTTATGGCACAAGTGTCACATAAAAACAGTTGCAAACAATATACCCAAATATATTGTATATAAATTTATATAATGTCTGGCAGTTAGTCTCACCTGAATAAGCAATAGTGAATAGCGACCGCCCGGGCATTGAGTGGTATCCCTAAGCAAAGCCACATCGGGTTCAAAAGCGTACGGCAATTGACGACCACTTTCAGCAATCGGCAAATCGTTGGTCTGATTGATAAACCAATAGTACCGACCACTGGCCACAAAATATCTTTCTACTTCATCACTAAATATGACTCTCTCGATGGCTGTTACGGGACTACCGTAACAAACGTCCGGCTTATCACAAGTAACTACTGTTAAATGTAACCATAAAACTATGGCAGAGATTACAAGCACTGGTAGTTTTAGTTGATTGAAATACATTTTGATAATCATTGAAACGATTAAAATTTTGCTAATATATAAGATTATTTTATAATTGATTTAACAACAAATTAATCCAAATAGGAAATAATGGTGTCATTTTGCATTACAAATTTGTTAATCCAAATAATAAACAATTATTTTTATAAAAAAAATAATTTCACACACAAACTGTAAACAACATAATATGAAAATCCAATAATTTTGTATATTTAAGACAATTTTGATGATTTATTTTTAAAAATGTTTTTATTAATAAATTATATTAAAGAGTTTTTCAGTGCTGATTGTTTTAAGACACCGTTAAAAATCAATTTAAATTAAAAATTTAAAACAACGACAATTAAAACAATAGAAAAAAATCAATGAGAAAAAAAGTTTAGTTGAGTTCAATTCAAATATCAATTTACAATAAAACAAGAAAATAATGATTAAATTATTGATTAAAAATTCAGTTGTAATGTTGTAATTCAGTTGTAAAACTGTTTTCAGATGAGATTACAAAAGTAGTTTTGAAGAAAAAATACAAAACATAATAACGGCTTTTGTTTTGCAAAACTAATTTGTTTTTTCGTTAATTAAAATAATAGTGACACTAAAAATTGTTATCAAATAATTTGGATCACTTGAGAGAGACACACATTATTATAATAACTTACATAACATATAATATATTATATACTGTATATATAAATAAATAAGTTATATATGAATTGTTGATAATGCGTTGATTCACAATATAATACACAAACTGTTTGAATATATTTGAAAAGTTGAGCGAAAATTTTAAAGTTTTTAGGCGGTATTGGCCTCAAAATAGTCTCACTTGAATAATACCTGTGCGCCTGTTTAGAGCGCCTTTAGATTTTTGGTTTGCAAGTTGTGTTTAGATTTGAAAAATTCAAAGCGAGAGTTATATTACCAAAGATAACGAACTAATGTCTAACTTTTTTTCGTAAAATAATAATAATAAGCCCAATGAGAGGCTTAGGTATACACAACTAATGGCGTAACGCAATCAACTGAAACATGTATGAACTTCAACCACCAGTGCCCAGCAATGATTGTTTGAGGAGAGCGAGAGAACCTGTTTCATACCAACCGACTGACTGAATTAGAGGGGAGAAACTGCTGGTAGTTAGGAGTGAGAGCACTGTTAGTTAAACACAACAACAACAACAACACTGAAAATACATTAAAACGTTAAGTAAAACCTGGTTTTTGGCACTCAATGCCTATGGAGTCAACTTAGTTGATGTCGACCCTCAAGTTTGTTGGATTCACCTTACGATTTGAATTTTTGGCATTCAGTTTTTGTCCAATCCATTGTAATACCGGTGCTGGCATTCACTCAAACATATATAACACTTGTCTCTAATGTATCATAACTTTGAAGTATTACTGAAAAGGTTGTGTCAAAAGTTGTATTAACAATATTTCAATGGTTTCCCTCTCGCTATCTCATCATATACTATATACACACAGATGTATCAACCTTTGACATACAAGTTCTATTGAAACGGTAGTTCCCTCACAAAAGTCTCGATAAGTTTATGACTTATAAATATATATATATATATAAACTATATTATGTTAGTGTATTCTAACTACTCGTAGAAAAAATATACAATAGTTGTGTTGAAATATAGTAGTAATAAGTTATTACTACATATTATTATTATCATAATCGTAACCTAACGTTTCGGTTGACAAATTAAAATACAAACTAAAGTGTCTATTATAATATATATATATATATAGTATAAAAGTTTTGTGAACATACGAATACATTATATTATATAATGCTTTAAAATGACAAAAAAACCAATTTTATGAATAAATAAGAAATATTTATGAATTGGCTTTAATTCATTTTTAAATTCATGTATTAAGTGTATTACCAGTACTACTAACTTATACATTGTCAATGACATTGCCGTATATATATATATATATGAAGGATTTTATAGTAATTTTACTATTAGTTATGTTGCATTAATATATACATTATTAATATAGATACTCATAGGAGAGCATAGGTATTACTGTAGGTACTACTAACTACTACTATAATAGCAATACCTATGGGTTTAAACAGTTTTTGCATTGACAATAAAGTTTAATAATGTACATAAATATTTAATAAATTAAGTCAAGGCAACGCATATTAGTTTGATATTGATTTTTTGGGGTTTTAGTTTTGGCTTCAAAAATACATGATAATTACAATTGTAATTTACAAATGGATATAATAGATAATTAAAAGTATTAATGATATTCAATATTTTAAATATAATCTTTTGATTGGTTTTCACATTTTTTGTAGCAGACCATTGACAATAAAATAATTTTGTTTGTCATTATTATGCACAACAGTATACAAAATATTATTATTATTATTATAGTTATTAAATATAAATTTAATATTTTTATTGTGATTATATTACAATATATTAAACCAAACATTATTGCCTTGAGTTAGGGTTTAACCAACTTTTTGTATATTCAGGTATGGGTCTCACCATTTGTTTATCACCAGTTATTGTGATAATTATTATTATTTTTTCATGAATACATTGAAGAGTTATTAAGTATTAATACCATTAGTTCCTATCTGTTATCATAGCTGTTGTTGTTTTATGCAAACCATTATTGGCGTTCACCACAGTTTAAATCGATGGTCCCTATCATGCAATTCAATGTTATAATTTTTTTTAGAGTACTATTATTATTATTATTATAGTTTTGTTATTGTCGTTAATGTCTAAAAACAAAATATATGGCAAAACAAGAAGTAAGACTTGATTTGGTAGACACTCTCTGCCAGATTTGTCTCGAGATTAGGTCCTAACCTAACCTGAAGTCACCGTATGTTATGTCACGCGAAACAAAAAACAGTTTGAAAGACAAAACAATGCCATTTAAAGTATATTTTAACTGTTTTGACGAATTGATTATTAAAATCAATGGCAATAATAGCTGTAAAAATTTACAACAATAGAAATAACATTATGTTATAATAATAATGTTTTTTTTGTGTTATATTTGTCTTTCCATTTATTTTTATGCTTTTTGTCAAAATTTTTATGCCATCGTATATATGCTTCTGTTATGTAATAGCTTTTTAAGCCATAATTACTTTATATGACTGCAAATGACATAATTAGCAACATATTTTGTATAAAACAAAAATTATGACAATTTTGATTTTAAAATCTGAATTTCGATATAAATATCTAAGAAAATAAATAATACAATAATAATATTAAGAAAATTAATTTTCATTTTAAAATTTAAAAAGAAGATTACTATTAAAAAATATTCATAAATAAGTAAATATAATAAATATTTATTTCATATAATCATTTTTTATTTGGGTAGTATTTTGTATATTTTTTCATATTTTTTGTAAATTAAACAATTTTTACTAGTTTGCTTTAATTGCTTTTAATTGCTTACTATAATAATGTTTAATTAACAATTATTTAGTTTTTAAGTAAATTGGTATCCACAGAAACAATATTTTTTAATGATAAAGTTTAATAACTTAAATTATATATATATATAAATGCTATATAATAGCTAATAATTATATATACAATACATTATATATATATATATATATATATATATATAGATTTTAATAACACTAAAAAATTAATTACAATTATTCATATAATGTCAATGGACTTAATAATCATAGGAGAGACCAGTAATTTATTTCGTTTTGTTTTTATTATCCAAATGACAAACAATTTGATAAGTTTTATATTATGTAATTTGCTTCGGTTTGCTATCTATTAATCTATACTACAATTATGTGTTAAAATATTTATTTTAATGATTACAACATAAAAAAGAAAAACTATTTTTTTATTGTTTTCTCGTATTTTGAAATGAAAAAGTCATTATTATAGGAATCAGACAGTTATTGGCCTCACTTTCCTATATTTAGAAATAAATTATAATTTTATATTCAACTATTAATAAATTTTTAATAACATCAAACAAAAAATTGCTAATTATCTATAGCTAGAGGTAGATTATATAATAATTATATTGAATTTTTTTATTAGAAAGTTTAATGATTAAATAAATTATTATTATTTTGCAATTTTAATTTAATTTTCTAAAAGATAAATAAATTTAAATAAATATTAAATGCAAATTATAATAATGTTTATCAAATTGTTTTCAAATGAGGTAACATATAATGTGTTAAACATCTTTACAAACAAATTTTTTTCTTCATATTATATAAAAACATTATTGTGTTCAATGAATGATTCATAAAAGATAATTATAAACTACAGCTATATAAACATAAGTAATAACTTTATATATATATATATATATATTATTAATGCATATTAAGCGTGGCTTTTAAAAAGTTGATAATTATCTATGACTAAGATATTTGTTTTGCATTAGGAGTGGGCGTTCAACGAGTTGCCCCTCAAACACAAATGGCGATCACTTCCTATATCTTTATATTTTTGTGGATGTAGTAAAAAAAAGTCGTGACAATTGATAATTTAAATTATAAAAAGCGTTGAATTACATAATGACTTTTGTAGGTATAGGAGGCGCGATATATATTGATAGCCAGGAAATGGTATTTTCATAGCTAAAGATTCAAACCATACGAACCCTTAATAGGTGTGGAAAAAATTAATACACAATATTTTTTTTGAATGACTATTTAAAAAGCAAAGGTTTATTCATAGAAAATATGATTTCCAAGAAAAAATTGCGATCCATTGAATCAGTTTTGATTCACACATTTATTTTATAACACAGTCATGAAAACAAGAAATTTATTTCAAATTAAAAGACAAGCAATGTATTAATGTTCAAAATTTTTTTAAAAGAGTAGACACTAATTACTATTCATGGCCTTCAAAAAAAAAATTATTGAGTGTAATGTAAGTATTTCGTTGTACTACTAATAAAAAAAATAATATTGTAATAATCATAATAGTGTTAATTGTTTATCGTTTTTCTCACTCTTTTATAATGAGAAAAATTTTAGAATAGTATATCATTGTATTTAAGATATTATATATAGACTAAAAATAGCCAAATTATCAAAAAAGTTTTCTACAATTATCCAAAACATAAATTAAATTTTTTATACATTATTTTATAAAAATGATACATTATGCAATATAAAAAACATGATTACATAAATCTATATTTATAGTATAGGTTGTACACTATATGTTTGCATAAATCAATTTTTATGTTTTAAATGATTAAATTTAATGATAAATCTTAATATTTAGAAAGTAATTATTGTAATTATTACTTTAGATAATTTAGTCAATAAATATTGCTATTAAAAGTTATTATAATATAAAATCTATCGACCCTTTTAGTAAAATGTTTATATTATAAATAGTTTTGTATGATTTCTGATTGGATAAGAATAGATAAATCTTAGATCGGATCAGTTATTAAAAACTGTATCTAATTTTATTATTATTACTTCTATTATTATATGAAATATTTTTTATATTTATCTATTAGACTATAATATAGTTCATATAGATTGACAATTCATTTAGTGTTTTATTAGATTTAAATATTTCAAATATTATTATATCTTAATTTTAATTATATATATATATATATAATTGCTTATATATTATTTGTTTCTACTTATTATTTATTATTATCCTAAATTAACAACATATTGAAGGCTAATTGTATAATGGATTGCTAATCTTATTATACTATGAATGTTAAGTATTAAAACCAACAAAAGTTTTTTTTCATGATTTTGTTTGAATAGTATTTGAAATGTTGGGAAAAATAGCAGTTTATTGCAAAATAATTTTTCTAATGCTTTGTCAAGACTCACATCAATCATTATGAATGTCCTAAAATCAACTATTAGTATAAAAATATATATTATATACAGTCTGAAACTGAAATAACAAATCAAAGTTAAAAGATATTTATCATAATAAATGATATTCAGTCAATATTATAGGTATTTATTTAACAAAATTTTCAAAAAAGTAAAATTACAAAAATTAAATGTGAAAAATTATATTTTTTATTTGTACTTAAAATTTAAATTTAAATTTTTTCTTCTTATTTATTTTCACTGATATGTAACCAACTTTTATTTAATAAATCATAAAAGTATACATATATTGAAATTTCTAAATTTAGAGACATTAAATTTATTTATTTATATGATTTTTATAGTAAAAATAAAGTAAATTACAGTGTAATATAAAATTTCTATTTCTATAAATACAATGTAGTGAACTAAAAATAATAATTTAAAAATCATGTATAATACAGATGTAATCAAAATATTTATGTGTCATTAGGTTTTCAAATGGTTGACAAGTTTTATGATTATAGATATGATTTATGCGGTTTATTCAACAAAATTGATCACAAAATTTCACCGAAAAGCGTCTTAATATTGTTAATAAATACTGTTTTATATTAAAAATTAATTTAATTTTATAGAATTTTTTTTTGAAAAACATTAATTGCATCATTAATTTCTTTTATATATTTTTGCCATTAATAATGCTAAAAATAAATATATTTCAAAATGCAATTTTATAAATTAATTTTTTTTGCTATTTTTACAATTTTATTATTTAATTTTTGTTGTTATTTTACCTTATATTTAAGTAAGTTTAAAAAAAGTAATTTACGATCGTTAGTAAAAATTGTTTTTATTATATTGTGAATTAATGTCATTTTAGATTTCCTTTAACAGTATATTTAATTTGAAAATTTAAAATAAATATCTTATAATTTAATTTTCTAGTAAAATGGATTTGCTTTTATAAAATTAAGTAATAATAATAACAAAAAAAACAATTATTATTACAGTTATTGTTATTATTTTGGCAAATATTCTGTATTAACTGTTTTAAAGGGTTAACAATGAGTTGATTAATGAGTGAATCATTTGACGGATTACCTGAACATTAATAAACAATAAGAAAATACCTGTCCTTCGATACAGTCCACGAGTTTTCAGTTTACTCGTTCACAGTTATAAAGTTTAGTTGTTGTCTACAATACAAAACATTGTTTTTGAAATCACTCACTCACTCACTCACCCACTCATAAACAGAATAAATTTTAAAAATATTTAGTTTAAAATTTAGTTAAAGATTTTATTTTCGCAAATATACTGTTAAATAATTTATTCGCAAATAATGAAAATATCTTATTTTATTATATAACAAACATAAGACATAAAGCAAATTATACAGTTTATGTAATATAAATTTTGATATATTATGTGTTTTTAAATCTAAATGATAGTTTAACACATTTTTTTGGTTTAAATAATAATTAATAATAAAATAATTATTACATGTATATAATTAATGTATAATTAACTTTTGTATTATATTTAGCTATTTTACGCATCAATTGTTATTAAGAGATGTTTACATAGAAATTTATTTTTTAAAATTACTATTTTAGTAATTATTTATCAATATTTTGTAGATAACACTAAAATTTAGGACAATTTATTTATTTTTAGTTATTGTGTAATATGGTTTTATTTTCAGAAATAATTTTTAAAAAATCAAAATTAAAACAACTTTAATACAATGGTGTATCATTGAAAATTTTATTTGATAAAATTTTTATTTACAATAAAACCGGAAACAAAAGATAAGTAAAAAATAAATATCTAGTATTTATTTAATCGTATAGTACTGTAAATATTAAATAATAAAAATAATAAAATGAAATACAATATAAATATTCTGAACATTATATTCTTTACATTTATTTATTGAATCAAAACATTTACAACAAACAAATAACATTGAGATTTACAAAACAATAAATTTAAGAATAATAAAATATTTAAAAATATAATATTATAATATTTTTTAATACAACGAATTGAAAATGTTATAAAAATGTCTACAATTTGAATAATAACAGCTTAAATGTTATTTCTATTGTAAATATCATTTTATTTATAATAATAATATCTATGTAAGATATTATACTAACAATAATAAACTATTATATTACTATTATTTCTTTAACAAAATTTTAGCATTATTTTGATAAAAAATGTTAGTTTCATTTAAATTAGTTGAATATTCAATATGTGATAATTTCATTGAATCTATAATATAATATGTTATGAATGTAGACTAGGATGAGGACAGGGATTTGCAGTTTTATAAACGTTTTCATATTGTGAGCTCACCTGAAAATGCAAAATGTAAACTAAATAAAATGTTTATTCATTGGAAAGATTTTTACATTTAATGTTTGTGTTATTACTATTATATTTTAAATTAAATTAAGTAATTTTTTAATGCAAATTTGTTTTTTTTAATATCAATTGCATGATTGTAATCATCTTTTGTTAATTAATGTGTTTATAATTTTAATAAAAAAAATACAATAAATGATAATTTTTATGTTTAGACATACTTTTGTAAATATTTATTAAAATTTATTACAATTTTACGTGTTTTATAATTAAAATAATGACTAGTAATAATAATTTAGTGATTGACAAACAAAATGCTTTAGAGATAAGAGATGTTAGTTTTTATTATAAAAGTGGTCATAATATTTTGAATGGCATCAATTTGACTGTCCCTAAAGGTAAATATAAAAACTATAATACATGTATAGCTAATTATTATAATATTGTTATATTTGATTGTCAGCTGGAATTTATGGACTGTTGGGTTCATCCGGTTGTGGCAAAACTACATTATTAAGATGTGCATTGGGTAGACTAAAACCAAAATACGGAAGCATTTCTCTATTTGGACGGACACCCGGAACACCGGGTAGTCGAGTGCCCGGACCTGCTGTTGGATATATGCCACAAGAGTTGGCACTCTATGAAGACTTTAGTATTGAAGAGACACTTCGCTATTTTGGACGATTGTTTGGCATTACCTCACAGACTATCCAAACAAGAATTGAGTTTATGTTAGATTTGCTTCAATTACCAAATGGTCGCAAAATGATTCGTAATTTAAGCGGTGGTCAGAAGCGTCGGGTGTCTATAGCCACAGGTTATATATATAGCATTAGTTAAATATTATGATTAACTTATTATTTGTTATACTGTACTATATATTTATATCATCCTATTGTAGCTCTATTGCATAGTCCACCACTTCTTATATTGGATGAGCCAACAGTTGGTGTGGACCTAATCCTCAGGGATTCCATTTGGAAACACTTAGAATACCTGTGCAAACGTGGTTTTACAGTCATTTTGACGACTCATTATATAGAAGAAGCCAGAAATGCCTCGAAAGTTGGATTTATGCGATCCGGTAAACTGTTGGCTGAAGACTCACCCAAACAACTTATAGCAAATTACAAACTAACAACTCTGGAGAACGTATTTCTTAAATTATCACAATTGGAGGACCAAATGAAAGCTAATAATCAATTGACTTTTAAAGGCAGATCAGTACCAAAAGAGATTGAAAACAATATTTGTAATACAGAAAGTTCATCGGATATACAATTAAATGTTATAAATAAACAATCAATGAATGAAAATCAAATGACAACCAATTGTTATGTTAATAAAGGCTATACTGAAGAAACCATATCTATAATTGAGACAACAAATGAAACAACACTTAAAACTGTCGACAATACCAATGGTACGGTTCATATGAAACAACAAAGTATCGTAAATGAGACCAAATTTATACAGCGATTGACTGCACTGACACTCAAAAATTTTAGACAAATGACCCGAAATATGGCTTTATTAGCGTTTTTTGTTTTATTGCCTACTATTGAGATCAGTCTTATGATAATGAGTATTGGCAATGATATCAAAAACATGAAAGTTTCGGTCTATAATCCCGATAATGTTGACAATCAAACGCTATCGTTAAGTGAACTATTTCTCAGTGCCATTGATGTCGATCATATAATTATAGTCAGATATCCAACACTTGAATCAGCTGTACAGGCAGTTCGAGACAATGATGTCTGGGCTGTCATTCATTTTGAACACAACTTTACCGAAACATTAAGAATGCGATCGCTATTGTCCTCCGATTCCGATCCGGGAATTATTAAAGACAGTTCCATAAAATTACAATTAGATATGTCTAACCAAGTGATAGGTTTTCAGATACAACGACACATTTATACGGCTTTCGCCAAATTTTTAGGTTTTCTGGCTATTAATTACGGCATAAATCCCGACGCTTTAAAGCCGCCCATAGTTGTCGGTCCGCCTATATATGGAGTCAAAAATCAATCGCTTATTACATTTATAGCACCGGGAGCTCTCATTATGGTGGCATACTTTTCCACAACAGTTATGACCACTCATTTATTGATCAAAGAGCGAAACGACGGTTTAGCCGAACGTAGTCTTGTGGCCGGAGTGTCGCCGTTTGAGTTTGTCTTATCGCACATCATATTGCAGACCATACTATTAGCCATTCAAGTCGGTCTCAAACTGATGGTTGCATTTTTGGTATTCACAATACCTAATCGCGGCTCCATTATGTCGGCCATTGCCCTAACATTTCTTCAGGGTTTATGTGGACTAATGTTTGGTCTCATGATATCTGGCGTCTGCTATGACGAGATATATGCAAATACATTAGGTATTTGTGTTTTATTTATTCATTTAACTAACTAAACAATTAGCCAAATCTTACAAAACTAACTGACCATAAATTATTATCTAACATAGGAATCGGCACATTCTTTCCCAGTGTAATGATTGGCGGAATATTCTGGCCGTTGCAGAGTATGCCTACTTGGCTCCGGTATTTCAGTCAAGCACTGCCCTCTACTCTGGCCATTGAATCGTTGCGAAGTATTTTATTGCGCGGTTGGGGTTTTGAAAGATTACCGGTTCTCATGGGTTTCATTGTTACAATCTTGTGGTTAATTTTCTTTTTGATTAATTCAATCATTTTCTTTAAGAAAAAGTTATGATAATTTCATATTACAGTATACACTGTATACTACTGTATATACAGTACAGTACAGTACAGTACTATACTAAATGTATATTATATTTGGCATATAATGTGCCATCTGTTTAACAAATATAACAATTTATTCATTTTTAAATTGTTGAACTATTGATAGAAAGTTTATTAATTTTATATTTTAAATAAAATACAAATATTATTAATATTATATAATGTTTAATTAAAATTATATTAATTTAATAATAATAAATAGTTTCAACAAATTTATATTTTAATACAGTTTATGAATGTATTATTGTACTGAAAATTTATACATACAGTACTTTATAAATAAGTTATTTTAAAGTAGTTTAATTCTAATTAAAAAATTATAATAAAATTGATATTATTTTTTTTAATTTTACATATGTATTGCAAGTGATGCTACATTACATTCAAAAAATAATTAAAATAAATTATTTATTGATCGCAATTTCAATGCACAGTATATTTTAAATTATCACAATTGGAAAACCAAATAAAAGCTAATAATTAATTCGACATTTAATAGCAAAACAATAATAAAAGAGATTAATTACAACATTTGCAATACAATTAAATTCAGTTAATCTGAAATACAATTAAATCATATAACCATACAATCAATAAATGCGAACCAACTGACCACCAATTGCTATGACAATAAAAAATATATACTGAACCTATAATTGGGAAATCACAAGAAACAACACTAAAAACTGCCGACAATACCAATGGTACGGTTCATATGAAACAAAAAAGTATCGCAAAATGTGACCAATTTATACACCCACTGACACCCAAATATTTTTGACAATTGATTCAATAAAATGTTTTTTAAGAGCGTTTTTTATTTATTATATTTTAATTTAATTATATTACTACTACAGGTAGTAGTAGTAGTAGTAGTAGTAGTAGTAATAGTAGTAGTAGTAGTATTAGTAGTAGTAATAGTAGTAGTAGTAGTAGTAGTAGTAGTAGTAGTAATAATAATAATAATAATAATAATAATAATAATAATATACTACCGGTATTACTAATAGTCTATTGTATGCTTTATTAAAGCATAAAAATAATTAGTATTGTTATCAATATCTTTATGAATGGAAAAATTTTTTTGCCAAATTATATTCATAAAATTTCTCTATTATTTAATATATTGCATAATAATTCTATTATTGAAATGTTTTTAATTATATGACTTATTTTATGCAAAATTTAAAAGTACTCAACTTATATTACTACTTATAATAATATATTAGTATAATTAGGCAAATTATTATTACATTTAAAAAATTAGTAACTTTAATATAATGTATAGATATGTTTAAGTTTTTTAAATAATATTTATTGATTCAGATGAAAGTGAAAAGTATATTGATATAAAGTATCTGCATATACAGTACAATGTAAAACAATTCAAATTTCATGTAATTTAATGTAAAATAATCGAAATAAATACTATAACTACATATTAATATAACTGTGTTGATTATTTTGTAAATATAATAACAAAATGTGTATCGATTTATTTAATAAATAATTGTAAAAATATATAACTTAAAACACTGGTACTTCACTCAACGTATAATATTAATATATATTATCACAATCTGAGACAACAATAATCGATAGTATTACAGATTTTTGTTATAAATATTATTTGATTTGATTAGTGAAAGCTAATATTAAATATTTATTATTTAAATAATAAATTATTTGATTTTATAATTAAATTAATAATGAGTTCACAAATAAATTCTTTAGAGATAAGAGATGTATATTTTGATTACAAAAATAGTGTTTCGGTTCTCAACGGTATTGACGTTACGGTTCCTAAAGGTAATGAAAATATAAAAATTAGTTAATTTATAATATATTTAAACTGTTATTTATTTATTTACGGTAACTACAGGTGGCATATATGGACTGTTGGGTTCATCGGGTTGTGGTAAGACAACACTATTGAAGTGTTCATTAGGACGATTAAAGCCAAAAAGTGGTTCAATCTCACTATTTGGTCATAAACCGGGTTCTCCTGAAAGTCGAGTCCCCGGACCCGGTGCTGGTTATATGCCACAAGAGTTGGCCCTTTACGATGAATTCAGTATTGATGAAACACTCGTATATTTCGGTCGGTTGTTTGGCATCGATGGACAAGTGGTTCAGTCGAGGATAGAGTTTCTCATGGATTTACTTCAACTGCCTGTTAGTCGACGTCTGGTCCGACAATTAAGTGGAGGTCAGAAAAGGCGTGTTTCAATAGCCACAGGTATTTGACTGTAATAAATATAATTTAATATTTTATTAAATTAATAATATTTTTTAAAAGCTTTATTACATAACCCACCGTTCCTTATACTTGATGAGCCAACTGTCGGTTTAGATCTTATTCTTCGGGAGTCAATTTGGAAACATTTGTACTTTCTGGCCAGCAATGGACTGACCATTATTGTGACCACTCATTACATAGAGGAAGCTCGGGGTGCGTTACGGGTTGGATTCATGCGATCGGGTAGACTTCTAGCTGAGGGATCGCCTGATGAGCTATTGCTTCGACACGGATTTCCCACATTGGAGGCAGTCTTTCTTAAGTTATCAGAAATAGAGAACAACCAGAAATCGGAAAAAGATCTAACATTTGATTGCAAAACAGTTTCCAATGATATCATAGAAAATGATGTAAACAAAGCTAATAGTTTCTCAATGAAAGTTATTATCAATAATAATAATAATAATAATATCGAAAATAACAAAAATGAAGCACAAATGACAAATTTAAACAATTGTGATTTTGGATATCAAAACAATGGCTACATTCCCGACGGCAATGAGATTACTGTTTTTAGTGACAGTAGTGATGATCTTAAAGAAAAATCTAATACTCAAGAATTACAATCAAAAGATATTAACAAAAATTTTGAACGCAAGAAAAGTGTGGTAAAAGGTTTGAATCAATTACGCGAAGAAATTATTATTAGTGACACTCGTTGTCTGAACCGTTTGATTGCTTTAACATTGAAAAACTTTAAGCAAATGTCCAGAAATCCTATTTTATTATTGTTTTATATATTAATGCCGGCGATTGAGATCAGTTTACTTATTGAGTGTGTGGGCAAAGACATCAAACAGATACCGGTGTCTATTTATAACCCGGACACGAGCGGCAACTTTAGTAAAATGTTTATCAACTCTATTGATGAAAATCAGATCCATTTAGTTCATTACAAATCATTGGACGACGCTATGAATGCCGTCCGAGTCAATGATGTTTGGGCTGTCCTTTATTTTGATCCACAATTTAGTCAACATCTCATTAGTCGCTTCTATACATCAGATATGAATGAAGAATCAGTCAATAGTAGTACAATACAGTTAAGGATCGATATGTCTAATCAAGTGATCGGTTCACAGCTTAGCAGATATATTGCCGAAGCCTATGAACGCTTTGTCAACAATATAGCCATCGGTTTAAAAACAAACTTAACTACAATTAAACCGATTGTCAATAACGGTTTGCCAATATATGGACAAAAAAACGGACTCTTTAGTTCATTTGTAGCTCCCGGTGCTCTTATTGTGGTCGCATTTTTTGCCACAACTACAATAACGTGTCATTTGTTGATCAAAGAGATAAACGATGGTTTGGTTGACCGCAATTTGGTTGCCGGTGTGCGTCCGCTTGAGTTTGTTATGTCACACATTATATTACAGCTTTTTATGCTTACCCTTCAGATCGGTCTCAAAGTAACGCTTGCTTTTGTAGCTTTTGGTATACCACATACCGGCTCTATAGTCATGGCTACTGGACTAACTTTCCTTCAGGGCACGTGTGGCCTAATGTTTGGCTTAATGATTTCAGCCATATGTCCCGATGAAATGTACGCAACCACTCTATGTATCGGCGCTTTCTTTCCAACAGTTATTATCGGCGGTATCTTTTGGCCGATTGAAAGTATGGTACCGGCACTCAAATACATCAGCAAAGTATTGCCCTGTACTCTGGCTATACAATCTCTGCGGTCAATACTATTGCGTGGATGGGGTCTTAATGAGCTACAGGTATACACTGGCTTTATAGTCACCTTATTATGGCTTTTATTTTTTACGATCACAGCATTGACTTTCTTTATAAGAAAATTATAAAATAAATATAGAAATCAAAATATCATAAGTTTATAATTTATTTAAGTTTATTAAGTTTATAAGTATTAATAAAAACTACTGTATATTTGCTTTTATTTATTATTATTTGATTGTGTATTTGTGTATATTTAGTATTTTAAACTTCACTAATTAAAGTTCAATATAAATTATATGTTATGATTAATATTAACTAATAATAAATAACAAATAAAATTATCAATACTTTTATTTAATATTTATATTTGTTATCAATTTAAACTATTAAATTACTAATAGTAATCATTTTTGATGAAATAATTTCATAAAACAACAAAAATTCATAAAACTAAATAATCTTACCAATTAATAATTAATATTTTATTAAAACACAGTGATTTATTTTAATTATGTATATTCAATATTGTATATATAATACACTAATAATTGTTTTTTAAAATTATGATTAATATACTATTAAACATTTATACATATGAATTAAATAAATACATTATTTAGCATTAATAATAATGCATATTTTATATTTGTCAAAATTTTATAAATACTTTTATTTTATTAAAATCTAATATAATTATAAAAACATATTTATTATAAATAATAAATATTAAAATTAAAACAATTTAAATTTGAAATTTATATCAACTTGTTTGAAATAAAAAATCTAAGTTTTTTATAATTATTATTATTTAATAAAACTATTCAAAAAAATTGACTTATATATTAAACTTCACTACAATATAAATATTAATAATAGATTTACTTATAAATTAAATATAAAATGTTTTTGTCTACAAAAACATTGAATTATTTTTAAAATTTCACTAAAAAAGACAGAAAAATTATTAAATAAAAAACAGTCAATGGATTTAAAATTATAATCAATTAATTATCAATTAAACTGCTTAAAAAATACATGTTTTTGTTTAAAAAATTGACATCTAATTTATAAAGTCTATCAGTATATCAATATTAATATAACTATTTAATCCACTTTATTGGCCACATTTCGGGCGGCACCGGACAACCAACGCCAGACACTTTTGAGTCCACTTTTGACTGAGTTTGAGGTGATGGCCACCACTTTCGTCAGTTTTTTGCCGTAAGACTTCATAAAGAAGTTAATAAACAGACAGAAAAACAGCGCATATATGAAAAGGCCGGCACCGGAGGCACTGAGCGATGTGTCGCAGGCTTTGGCCGACCACTTCAACCGAAAGGCCTGTGCGTTGATATAGAGACCGAATACCATTTGGACGATCTGTGCACTAGTGATGATCATTGCTATGGATCGGGAAACCGATATACGAAGTGACTTCAATGCATAGTATGTGTACATCAATGAATGTATGGCAAAGTTCATGTTAACCATCCATCGGGCACTGGCCGGAGCCTCACCGATCACAAAGAAAGCGTAGGTAAGAGTTAGCACGTGATGTATCCAATGAAGAGCAATGAGCGGTTGTTTTCTTAATATAATGAATGCCGTGTCGCCTAACTCTACCACTTTAGACCACACAAATACCCAGTACCAGAAAGTCAGTCGCACGTCATAATAGTATGAGGAGGAACAGTAGGACGACTCAAGACCAGAGTTCCAGATGACCGATACAAACTCAGGTAGACATCGGATAGTACCGAGGATTGAGAAGATGGCCAATATTGCGTTCCAAGCAAACAACGGTACCCGAAGACTGTACTTCTTGGCCGACATTGACATAATATGTTGTCCAAAGAGTACGCCCACCACGTAAGCCGTACATACGTATAGTGCGATCGACCAGTTCTCGTACATCCATTGCCGATGATAATCACGATTAAATGATGCCTCTATATTAGCGGCAAACGGCAGTCCAGGAAACTGTTGCCAATCAGTGGACACTTCGTGACTTAGCAATTGGTTTACAGTTACGTCCGAACCAAACATTGGGACTATTGATACAAATGTTGATTAAACTAATATTTAAAAATTAATTTGTAATTTGTGTCCACACGTGATCTAATAGAGCACAGAGTAGAGGCACTGCAGAGTGGGATCGGGATGTCAGACACTGGTTGTGCACTAAAACAGTCAAATAGACTCCTGAGATAAACCTCAGGTAGTTATTGCTTAAGTTACTGTCTTTTACACTTCAAATACACTTACATATACATACATACATACATACATACATACATTCATACACACGAGCTTTCAATTTTTTAAAAACTTTTTTTTTTAAATCACAAATCACTTGAATGTATCGGTTCAATGTCAAAAAATGTTTTCAAATACAAAATTATTAATAATTTACATAAAATATTTAATTTTTAAAAAATGGTGATATGATGTATAATTACTATATGATGATAAATTACTAAAATTTGAACAGGCACATAATTATTGTTATAAAAATTATTAATATAAAATAATTTTATTGATAAATTTGCACAAAAGTAGGCGTTTTTTGAATATAAAATTTTTTATTAAACTGTATTCACTTATTGATAAATTAATACTTAAATAATTGTTTTTAAAAAATACATTTTTATGTTGAATATCTTGATGTTCATCGTTGAGAAAAAGTAGATATTTAAAAATAATTATATATTTATTAATAAGTATAACATCAAAACTAATCGATACTTCAAAAATAAACTTTTAGAAAAATATCATTAAATACCATGTATTAGTAATCAACACAAGTATTAGTAATATTTTTATTATTATTATTAATGGTTTATATGTTAAGTCAACATTTAAAAAATACCATAAATACTATACTCTCAGTAATAGTAGGAATCTGGTTGTAAAATGGCATATAGTTATGAATATTTATGTGATTTCAATAAATGAGAGATGATATGACATATATCATAACTATATGTTAAAACTACACTAAAAATTATTATTATTATTAGTTGTATTTTATTTACTAGTTTGCACAGCGAATGTATTGTATTATTGTTATTAATTTATATTGGATTATAGAAATTATTACATATTTATATATACAATATATTTTCTCACCAAACATATAATTGGGTTTACCTATCGTTTTATTTGTCGCACAATTATAAAGTTTATTTTTAAAAAAGTAATTCATTAATATTGTTTTGTTGATATTTTTATTTATTAATTTGTAATAAACTTCATGTCGTACTATCAAACTATCAAAATAATATGAGTTAATTTAAATATAATAATTTTAATTTCACAACTTTAGTTTATTGTTGATTTTTTGACTTTTTAAAAACTAAGTTATATATATATATATAATTTATATATAATTAAATATAGTGTATAACTGTAATTGAAATGTCGATTCTTTTTAAGCAATTGAGAGATGATAAGTGTTTTTTTTGCAATATTGATGTGTAATCTTGTGGTGATTCAGCGCTGATGATGTTTAAGGCTTACAAATGTACTGTAAATTACATAACTAATACCAATAACTTGTAATACAGTTGTAAATGTAGCACATGTTCAATACCTATATAATATACATTAAATAGTAAATAGTAGTTAAAAAAATTATCTTTTATATTATATAATAATTTAGAATATTTTATTTATTATTTTAAGAATAAAAAATATTAGGATTAGATTATAAAATTGATAAATTTATTTTTTTATTTTGTTAAAATATCATACTTTAAATATCTGTTTAGTTAGATATGTACAAAACATTAGATACATTTGTATTTAATAACAATATTAAATTATAATTATCATTATCATTATCATCATTACTTACTATATTTACAGCCAAATGATGTAACATGCAATTTACCTAACCTTGTTTATTTATAATTATTGTATATCGGTTTATGATAGCAATTTATACAATAAAAAGTATATAGTAAATATGATATAACAATTTATTGCATTTTAACACAATCATTAACTGAGATTTTGTCATTATAATCAAATTACTGTATGTTTTGTCAGTGAAAAAATTTGTCAATTTATGATATTTTAGTCAACCCGACACTCAATTTTATACTTTTGATAATTGTCTGATCGGAAGTGTAAGCATTGCAAACAATAAAAGATAAAATAAAGGACTGATTGCACATTACACTACTCTTTACACATGGCTTATCATATTGTATATAAATCCATGAGCCAGAAGTTTATATAATATGGTTAAGAGTGTCGGTTGTTTTATTTTATTTAAGTACAAATAAGTACAATAAATAAATATATTTGGGACTCGCAATGTAGGTAATTGTAAAAATCATGCCATCATATGGCCTAACAGTCACTAAGCATGTGTATACTGTTTGTATCAAATCCTGCCTCACTATATACAGGCATATACTCTGTATATATTTTATTATATATACTGTATTTATAGTACTGTATGGTATATTTAGGTGGTTTGTGAATCAGACTCTCTGTAAGCCAAAACCATAATACTAACAACAACATCAACTACAAGATACGGGGCATTTGGGATACATATTATTTTTATATAATATAATATTTCATATATTCAAACATAAATAATATATATATTATTTTTACGGTTAAGAGCTAACTGTTGTTTTTGTTGTCATAGCAGACTTGAAATAAAGATATAAAAATTATTATATTTTTAGAGAATATATAATATATTATGAATGTATGTAACAGAAAATACTATAATTTATATATAATTATAACAATAATGATATAATAATCATAAACTACTGTACATGAAATATACATCTGTGACAAAATATATATACTGTATATAATATTTTGTTAAATTATTTGTTAATATTAGTTGAGTTAATAATTTGGAAAATACCATTAATATTATCACCATCATATTAACAATTAATATAAATAATCTACTGTATAAATACATTAATAAAAATAATTTATAAATTGAATATTTTCAAATAAGTGAATATTAATCATTAACTATAATAATAATGACAATATAAAAATTATTATTTGCTATATTGATATTTTTTGTATAAACAAATATGTAATATTTTATTATATTCAATGCATAGTAAAAAGTATAGTAGTTATAGAAATTTATAAAAATCTAATAATAGAAACAAATACAGTAAATACCTTTTGTGTGTATATTTTGCTATTACTACAGTAATTCAGTTGGCAATGCTATATAAAATTATTTAAATGCACTTTTTAAAAAATAAAATAAATGTAATTTTTAAAATTCACAATATTAAATAAAATTGCTCAGTGCTAAAAAATTTACATTTTATTAAAAAACAAATTCAATGTTAACTGTTTTGGTAAATTTAATATTAATGAAAAACGACAACAAAATTATTAGTATGACTTACTATCAAACACTACATACACTGCAATACTGTCGACTATATATTTAATGTTATTTTGACACTTGTGTTATGTTAATGTATTTATAAAACACGATACCTACCAAAGTGTACAGTAATATGATATATAAATTTATATGATAGAGATATCACCCAAAATAGATTTGGAGTAAAATATTGGAGTACAACTCTGTAATAATAATAATAATAATAAAAATTATTTATATGTCAATTCATTATTAAATATTAATTATTTAATTTCTTTATGTCATTAAAATGTTTAACTGGTTTTTAACTATAAGATGACAACTGAAAATTATCACACCATAACATTTTTGAATCAATTCAAATAATTTTAATTATTATTTTTAATATTTAATTGAGTGACATTTATTGTAAAAATTTATTAATAACAACTATTACATAGTTTAATATCTATTTTATTTTTTAAATATCTTTTTCATTTATCATTGAAACATAAAATTTATTATCGTTTTTTTAAATAAATTATTTATTGTGAAATCACTGCATATAATTATTATGATTATAAAAATAAAATCTCATATGTTATCACAAACATACCAATAATGATTCAGATAAAAAATTTGATTGAAATAAAAAATAATTAATCAAACTTGTAATCTCATTGATATATCAAATATTACATAACGTGTGGATACATATTAATAAATATCAATTACTAACTAACACACACTTATAACAGTAAACTTATATTTTTTATTAAAAACATTTTTAAGTCAATTGTCTACACATGTATTTTATATCGGTACACATATTTTTAATATATATTATTTTATTTTCGTTAATTAAATTTGATAAAAAATATTTTTAAAGTTACTTTAATTACATTAGAATAAAAACACAAAACATAATATTAAAACATTTACACTACTATACCATTCAATATTTTGAAAACATCACTAATAGTAAATGAGTTGTTATGTAATGCAATCATAATGTTTGGGCCAATACTAGTTATATAATATTTATTATATACCTGTTATGAAACATTATATATAGCTTTATATAGTCAGACAACTATTTTTATGTATTATTATTATTTATTGAAATACCTGTTTGTTAAGCATATGAGGATAGAGAGAAAAAAGACACATAAGTATACTTTTATCTCTATCTCTCAGCACTACAATACTACCTGAGCCGACATCAGACATCTATCACTAGTGTGTAAAACTATATAATATTATCTAATTTATTGTAAAATAGGCACACATTTACCATTACATCCTTTTTATGTATTGATAACACAAATTTGCAGTATATGTAGTTTGAAATGCAGATTATATAACAACAAATATTACAACAAAATATATATTATATAAAATGATTCAATACTAAAATTGAATGAATAGTTATATATTTTTTATACACTATAGACTAGTCCGACACCACTATAAGGAACTGTAGATTTTAAGGTCAATGATGTATCTAAAGTATATTAACTAGTTATGTAAAGAATGTATAATTATTATAAATTTTGTTTTTTATTATATTATTTAATAAAATATAATTGTATTTATAAAGCATGTCTATGAGGAAATTATATATATATATATATATATTAATGTGTTAATGTTAATAATTAAATAATCAATAGGTTTTCAAATCAATCATATCTTACATTAATAACTTCATCAAAGAAAAGACTGGAATTTATTAAAATTGTAAAATTAGTTATTAAATATGTATTTTATATAATTTAATTTAAATATAATAAAGATATTTTATCATTATATAATTTTATTGTAAAATATAGTTGTGTATTATTGTTTAAATTAAATAATTATAAATAAAATCAAAATTTATTGTTTTGAATCGCGCAATAGTAATAATTATGAAATAATTTTATTAAATCAATGAATTTCTTATACAATTTAATTATGATAATATTTTTGATATCTATATGAGTATTATTTTTAAAGAAACTAACAAATCTATAACAAATTAATAAAATCCATTAAAAATTTAGGAATATAAGATTTAACATTATTTAGTCATACAATTTGTGACATAAATAAACATAAATATGATATAAAATTTAAATAAGATATACATAGCATTAAGTATTTACATAAACATTTTATATGCTAAGTTAAAAAAAAGGTAACAATTAGTAATAATTTTTTTAAAAATATTTATGAAAAATAACAAATTTTAGTTAATGTTTAAGTCAAATGTCAAATTAAAATTATGTCATTAATAAAAAAATTAAAATAAATAGTTAATAAAATTGAAGTCTAATCTCCAAACTTATTAATAATTAGATTTATAGTGTATTTAGATTAATAACCGGGTTTTTTGTCACTTTTATAGCTTACGGTTTAATAATTAAATTAATTATTATTATCTGTAATATTTGCCATCCATTTAGGTCTGTGTTCAACACGTTTAATATTACGTCCCATCACTTTTGACGACCGCACGCGTGAGTTATGTTTGAGCTCCACTTCTTGTGGGTCTTTATAGGCATATTCAGTGGTGGTTTGACTGGAAGTGGACGGCGATTGTTGTTGACTTTGACTTTCAATAGTGCGTAACCGTAATATCTTTAGCCTATCAATGGGTGTTATGATGGGTGTGTTATTGGGAATTATCCAGTTTTCTATCCTCTCGTACTCACATTTCTGGAACCGTTTGTGTCTGACTTTGGCATCAGTCTTGGTCTTAGTAGTCATAGCCCATGGAGACGGAGCACCAACACCTTTGCCAGACAGTTGCTTACCATTTCGTTCTTTCTTCTTATTTATAATACTTTCATATAATTCATGTCCACTGATAACAGCATCTGATTTCGGTGTACTGGTCATCAGTTTAACAGATTTTTTCAATTTTGGTTTTAAAGTTAATCTTTTGTTTTCTTTATTTTCCTTATTATCGGTCACATCGGCAGACAATTTAACCATTTTTTCATTTGACATCTTATTGATGGTGTTTGTGTTACTATTATTAGTGGACAAGTTGTCAACCGATTTGAGCGGTTGACCTATTAGTTCCTTTGGTTTTATTGTACCGATCCGTTTCGGTAATAGCTGTGACCACTCACTGATAATTTTGGCGGCAAACGCCGTAACATCTTTTGCCAGATTTAGCTTAAGTACTTCATTGACAGTAACGCCTACTTTTGTCTTCATTAACAGATCCAATGTCATCGGTTGCCAACGCAGTTTGGAAAGTAATAGTAGGACAATACCCGGCACTCGTTTGCGGCCAATTGACGGCGATTTCATTAATTTAATTAACTTATAGTTTAATTTAATAACTTCCGTCTCCGAGTGGTTACTCATTTTGTGACTGAATTTAATATAATTTAGTATTTAAAAATTATTAATAAAATTTGATTATAATAAAATTAATTAATAAGAATATTGAATAGTTAAAAACATAAAAATTTCAAAAATATATCATATTAACAACAATAAAAATTAAAGTCACAATCGTTTAATTTAAAGTTTGAATTTAATACACTTAATAACATTAACACTTAACTATTTATATAAATTAATTATAAATGTATATCTAATGCTAAAGTATATGAATATTTCTAATACTTTGTATAAGTTTATTATATTTCCAATTATAATATTATTATTTTTTGGCAATTCATTTGCTTTTAAAAAGTAATATTTCAAAAAGTTTCAAACCTATTATAATAAAATGTTGATCTATTAATACAAAATATTATTACCGGTAATTAATAAAATGACATTTATCTATTATACTGCATATTTTGAAATCTATATCATATAAAACTTTATATACGATTCAACTATTTATAAAATTTACTAAAAATAAAAATTATTCAATAGTATTTATTTTATTCTACAAATTATATGAATTTTAATTAGTAATTAAACATGAATTAATAAATTAATGAAAATTAAACATTGACAGTATTTGTCTATTTACTATAAATATAAATTTTATAGTAGTTTATTCATTTATTATAGCACTTGATTATCGATATGACTTAATAAATAATATATGTATATAATATAATAAATCTTTTTTTATATAATAACAAAATCATAATTATAAAATAATATTACCGGTATATATAAATTTATAACTAAAATATTCTCATAAATAATCAAAATAAATAATATCAATATTTAAATTGAAATAATTAACAAATAAAACTATTAAACTATAAAAAATGATAATAATTATAATTACATTGTACTGTATTATGGAAATACATATTTTATACGCATATGTTTTACACGTATTGTATAAAAAATAGTTAAAAACTAAAATTGTAAAAATCATATATCATTAGAAAAATAAAATAAAAATAATTAAATTCAGTGATGAATACAATTAAATAAACACTAAATCATAACAAGTGATTGATTTTTGTAAATCAATTAATTAAACGGAAGTCCAATTGAGATCTTTTTTAATCTTTGTGCTGTTGATCACCACCTAACAGATCCAATGGTGGCTTCAATAGTGACTCTTTATAATTCTTGTGATAATTTCTCTGAAGTTTAGCCAAATAGAAGAAAATGGCTGAAACAACACCAATGATGAACAGTTTGAGTATCGGATGTCTTACGTATGGCGAAGAATAGTTGGCCACATAATCCCACGTAACCAAAGCCATACCAACTACCAGTCCGAGTGCGGCGCCCACCCACGGGATTTGATAATCGTAGGCCCTTTGCTTCTGTAGCTGATCCAGTGCTCGCTTGATTGACCCATTGATACTGTCTTCATGTTTGTCACTATTGTTGCCATCAGTGTTGCGATCAATGGTCAAGAAGTGTAAAGACAAATGATAGCTCTTAAGCGCTTCCTCGTAAAGACCACACTCTAGATAGACATCTGCGCGTCGGACGTATCCTTTGAACCACTGTTGGTCCAAATCTATACACTCTTTTGCGTCTTCGGCCGCATAATAGTATTGCTGAAGACGTAGAAAAGCCAGACTCCGATTGGAGTACAGTTTGGCCGATCGGTTGTCCTCTTTGATAGCGTGTGTATAGTGTATGAGTGCTTCGGCGTACTTCTTGTCGGCCATACATTTGTTGGCCTGAAGTCGCAATTCTTCAGCTCTTTTAGTATTCATTGTTGTTATCAATTGATCACAACTTTGTCGACAATAACCACAACAACAACAATACTATGACATTACAAATATTATTACATTAGTTGTTGACTAATACAGTGATAAACAAATTGAAATTGTCTACAAAAACTCTTAAACAAACTGTACTTGTTTTACACAAATACTGTATATTGTATTACGTTTACAATTGAATTTAGTTTTGGGATTTTATAATTCAATAACAACTAATGCTTTAATAATACTAATCTTGTTATCTATAATAAGCCCAAAATGTGAAAAAATTCATTAATTAAATTAAAATTATTTAAAGTTGTCATAAAAATGTTAAATAAATTTTATATTGAATTTTGATATTTATTTATACTTTAATTTTTTACTATTGATTATTAGTTAAACAAAATTAATATTTATTTAATATAATTTTTAATTTCACATGTTTGTTGGATCAATTAATTTTATTTATCTATCTAATTTATATATCATATCTAAATACAAGTTTATATTATAAATTAAAATCTACAGGTAGTGTAAACTTCATTAATACTATATTGTAGTCTAATTTAAAATGTAAGTTACAGTTATAGAATAATTTTGAAATTCTGGGAATAAAATATACAGCAGTAAAACAAAAGAATATTCTGTAATATATTAATTATATTTATCGACTTTTTTATTGAATATTTTAATTTATATATTTCATGTATAAGAGTGGAAATATACAATTTGTATTTTTATTATATTAGTATTTAAGTTATTTTATAAAATAATAAACTTGATATTTACAGGTATGTTACGAAATTATGTGTAATGTTTAATAAGTAATATATCTATATATTATTATTAACAATATCTATAGTATTACTAGAAAATCCCAAATTTATGATATAAAAGATTATAAACTCTTTAATTACTTTTATTTAAACAATTATATAGTTTATAATTAAAAAAAACTAATTATATGATTATACTGTATGTATAAAAAATAACAATGTATTAATTGTGGTAACTAAATAAAAATATGTTATTTTTATATACGAATATTTTTTGTTATTATTACTGTTATTGAAAAATTTGCTCTCAAAATATGGTTTTAATGTTTTTAACACATATTTTTGACAATAAATTTTCCATACAGTTATTCTCATAGTTATATTATTCAGTTGATTAATATGTGTATTAAAATTTATAACTTATTTTTAATGTTTATATAATATATAAATTATATAAGTTCTTTATTTCGCATTTTTTTAAACGTAAAAATAGCAAAATATTTATATACAGTATATTAAAAGTTTTATTCAAATTTTTCTTATAATAAGAATGTTATGTTTATTTAATGTAATTAAAATAGTAATATATTTTATGTGAATTTTTCCACAAAATTATCTACAGTATATGTCTATATCCTATAATTTATAGGCTATAAGTGATGTGACTATAAATATAACGGCAATAAAATTATTAAAGTTTTATATGACTTATGTTGTGATGAATTAAACTAATAAACTATTATATTGTATGTATTATATGTTTATTTATATCAATTATAAAGTTATAATTGCTTTATTATAATATGTTTTGTGTATAAGTTATATACAGTATATGATAAGCGTTCTCACAGTTTTATGATTATATTTTAATCACTTTTAGTATATAAATTAAAATATTAACAACATATAAATATCTAATGTTGTGTCCAATGTTTTGTATTTATATCTGAATTTATAATAAACAATTTATTTGCATAATTTCTTAAATTATCTAAAATTATTAATATTAAAAATTAAATTATGTTTATATGAAAATTCTTTGAAAGTAATGTATTATATCGTTTACATAAAGGTATGTTTTAATATTGATTTGTTAGTATTTTGTTTGCTAGTTAAACACTAAAATTATAATAATTTAAAAATTTCATATATTTAACAATTATTGTGTAATATTTAAAAAATTGTAAAATATATAAAATATATTTTTGATTTTTCAGAGTAATTACAAAAAATTGTTTACATTAAGAAAGAGGTGCTTTATTTTATAGAAAGCTTACTTCATATAAAACAAGTTTTATATTAATAATAAACAAAGTTTAGTAATTAATCTTCAATTTGTTTGACTTATCTCAAAACAAATATCAAAACTGACATTTATTAATCAACACTAACACAATAACTGTTAGAATATTAATCATATTTTACTATAAAGTTTTCATTTATTAATTTTAGTTTTTTAAAAATTTACATTACAAGTGTATCATCAGTTTAATTGTGATTTGATAAACATATCAAAATTAAATATTTATCATTCTCTCTATATATGTGGTTATTAATAATTATTAAAATAAATTTTTTATTTTAATTTGTGGTGTCAATAAAATAATGAAATAAAATAAGCTATAAATTATTTTTTAAACTAATTTATAATTTATTAGAGTATTATAACAGATTTACTATTATAAATGATAACATATTCTAATTCTAATACTGTTTGACTATAAAATATTTATATTAATATATATTAAAATTTATCAAACAAATACCGCTGACATAATAAAACATTTTTTTATAATTTTCTGTACAACAAAAGTGCAAATAATTAATTATTTTTATTGTTTGTAATTAGTGTCTAATAATTGACATTTGATTGTCATTAATATTGTTATGGAAAAAACAAATGTGTTTTATATAAAGTATTTTCCAAACTAACGAAAAAAAATCATCTGTGAAAATGTCTTTTGACGCAAATAATAGTAAACAATATGCAACTGAAAAATCTCACGAAGAAGATGAGCGACCAAACATAGAGAGCGGTGGATCCGATTCATCGCTGATGAAGAAACCTGTGTTCCGTAGTTTGGTTACCCGTTTGCAAATAGCCTCCCGATTGGCCAGAAATCGGCGAAATAGTTTCGAAGAAGAGAACGATGTGGTGGCAGATGAACAAGAAATCAAAAATTTTGCGCGAATAACATCTCCTTCAACAACAAAGAAGACATCATTTAGACCAAGAAATCTAACTCTAAGACAGTTCAGTCAAATCAGTAACGGAAGTAATAGTAAAAATTATAAACATTTTTTAAGAAATGGATCCAAAGTATCCGATCTTAGTGTTAATGAAGACGATGAGTACGAAAACGGTATTATCTCTGACGGTATCATTCATTTCAGTAATTGTCGACAACAGTTCTCATACAATGAGGTTTATATTTGTTATTATATAATAAAACTCATATTTTTTACTGTATTTTTTAAATATCTGTATAATTTTTTAATTTAATAATAATAATGATTTGTTTTGTAGGCACATCCCTTTCTTAGAGTGACTACCAGTGCGGACATTGAATTTGTAGCACAAGTAATGCATAAATGTTGGACTCTTAATGTACCTAAAATAGTGACATTCATTTTGTCCAATAAATCTCATTCAACGAACTGGACTAATGAGAGACAGATAAAAAATTTTCAAAAAGGATTGATTAAAGTAAGCAATTATAATAATAATAAGAAAAATAATAAAACTTTAAATTATAATATTTAATTGATTTTACTTTAATATTCTTAGTTAATATTAATTATATATACAGTAAAGAAAAGTTAGATAATTTTAATTTGGATATTATTTTGTTTTAATAATTTTTAAAGAGTATATTTTAAATAATATTATAAATAAAACCTTAACAGAACATAAAATTTAGTGTATAGCATAAGCATAAGGTATACCAAATTAAAATAATATTACAATTATAATGTAATTTAAATTAAATTAAAAACCATTGATTAGGCGGCGATATCAACAAATATGTGGATTTTCACAAATGGTATCGACAGCGGTGTCGCCAATTTGGTGGGAAATGCAGTCAAGAATGAGATTAACAGAATGCGAATCATGAAGACACTGAAGAATCATAACTTAACTAATTTGATTGGTATTGTCGCTGAAGAAGATCTCAGATATGGAGCTCTGTTGGCCATCAATAACAAAGTGTGTCATTATTTTTTTGTGTAATATTTGCCGCTATATTAAATCAATTTACATTATATATACAGTATATCTATATAATTATAAATTACAATTATTTAAGGAACAAATTACGATTGAAAATGAGGGCATAGTTGTTGAGGAAAGGTATGAATTGAACGACAATCACACCCATTTCATTATCATCAAAGATAGATTGAAATATGATAACTGTGTCGACTCTTTTATTATAAAATTTGCTCAATTACTGACACGACAAACACCTACCGATAAACTACAAGCATCGACACCCGACTCATTGGACGCACCGTTTAGTGTTGAAGACACAGAAGTTCCAGTAGTTTCTATATTGATTGAAGGCGACTGTCAAACAGTTAAACTAGTGGTCGATCTCATCAAACGACACATACCAGTAGTTATATTAAGAGGTACTGGTGGTATTGCCGACATAATAGCATTTGCTTATTTAGAAATATGTCATCGATGTCCTGATCCCAAATCGTGGGATCTGGAGTTTATCGACCAGTGTCTTAAACCAATGCTGACCGATAAGATTATACAAACATTTAATGATCTGAAAGACAATACATTGACTCGAAATCTTTTGAGAGACCGTATCATTGAATGTGTGAGACTGTGTCGCACTGAGGATAGGATATATCTAACTGTTCTCAATCTACACAACACATCTTCGCGTAGCCTCGAGAACCTCAGTCAACATCTATTGTTAGCACTATTAAAATCAAGACATACGAAACAAATGAATGAAATGGTATCGTCGGAGAACTTTTTGAAAGATTTAGAGTTAACAATGGACTGGAACTGTCCCGAAGTGGCCAACAATATGTTATTTGTCAAAAACAGTGGCAATACATCAAAACTGGATAAAAGTCTGTTTGAATCGGCACTTATACGACCAAATCGTGAAGAGTTTATCGATCTGTTCCTATCACTAGGCTTTCAAATTCACAAATTTCTATCTCCATCACGACTGAGCCGTATTTTCAAATTGATTCACGACAACGACTTCTATAGTAGTCATTGTTGGGAAAACATATTGAGTCGACCATCGAGTGTCAAACAGCCCAAAAACTTCATCGAAAGTGACTTGAATTGGTTGATCGAGATTCTGACCGGACTCGACAATTATGTCGACATCAGACACCTGAGCTATAATGTTATGGGTTTGAATGACACCAATTCAGAGTCATCTGAAAGACGAGCATTGAATTTATTAACATTTTGGGCGGTTATGCAGAATCGTGATAAACTGGTAAAAGTATTTTGGAAGCACTCGGACCATCCGGTGCACTTAGCACTGGTCATATCCATGATGTTTGACAGGCTCTCCTGGTATGCCGTCGATAATAATATGAAGACTAATTTGAGACAAAAATCCCGTGAGTTCGCCGACTTTGCCAACGGCGCGCTCGACATCTGTTATAATGAAGATATTACTCGAGCTAATAATGTACTCAATCAGTCTATCAGCGATTGGGGCTACAAAACTGCAGTTGACATTGCGGCAAACGCACAGTTACGTCAATTTTTGGCTCATCCATGTTGTCAAAAGTTTCTGACCAATACATTTCTTGGAAATATTCGCATTCGTGAACTCAATTGGGGTATATTTACGGTTCCCGTTTCGATCAAAATACTGTTGTGTGCTTTCTTTATATTTCCATTGTTTATTTGGATTCGTTTCAAGAATAACGATATGGATGTATCAGATAATGGCAACAACGAAGAAGAAGAAAATATTTATGACGACATCTATAGCGAAGACTACGCTCGAGATGTTGTCGACAATAGTAACGAACAAATTGTAGATCCCGTGACTATCGGTTATGTAAATCCTAAGGAAGTGGTTGTGATATCTGACCCGAAAGCGACAACTACTAGCAGTACGGACACAATAATCAGTCGCAGAAAAAATGGATTTAATTATTCGTTAAAAAGCAATCGTCTTTTTGTTGTAAAACAGCCGCCATTAAGCCGAATGTTGGTCACATTTTTCTCGGCGCCCATCACTAAGTTTTATGTCTCACAACTGTTTTATCTACTATTTCTCCCACTGTTATCGTTGTCAGCTATATATCCGGGCTGTGGTTCCGGAAAAATTGATTTACTTGTATGCATTTGGACAACCGTACTGACCATCGACTATATCCGGCGAACATATATTCTCATTAAGAAATACACAGCCGTTCCCGTGTTTTTACGGTGTCTGGAGATCAACTCAGTCATTGTGTTTATAATATTGTTTTCTCTGACCCGAGTATTCAATATACATGTGATCACTCCATATCAGCAAAAGTTAATGTTATGTGCGGCCGTACTATACTTTTATTACCGATTGATTGGCATATATTTGCCGATCTCTCCAACATTAGGTCCACTTTTACATCGTCTAAAATTGATGATTACTGTCGACTTTGTGAACTACATGCGTATCGCACTTCTCATAATTTTAAGTAATATGATTGTCATGCAGGCTGTCCTCTATCCCGATACCGAACTCTCTGTCGAACTCTTTCACAAAGCTTTTCACAGAGCCTTCTTTGCCCTATTCTTGACGCCCGTCACTGAACTCGAGAGTAAGTCTATTGATCTAAAATACAAGTATAACTTGTTGTCTAAAAACCAAATTGTTATTTTTGTAGCCAATGAGTATTGCGAAGAAAATGGTGTCTATAAAGGAGATGAAGATTATTGTACGATAACAGGCAAATACAACATGACTTCGTGTGCCAACACCGGTGTCTGGGCCTATGCTTTCTTTATTCAGTATTTGGTTTTTCTCAAATTGATTCTCTCGACACTATTGATGGCCATATTTGCCGCAACAGCGTCTAAGTTGTCGACCGAAACGGACAATATCTGGAAGTTTCAGCGCTATCTTCTTGTTATTGACTTTGAAAACCGGTTACCACTGCCGGCACCCTTTAGTATCTTGAATTACATTTACTTTATATTCGTATATTTTAGAGATTTGATCTGCAATTTTAGCCAATGCTGTATAAATAAAAAGGTATTTTCAATGAATGTCTAACTTGTGTTTCAGAAAAAAACTAATTAAAAAAATTATTTGTTAGACAAACAAAGTGTTTATATTGAATAGTAAAGACTCTCAGGAAAGAAATAAACTGACGCCTGAAGAGTGCGCTTATTGGAGACAATTAGCTTCAGATTTTATTAAGGAATTGCATGAAAAGGCTGCCAGAGAACAGATACCATTAAAACAATGGGAACAGATTCAAGTGATGAGTGAAGATATGGAATATCAAAAGAAAATTCTTAGAGAAATCAAGAGTAAAGTCAAAGAACTGGAGAGAACTATATATCGCGAAAGATTTGTCAGTAATGTCAGTAATAGTGTTACCGAACAAACCTCAGGGTCAGAGAGTACATGTCTTTCTCATTACTCTCCCTATCCATCGACACAAATAAAACGAGTTCCGCTTTCAGAGCAGTATATTCCGTGGGAAGTATTGCACACCGATTACGAACCAATTGCTTACAGTAAGACCATCGATGAGTTTCCTAATGAACTGAAAGGTTATGTTGACGAAGACATCATTCATTTAAATGAATTAAAATCACGAAATAGTGGTTTAAGAGTTAAATTACCAAAATATGAGTGGAATTCAATGGAAAAGACGACAAGTGATGAAACAATTAATCGTATTTCATGGATGATCAATGACAATGGATCTTCAGTACTGTATAAACTTGAAGATAATTTAATTCCTCGCAATCCATTTGGTCGAACAGGTCTTAGAGGACGGGGAGCTTTTCCGCGTTGGGGACCTAATCATTATGTAATACTTGTGATTACTCGATGGCAAAAACGATCAAAATCTCCATCTAAAGTCAAGAATCTAGAATTAGTTGTCGAAACCGTTGTATCCAATGATCAGTATTGCTTACCAGAGGTTTGTTTTAAATAAATATTTAATAAAAAATTTTAATAATTTTAAAAATATTTTAGCGTTTTGTAAGCGGTGACGACCTGTTCGGTGAAATACAGAAACTGTTCAAAATTGAGTCCATTAGACATCAGTATTGGGTTTTGCCAGAAGTGGTAAACTTTTTTAAGAGCGCCTGCAAACAGTCGTCGACTGAATACTCAATGGAGAGTGTGTTTGATTTTAAACTAATACATAACGGATATATTGATGACTACCTGAATACGGACAACGCCTGGAAAGAGGCCAAAGTCTGGCAAATCCACTATAAATGTGTCGATTGTCTTAAACAACGATTCGATGAGCGAAGACTCGAATGGAGATTACTGTCAGACAGTCTTTTCTCGAAAATGCCTTTAAGTCACAGTCGAGTCGTTAAATCATTGGTCGACACTTTAAATGCAGATATTATTTAATTTTAGTGTAAATTGTTTGATAGGAATTGATTGTAATAATAATAATACAGAAAACATAATCAAATTTTTGAAATTATAAACTATTTTTTTATTGAAAACAAATTGTTTTTATTAAAATCAATTCACATAAATAACAAGAAATTGATTTTTCTTTTATTGACACAAACAATGAAATCTCTTGAATTGATGACTTTTTCTACCTTTTCTTATGTGCCGGTCCTCCGTCACTCCTCTCAGATTTGTCTTTTCCTACATCTGATGACGGTCTGACTTTTGATTGTCCTCCTGGAGGTTTTGCGGCTACCTTTTGTACCGGAGTTTTTGGTGCTCCCGGTTGTGCAGATGGTGGAGGAGGTGGTTGTTTACCTGGTGGTGGTGGAGGTGGTTGTTTACTCGGTGGTGGTGGAGGTTGTTGTGTGCTCGGTGGTGGTGGTGGAGGTGGTTGTGCACCTGCTGGTGGTTGAGGTGGTGCTGCACCTGCTGGTGGTTGTGCTCCATAACCAGGAGCGATATTTGGTTGAGCCACAGTAACCAATTGTTGAGTGCGGGACGCATTGATAAGTCCATTGCCATCACCCGTTACGACAAACGACCCATCATTAGGTGTGTCCCTCTGGCAGATACCGTGATAAATGATCATTCCGTCGCAAACGGGGCCCTGTGTGCCGGTCTGTACCGTCTCATACTTGAGCCAATCAATCTTCATGAACAACTCTCTTTTGTCGTCCCGCTTCGTGTCTAACGTGTGGCGGAACAGAACGTTGCTGTTGTTGTCAGTGAAGACAAGCATATGTAACTCTAAGAGTACATGAGCTCTGGGTGTGGGAGCGCTCTCAAAGTAGACTAGATAGCCGCCGTGCGACACCATAAGCGTGCGATGTGTGATATTGGGTCGAAAGTTGGGCACATCCTGAAAGTTGACGTTTCCATTGATGTCAACATTCATGACTCTCTGATTCTTTGGAACCCAACTATTGTTGTCGACGACTCGCGACGCAAACTTTAGGCCCAATTCGGTTCGATCAAAGGCGCAGGCGATCAATGCGTCCGGAACTTTGTCTTTGGATTTTTGGCCGACAAATACTTGCAGAATGAAACCACACGGCTGTTTCTGACCGACAAATTGTATTTCTTGACTTAGCGGCGATCCTATGATGATGTCATAGATCTGACGACTGTTGGGAGCTATGAGTTGTGTTAAATCGGTATTTTGTGGAACCTCTACAAACGGCAGGTTTTTCAACGTTACGCTCAAACTCTTGGCCTCGATATTTACTTTGTAATCCATTTTATTACCAACGGCTTGGGATCCGCCAGTAGAACTACCACCTGGACCTGTATAAACAGGATCTTCTCTTCGATCGGGCGACGCTGTTCTCTTTTGACCTTTTTGTTGACGAGGTCCACTTGGGTCCGTCGCCCTGTGTGCTGAAGCACCGGCAGCAGCACCAGCTCTATATGGTTGCCTTCCCTGTATCTGTCGCCAACGAGGCGGCGGCGGGGGAGGTTGGTAATGCTGCTGCGGCGGTTGCTGCCACTGCCACTGCTCCTGCGGTGTTTGCCACTGCTGTGGCGGCGGCTGCGGAAAATTTTGCACTGGTAAAACAGTTACAGGACCCGGCGGACGTTGCTCTGGGAAGAAAGGATTGACGATATCTTGAGCATAAACTGCAGGACCTGTTTGCTCAATGGCTCCAGAAGCTGTCTGTTGTATGGGAAACCCTACAGCTGTTGGCTGTTGTGGAGCATTTTGTGGCAGAATAACACTAAACCCCATCCAATAGGTATCGTGTTGTCTGTCGTAACGATAACCCTCTACCCGTACGGGAACCCGCTCTTCATTGAGATACATATCAATGAATGTGCCGTTACCCCTTGGTATTTCTCTAAATCTTTCTCTGCTGATCTGAATCTCATAAAAATTGTAACCCATGTTTGGACAGGGAACGATATGAGGAAACAAATTTTGAGTCCTGTAAATGGGTGGTCGGGCGCCTGCAGGGGGTCGCGGTTCCGGTGCTTGTTGTCGATAGTAAATTGTTTGCTCAGGACGGGGTTGACCATAAATCTGTTGATGGCGAACCTGTATTGGCTGACCCTGCTGTTGACCCTGCTGTTGACCCTGCTGTTGACCCTGCTGTTGTTGTCCTTGAACTCCCCTACCCTTAGGTTGTTGATAGGGTGTACTTTTGTGACTACTATAACTTTTTCCTTGTTTATCTGCCATCACTTTTTAAATATCTCTCACAGATGTTGTCTACTTTTTGTGTATTAATTGGTATCTTATTTTTGGTGTTATTGATAGCACTGATCTTTGAATATCTTTTTTTGTGGTCAATGTTTGCCTAACTGTTTATCTGTCGGTTTTTATTAAACTTTGATTTAAATTTTATTTTTGATAACCGATTTTTAAAAAAAATATATATATAACAATAATAATTTGTAATTTAATATTTAATTACATTGTTGTCTCGTTTTTTGTGTTAAATGTTTAATTGGTTTAATAAATAAATTTTGAATTTTTTTAAATATTTGAATTTTTTAGCGATTTATCATTATTTCTGTCTCTTAATTCACGAGAGATTAAATAATTTGAAATAATGAAAAGTATACAACAATTAAGCCGAATATGTGTTATACATAGTGTACTGTTTAATCTAATATTGATTACTTGATTATAAATTTATAATAATTTGTTGTGTGTTTAATAAAAAATTTTTTTTTTTAAAAACTTTAAGAGAGTATTGTCACTACAGTATAGTATAGTTCAGTAAAATAATATTGAATCCTTATTAGAGAGCGAAAAGTTTCGGACCCGTACCTGACCCGTACCTGACCCGTACCTGACCCGTACCTGACCCGTACCTGACCCGTACCTGACCCGTACCTGACCCGTACCTGATCTGATACCTAAAATCTCGGACTCGGACCTGACCTAACATAGGGTACAAATTTACCGGACCTGACCTGACTATGTCTGTCCGAAAATAATTTTATCAAAAAACAATTTTATTCATACTATACCCGCAACACATTTGTCTAAATTAACTTTAATTACTCGGTATTAACGATAACTGATTGTAGATCTAACTTAGATTCTAATAAAGTTAATATGTTATTATTTATTAGATCAAAACCATCATCTTTTGTAATATTTTATCTTTAATTTATACAAATATTTCATAAATAATAATTTAATAAATTTTGTGTTTGATTGTCATATTTTATAATAATTGTCGTTTAAATAATGAATAAAAAATTTTCGGACCTGACCTGACCTGACCAAAAAATTTTGGTGTTCGGACCCGTACCTGACCTGACCTGAGCCCTAACTTTTACCTGACCTGACCTGACCTGAAAAATCAGGTCAGTTTTCATTCTCTAATCCTTATATTAATATTATATAATACTGTATTATACATATGTATTACATATATGATACATATATTACTGTATGACTTAACCCACGCATACACTACACTGTATAGTCACTACAGTATAATATGTAATACATATTATGTATAATATTTACAGTAGTGTTGTGTGACGTCAATAGATATTACAATAATTATATGATTTTGTAAACACAAGTGTTTGTTGTGAAAGACATATGTGATTGTCATTTAAAGTGGTCAACAATACCGAGTGACTAATTAACCGATTGGACTCATTTGGTGATCAAAACACAAACACCACTTCATTGTCTCATTTGATATTAAAATCTAAATGGAGTCAGTGTTGAACAAAATCCGAGATACGGTGTCCTCGACAGTCATTCAGGTGACCAACAACTTGTCGACCGCATTGCCGGGGAATCCGTTGACCCGTGAGTACGATCTTAACCGACATGTGGCCTCTGCCGGTCCGCATATGTGTTTCAAGATCTACAATGCGGTCAAAAAGTCGACCAAAGAGGAAGCAGCTGTTTTTATGTGCGACAAGAAGACATTGGATCAGAGACTCAACAAAAAAGACAAAGAAGTGTTTCTGGATATCATACGGAAGGGCGTCAATCAACTGACACGACTCAGACATCCGTCACTGTTGACCATTCATCACAACATCGAAGAGAGTAGAGATTCAATAGCTTTTGCTACCGAACCGGTCAGCAATTGATACAATTAGTTATTAACAAAATAATAATAATATCGGTTTGTTTTGTTTAATACATTATTGTAGGTTATGTCCAGTTTGGCAAATCTATTGGGCAATCGGGACAACACACCCACACCATTGAGTCCAGAGATTGATAACTATGAACTATTTGACGTTGAAATCAAATATGGATTACTTAAGATATCTGAAGGACTGGCTTTTCTTCACAATGATTGCAAATTATTGCACAGAAATTTGAGTCCCGAGTCTATAGTTGTCAACCGAAACGGTGTTTGGAAAATAGCGGGCTTTGATTTCTGTGCGCAGGCCATCAATGCATCCGATATACCGCTTAAGTTTCCACACTTGAATGCTATCAATTATATGGACACTCCGGCTATTTGTCAACCAAATCCCGACTATATAGCTCCAGATTATTTGGACAGAGACGTGACCAGTATTGAAACCAATGCCGACATGTTTTCATTGGGATTACTAACCTATACATTGTATAATAAGGGCAAACCATTGCTGCCGAGTGGCGGTAATTTGAAATTAAGACACAGCGACCAATTCAAACGTCTTCCCGATTCGACGTTTAGCTGTATTCCCGATGATTCGCGAAGTCATATAAAGTTATTGCTTAGTTTAGACACCAGACTACGTCCCGATGCAATACAGTTCTCGAAACTACACTTTTTTGACGATATTTTAGTAAAAACATTACAATATTTGGACGCTTTATATCAATGGGATAATCTCCAAAAGAGTCAATTCTATAAGGGTTTGCCCGAAGTATTGTCACAAATGCCAAAAAGAGTTAAATTGAATCGTGTGGTCAGTAGTTTGGCCAAAGAGTACGTCAATCCAGATATGGTTCCATTTGTTTTGCCTAATATTCTGTTGATTGCTAAAGAAACAGATGATGAAGAGTTTCATAAGTGGATTATACCAGACTTGGTATCGGTGTTTAAGATGCGGGAACCCATACAAATCGGTATTATTTTGATGCAAAACATGGATTTTTTGGTTTCCAAGTTTAAACATAAACCCGAATCACTCCGCGAACACATACTTCCACTGGTATACCGTTGTCTAGAGTCAGACGCTCAACAAATACAGGAACTTTGTCTATCAGTTATACCATCGATGGCTCAACTAATAGACTACACATCAATGAAGAACTCGCTGTTACCGAAAATTAAGAATATTATATTAAATACCAAACTATTGTCAGTTCGGGTCAATGCTTTGGTTTGTTTGGGCAAAATCTTAGAGTATTTAGATAAATGGGTAGTTATTGATGAAGTGCTTCCCACTCTATCAAGTGTACCCTCTAGAGAACCGGCTGTAATAATGGCATCTATTGGTATGTCATTGAAATTATAGTTAAAACATTCTGATTAGAAAAAATAGTTTAAATTAAAATTATTTTTTTTATTTGACACCAAAAAATAGCTATAATTAAAATAACAATTAGTAGCAACAAATTAGGTCTGACTAAGGAAGTGATGGCTAATAAAGTTATACCATATTTAGCACCGCTTACTATTGAAAACGGTTTATCATTACAACAGGTATTGGGTGTGTCCTATGATTTTAGTATTCGTACATTAATTGTAATATTATTTATTTGATACTATAGTTTCAGACAATAATGTCATTGATTAGAGATATGTTATGTAAAGTGGAAGACGAACAACAAATAAAATTACAACAATTGAATTCAATTAAATCACAACAGGACTCACTGTTCAACAGTACTGTTAACATAACAAGAAAGTCACCCACTTTTGATAGTTTGTCAAGTTTTACAATTACAACTCCCGGTGCTATTGAACACAATTATAGCAATCGAAGTGCAACTGCGCTGTCATTAGAGGATAAGGAAAGACTAGCGAAACAAAATGAACAAAACGAAAGACTAAGTTCACAGTCGACTTTGGTTCCACAGACGGCCAAACCAGTGACAGAATCACATCAACCGAAAGACCTTACGTCGACTCTTATGAATTCAAATCTAACAAATCTGTCGCTTAACTCACGACCCCAACAGTCCTTTAATAATTCATTTACTAGTCCTATGAATAGTCAGTTCAGTACTTCATTTCCTATTCAGACCAATTCGGTTCAATTCCCGAATACTGTTACCAATGCTTTTCATGCGATGCCAATACAACAGCAAACTGTAAGAACCAATATGTCTTCATTTGATAATCTCGTGATTCCCGAACTTAAAAAACCAATGAATGCACAGTCAAGTCAACCGATGGGAACGATGACTATGAATCCAATCTCTAATTCAATGGCAAACAATTGGACCACAAATTCAAATTCATTTGTAACTAACAATACAACAAATTTGGGATTTAGTGGAAATCAATTGAATAGTAATACTTCATTTGGCGCATTCATTGACTCAAATTCAACATTAAATTCGTCACAAAAGACAACCAAACCGTTATCAAAGAGTGAATTAGAAGACTTCTTAGGCTAAATCAATGGATTAAATTGATATTAATTATTGTTTTAAATAATTTATTTTTAAAAAAGTTTTATAGCTAACACAAATCAAGTTAGTTATTTTGATGACATGAAATATTGCCGATAGTTTTACCGATATTTTAGATTAACTTATTTTAAAATTTATTTATAATTTTATTTTCTTATATTTATTATTATAATAATTCTTACATAACATTGTATAACATAATGTATATAAATATTTATATAATAACTTGTTTTATGAATTTTTGTTGATTTTTGTATTACATGAAAAATGTTTAAATTATTTAATGTATATTTTAAAATACATATCGCTTTTTATAATTAACAATTTCTATATTATAGTATTAAAAGTAAAATTGTTTAATTAATACATGATTTTTATCTGAAAAAAGACAATTTACATATAATAACAACAATAATAATTAGTAACAAAATCCAGTAATTAATAGTTACGTATTTAGAAAAATTATCGGCACTTTGTCGTAATCCTAATACACTTAATCAATGAAACGGTAGAGAAGCTGATTCATGAGGTTTGCTCACCAATGGATAGGCCAATGGGTTAATGAATTTATCTTTGAGCCATTTTATACCAGACAAATATAGCCAATATGACAACAAGTATGCCAATAGCCACTAACAATATGATAATCCAAGTGCTAACACCGGCACAACCCGATTCGTCCATTTCATTGCCGCAATTGTTATATCCGTTGCACTGAAGTTCCGGCCAAATACAGCGTCCATTGTCTCCGCAGTCAAATAGGTCGTCATCGCATGTCTCGCCCTTGTCTACGATAAATGACATGATTTATGAAAATAGACAAATCATTTAAACAAACTATTGTTTAGAAAAATGGCAACTAATTGAACACAAACTTTTGTCCACTTGTTTGTATGCTGTGAATGCAATTTCAAAGCCGGCCATATGGTTGGACCGGTTTACACTCGGTCGGAACTTCAAAAACATATTGCTTTCCTCATTGGTGGGAACGGCTACTATTTCTTTGAATTTATAGTCGTCACCCTTCGGGATCCATACACTCTCCGGATTAGTTCCGCTCTGGAAGGATAGGGTGTCGTTGTCGTGAAATGATACCTTCTTAACTGTCGAAACGATACCCATATTTGTGGGGGCGTATACCAGTATATGGCATTCAAAATCATTGCTAAGTTTAAGTCCCTCATAGAGGTATGCAGTGATAACTAAAACCGATTGATTGCCACTGGCTTTCAGGTGAATCCTATTTGGATTATGACTATATTGAAGTGATTTACAAAATGCAGGGATGAATGCTATATAGTCGACAACACAATAAATTTGAAAAATATTACAATTAATATATATTAATATAAATCAGTAAAATAAAAAAATATTAAAAATTAAAAAATACAATCAATTCTTTCAGATGTAGTAATCCGTGTTAAGCATATTAATATTGCACTTAAACTTATTAAAAACATTTTTATTTAAAAATTGCTAATTTTTTGGCCAACAACTAAAAAAATTATAACCTAAATATAATTATAATTATATAACAATAAAAATTTATCAATGAAAAATAACAGTTTGTTGGATATAACACAAAACAGTGGTTTTATTAATTATTTTTATAATGAGATGAAGTTATGAATAATAACTTTTTAATTAGCTTATAAAACGATAATATAGTAATGATAAAGTGTTTTTCAAAATAATCATTCAATCATTCAACAACATATCATTTAGAATAGAAAGATATAACAGATTTGGATACACTATGAAAATAGTAATAAACAGTTTTTAAATGTGATGGCAAATGTAATACATTTATAATAATAATAATAATATGCTTTGAAATGGGAATCATAAAAATTTCTTCAAACAGATTCACTTATAATCTCATAAAAACAGATATACACTGATATATACACTGCTCTGACTCTTTCAACAACAAAAAATTATTTGAATACAAATCTTAAAATTTGTGCTAATCTTGTCATAAAAGTAAGTGAATCTATAAGTATATTATATGTTTGTATTGTAGGGAATGTGAGAGCAAGCACTGAGAGGATGAGGAGGAGGCATACTTATACAGTAAGATATACAGGAGTGACATTGTATAGCAATTAATATACAGTTTTAACTGAAGAACAAGTAGTTTAGTTTAAAAATCAAATGTTATTAATAGTTACTCACTATTTGGCAATATCTTTGGTAATAGTGTTGTGCGCCTCTTGCGGTTGTTTGCATTCAAAGTAGTTGTATTACTATTGAAAAAGTTGTTTAATAGTTTGCCAGTGGTTTGTATGCGATGTTGGGCTGAGTCATGTATTGTCAGAGCTGGCGACGGTACCGATGTTGCTGGTGATGGTGTTTTTGGTGATAGAGATTGTGGCAATTGTTTAGTATAAGGAGCACAGGGAGCACAGTATGTTCTGACAATGATGTTTACAGTGGCTAAATATGGAATGGTTAGAGTGGAATAGTGCCAAACCGGTGCTTTCCTAACCACCAGCACCAGTAGGTCGGAGTCAAACATCTAAATCACAAACATATATACTGTTTTTAAGTATTTCATTAAAATGTATTTATTTTAAATGTAAGAGTGGTTACAAAATAAAACACATTTTTTTAACTCTCATGTGTTGTTTTTACTTATGAAATACTGGAAAAATTTGAAAAATATATTTTTATCTTTAAAATAAATAAAACATTAAAGCAAAATTTTTGTTTTTTAATTTAGTGATATAATAAGATTGTTTATTATAATTTTTTAAATAATATATAAATACATTAATTGTATCAAATCGTATTGTGTGCTATTTTTTTTGTTTTGTTTAACTAAACTTTGGTTTTTTTACTTAAGTTTCCTACGTATTACAATCATTTAGTAGTTATATTATAAGTTATAATCCAATGTAAAACGTATATCTCTATTATTTTTTCCGCAAAAAATAAGGTCAACCCAGTTATGGGTTGTTTACTGTTTGTCATGACTTTGTTGATTAGTATGGCTTTCAATAGTCGTATATTTATGTGTCTACTTATTAGTAAATTATTTACATAACGTCATTAAAATAAGAAATTGAATTAAAAAAATATTAATATATATATATATTATTATTATTTATTAAAATATTTGTTGATTTATCGATAGACAACTCTCTAATGGTTAGTAAAAATAAAACTATTTGAAGGTTTTACATAATATATAATTTTAAAAAACATAGAAAATATCCTTGAAATGATTGTTATGATACTTATTGAAGACTACTTATAAAAATTATTTTTATTTAGCAATTTATATTTAGTAACGATTTTGTTAATTCTATATAAAGTTATACATTTTCTTTCAATAAGATATTTAGTGTTAAATATAGCTATAAATTGAATGATTATTTGTATTTGTTTGTCATTTTGGTTTTAATTATTATTAAAACTAATTATTTTTATTTCCATATATGTAAAACAATATAACCTCAAACCAATATTAAACATATACGTCAAACAATTTGAAAATGCTATTATATTTTTTTATCAAATTTGAAAAACTTTTTATAATTAAACAATAATATAATTTTTCAAACAAATTAAGTTAACTGAAATTTATTAGTAAAATGATTTGAAAATAATAGTAATATTTATTAATAAAGTACTTATGTGTGTATTATTAATAAATATTTTTTAACTCTGCGTTCAATAACTTTTATACAATATTAAATTATAATGATAAATGTTTGATAATTAATTTAGGTATAAGATAATAAATTTAAGATATACTACACAATTATTATCTTATATCACAATTACTTATATTGTATTATATATCTATTATATTTAACGTAATCTATTATTAAAATTTGTAGTTTTATTGTTCACATTATTTAAACTTACATAACAATAGTTAAACATTAATTGACAAAATAATTTGTTATCAATCGATGAATATTTGAATTTTGAGGCAAACATTATGGAGTCATTGCACATGATTTTTAATTAATATTATTATTATTACTAGTGATTAAAAGCAATGCTAAACAACAAAACTTAATAAACAGATTGACCTTAACATTGATTTTCATTTTTTTTGTTTTTAAAACTATATTAAGAATATTCTGTTATTAAATATTTTTTTATATTTTTGATGTATAATATTATATTACAAAATACTGTAGTGATAGTAATGGACAACGATTTTGTTGAATGACACAAACAATGACTACGATTCATACAAATTCATGAATTATAAGCCATGAACTGACTCTCAAATATCTAACATTCCCTTTAACTAACTGTCCATTTTTTATTACAGCACCCGAATCGATGGTTGCTATTGGCAACCATTGAAATAGCATATTATCTGTAAATACATATTATGTTATCACATGTTTGGTATTGCAATGCATTGAATGCAACTTTGTTTTGATTGTTTGATTACTTTATTTATTTAATAAAATGTTTGATAAAATATCGATAATAATTATGTAATAGATTTAATAAAAAAACAATTATTACTTTATTTATTGTTAATTAATCCGCTATTAAGTTATTATTATTATTATTGTTATTATTATCAATGTTTTTGATACTACAATATAAATGTAAAATAATGAGTGATTTTAATAAAAAATATAATAAAATTGAATTGAATTGAATTGATATGAAAATAGTATTAAATATTGAATGCATTGAATGCATTGAATCCATTGAATCCATTGAATCCATTGAATCCATTGAATCCATTGAATCCATTGCACGAAATGAAAACGATTTGACACGAAGTGACAAAACAAGACATTAATGATGACATCCAACGATTCCCGTCTTATCTGTGATTCAAAGTTTTGGGTAATTTCTGCAGTCATTGATGTCAAGAGATTGTCAGTCATAACGATGTTCTTAACGATAGGACAATCAGGCGTTTTGGTGGACAACGACTCCCCGACTGACCGATTGTTTCCGACAGACTGTTCTTCTGGCGGTCGCGCCGTTGGTCTTGATTTTGTTGACGCCTTTTGACTTTCGCTATATTTGCAGCAAAATGACCACTCAGTCTATCCCATGGCGGGCCAGAAATGTTTGTGCGGCGGTCAGTGTCTCTCAATTGATTGAATGTTATATCATATATAATATGTTTTTAATCTATTAATTGTTACATCACTTAACCAACAGATCCTTAATTTAATCTTAATATCGATTAGCTTTTGGCATATGATTCGCTCGGTTTGGAAGGACGTCGACTTCTGGAGCACAGTATTTGAACCGTTTATCGACTTTATTGGTCTATCATTGGCCTACATATTGCTTATCATTTATCGCCGATACGGACGACGAATATCAATAGCGTTAGAAATGTTTTGGTTGACCACAAGTATAGTGTCTATAATACGTGTTTATCTCGAGTACATTCTCGATGATCAACACATAATCCACAGCCGACACCATATATCTTCACTTATCATATACTGTGTATACATATCGGTGGCAATCATACTGTTTCTATTGTCTTTGGTCACCGATGAGCCATCAGATACACATCCAATACTGTTAACTACCGGTAATCATAACATTCCTCACTACTGTCCTCTTGAAAATGAGTCGTTTGTGTCTCGGATAACATTTCTATGGATTGGAGCACTTCTTAGACGAGGCTTTAAAAGTAAAATTGGATTCAAAGATTTGTTCAGAATTTGTCACTCAATTAAAGCTAAATATATCACAAAAGAGTTTGTTAAATATGATTATGAATACAATCGTCGATTTATTAGTACAGAGAGTCGAGTTTATCGGAAACCCATACGCATACTACCGGTTCTGTGGACACTAAGCTATAAGCGTATCATATTTGCCAGTCTATTGATAATCATTTACATCCCAGCACTTTATGGACAGCCATATATGATGAATAAAATATTAGATTTTTTAAATAATCCAAATGAGCTCTTATGGCACGGAATAGTATTTTCGGTGATATACGCGGCACTGATTTCCATATCATTGGCCAGTCAGTTGCATATAGCATCCATCATTGAAAACGTTGCCATCAGATGTAAATCAGCGCTTATTTCAGCTGTTTATCGGAAAATATTTCGCTTAAGTTATGCCTCGAGAGGCAAATACACTTCGGGAGAGATAATCAACTTAATGGCTGGAGATTGTCAACAAGTTTTCGAGTTTATCAAGTTCTCCATGAATTTGTTGATTATACCGCTTAATGTAGGCATTGGTTTCTACTTTTTATGGCAATACCTGGCAATGGCATCGTTAGGTTTGGTAGCCGTTATGTTAATCGTTATTCCTATTAATGTTTTATTGGGACACAAGTTGAATGTCATACAAAAGAAACACATGACAATCAAAGACAAACGTTTGTCACAAATCAATCAAATAATAAACACAATTAAAGTGATTAAACTGAATGCTTGGGAAGAGTTTTTCATTAGTAAAGTCGTCCGTTTGAGAGACGAAGAACTTAGTGCCCAAAAACAGATGGCTATTATCTATGCATTCATTGTATTGCTTTGGTTGATGTCACCCGTCCTGACAGCCGGAGCCTGTTTTATGGTCTATGCCATCACTGAATATTCACATTTTGACACAAAAAGGATATTTGTATCGCTGGCCATAATGAATATACTGCAGAATCCAATGAATAACATTCCATCTCTTATCACTAAATTAATTGCTGCCATCGTTTCATTAAAAAGATTATCAAAGTTCTTGAGCGCAGAAGAGCTCAACGAGAAATCTGTGATAAGAAATAAAAAAGATAACACATCCAGTATTAACATACAAAATGCAACTTTTAGTTATGGTTTAAATCATATACCGGTTCTCAATGATCTAACTTTTGATGTTAAAAAAGGCCTTTTGGTTGCCATTATTGGTGAAGTGGGTGCCGGTAAATCATCTCTATTATCATCACTAGTCGGTGTTTTATATAAAATCAGTGGCAATATTAAAGTTAATGGAAGTATAGCATATGTACCGCAAAGAGCTTGGATTAGGAATACCTCAATAAAAAACAATATCCTCTTTACCTGTGATGAGGAAGAAATTCGTTATCAGGAAATTCTGTCTGCTTGTGCTCTTACGCCTGACTTAACTGTCTTACCTGCCGGTGACCAGACAGTTGTCGGCGAAGGAGGAGTTACTTTAAGTGGTGGACAGAGACAGCGAGTTAGTTTGGCGCGAGCTGTCTATCAAAACAGTGATATCTATTTATTGGACGATCCTCTGTCAGCTGTCGACGCACAAGTCGGCCATCAATTGTTTCACGAAGTGATTTCGTCCAAAGGCTTACTTCGTCATAAAACTCGTTTATTATGCACTCATAACTTAACCTATCTTTCAAATTGTGATCAAATTATAGTTTTACGTGACGGAGAAATTGTTGGTCAGGGAAACTACACTGAATTGTCTACATTGGGACTGTTGTCTCAAATTTCGTCATTAAAAGAGGAAAAATTAAACGAAAAGCCAACTAAAGGGAAGTCAAAAAAACAAAGCAAGAAATTTCAGAAAAAACAGAGAAATGTAACAAAATATAATAATGAAGAGCAAGCAATTGAAACAATGTCTTCTCGTAATGATTTAGTTGATACTGAAGCTGAAGATAACAATCATAGAGAAGACAGTAAACCAGATATTAAAAGTGATGAAGAAGCTGTCTATTTTGGAGCTGTTCTCTGGAAAGATTATTTTACATATATAGCCAGTTTAGGATTTGTATTGTTTTTTATGATAATATTGTTTAGATTTGGATCAAATGGTAGCAATTTTACTAATAAATATTGGTTATCTATTTGGACCAACAATACAAAAAATGCCGATTATAGAGATCATAAATTTAATTTTATAATTTATGGTTCACTACTGGCTTTCGAAGGGGTATTCATTTTATTAGGAAATATAGTGTTATTTGTGGCCACAATTAAAGCCTCCCGAAAGCTACATCTGAAGGCTTTCTATGGTATAATGCGATCTCCATTAGCATTCTTCGACAGAACACCAATGGGTCGACTCATGAATCGGTTTAGTCGTGATATTAGATGTATTGACCAAATAATACCTGATTTAATCATATCATATATCGACGCCATAACTCTTTTTATAATATCATATGGGCTTATAGTTTATACTAACATGTATTTAGCAATAGGATTGTTGGCTGTTATCGTATTGTTTTATATGATTTATGTAATTAATTTTAACAGTTTTGGGAATATTTATAAATTATTTATATATATTTTTTTGCTTTTTCAGAGGTTTTATGTACAAACTTCACGCCAAATGAAGAGACTTGAGGCCATCAGTAATAGCCCCCTTCAAAATCATTTCTGTGAGACCATCTCTGGCACTGATAGTATCAGAGCTTATGATGTTATAAGAGTTTTTGTAAATGAATTGAACAAAGCGGTCGATTTATGTCTCAATTGTTATTATCACATAATATCATTGAACTATTGGCTTAAAATTTGGTGCACAATATTTGGATCCATATATACAATGATTATATCAATATTTATTGTATGGTTTAGACATGATATACCATTGAGTTTGGCCGCATTGCTATTGGTTTATAGTGTTAGCTCTATCGGTGACACTGCATATATCATTAAAGTCATGGCTGACTTAGAAACTAATATGATTTCAGTAGAAAGACTTAGAGAGTTATGTCAATTAATTCCGGAAAAGAGTTGGACAGCTCTGATACATGAGAGGTCACCGCCCAAAGATTGGCCAAGAAATGGTTGCATTGAATTTAAGAGATTTTCAACTGCCTATGGATCAGATAACAGACCAGTTCTTAAGGATATCACTTGTCGTATAAATGCTGGCGAAAAGGTGGCAATTATTGGCAGAACAGGCGCAGGAAAGACATCGCTAGCACTGTCATTGTTTCGCATTATTGAACCGATTTGCGGACAAATTTTAATTGATGGCATAGATATTACTCGAATTGGTTTACAGAAATTAAGATCACGGTTGGCAATCATTCCTCAGGAGTCAATACTATTTGCTGATACATTGCGAAAAAATTTGGATCCATTGAGTTTATATTCTGATACCCGATTGTGGGCCATATTAGATGTCATTAATTTGACTGAATTTGTTGACACATTGCCCGATAAATTAAACTTTGAAGTGACTGAAAAGGGCGATAATTTGAGTGCCGGTCAAAGACAACTTATATGTTTGGCCAGAGCTTTGTTGCGAAAGCCAAAGATATTGGTTATGGACGAAGCCATGAGTTGTTGTGATATAGAAACGGATCAATTGATTAGGAAAGTAATTTGGGAACAGTTGGCTGATAGTACTGTTGTTTCAATAGTACACCGATTGAACACAATAACCGATTTCGACAAAGTATTGGTTTTTGATTTCGGTTCACTTATCACATGTGATTCACCAAATAATTTGCTACTAAATACTGACTCAATCTTCCATAGTATTGCAAAAGAGACTCAAATTATTTAAAAAATATTTCATTGCAATAATTTTATAATTTTTTATTATATATACAAAAGTAATTTTCAAATATTATAATAATTAGGAAATAAATTTCATCTTTAATAATTACGGTACTATAAAAAAAAAATATTTATGGATAATGTTTAAACAAGATTTCCTAAAATTTTGCTAATTGTTTAACAATCAATTTTTGTTGTTGACTTTTTATATGTTTATAAAATGTTTGATTATTGAATTTTTGTGATTATGGTAGTGTAAAAAAATTTATAAATGTTGATAAACATAACAGTTATTTCAATAAATTATTTATTGAAATTTTTTACTAATATATTGCTAAAATTATTGACAGCCATAATTTGATAATTAAAAAATAATTGAAGCTATTTTAAATAAATCAGTGTTTATCTGTTATTTATAATAATTGTCAATAACTTTAATTTAAATACAAAATATTGATTGAAAGTATATGTTATAACATACTTTATAATAAATTAACAAATTCAATAATTAATATACTGTATAAAATAATAAATTATTTTTTATATACAATATACTGTACAATATAGATAAAATAATCTATATGTGGTTATGTTGACATATAAATTTATTTTTATATAAGTACTGTATAACTACTGTAGTATTCATATTATGGATACAATGTTTTTATAATAAAAATTTGATTGTTAAATAACAAATTCAAAACAAACTAAATGATTGATGATATTATAAGATTTAAACACTAATAAGTTTTATATATAGATTCAGTTTTCTAGACTAACAAATGAGAAAATATAATATAACTGTATTTTGATAGACAATATCTGTACATTAATGAGTGGCTAAATCTTAAAAATAAATGATTAATTTATATTTTATATAACATCAGAAATAATTTATTTATATCATTAAAGCCTTTCAATGTTATTATTTTTACATACATTCACTGATTCAATTCATTTTAAATCAAGTTTTTTTTATTATAAGCATAACATTTTTTTGTATTTCTCAATTCATTGATTTTCTATGTATTATATTGTTTGCGTATAGTTTTTATTCATGACTGTCCCATATGTCAACTCCAACTATAATACTGTATCATTAGATATATAATCTTTTCAACGACAATACAGAATAATAATTTCATTACTCAGGACATCAACCGGAAATACAATACATTTTAATGAATCTTATTTTTATTATTTTCAATCATAAATACATTATAACAGCGGGATATCCACTATATTCACAGTCATTTATATTTCTTTAGGTAATTATGATACCAAAAAAAAAGATTTATATTAAATCAAAAATCATTGTTAAAAATGGCAAAAACTATTATTCAGTTTATACAATGGTATAGCATTGAAAAGTTATTAAATAAAATTTTTGTTATAAATAACTGTTTTCTATTTGTGTGGGTATTAAGGAAACATTTGATGACACAATCTTTATTATGATTATTATTATTATTATTATTATTAAAGAAAAGGGAGAAAACTATAATAATTGATAATAATTTTTTTTGTATACAAGTTTTATGTTGAAAATAGGTTTCAATAACCAGAAGAAAAAAAATATATGAAAGAAATCAAAGAAATTATTCTGCATTTTATTTTTTTCAAAAAAATAAAAAATGAGCGAAGATTCACATGAAATGACCAAAAATTTTATGGCCTAAAGAATATTCTGTTTATGGATCCGATTCTCGTCTTTATTCTCGTTTATTCTTAAATTTTGATTTTTACCATTCATTCAATATATACAATATATAAGACATATATTATTCTTTCATTTCTATTCTTTTTTCATGCATTTCTTCAACATTTTACTCGACTTTATTTCATACAAATCTTTCTCTCATTCGTATATTGTATTGAATTTTGTTGCCTTTAGATATGTTTTTTGAGGCAATTTGTTGTTGTCCTCACAGAAGCTAACATTTTTATTCAATTTATTTCGTTTTTATCTGCATATATGTATTGTTCACTTACTCTCTCTCTCTCTCTCTCTCTCTCTCTCTCTCTCTCTCTCTCTCTCTCTCTCTCTCACATACACATACACATATTATAAAACTGTAAATATTTATATATACAGTATATAATATTATATATAAATAAATGTCTATAAAATAAAAATTATTTTTAATTTTATATGGACTTTGTTTTATGTGTTAAACATTTAGAAACATTTTATAAGTTTTGTAATATTATACACAACATTAAACTGAATTTAAATTTCTCTCTCAATTAATCAATAAATCAAATATATTGATGTCATTTATGAAATTATTACTATATTTATATTTTAATATTATGTAATTAATAACATTTATGATTTAAACTTATTACATTGTATTTTAAAGAATTACATAATAATAATAATTTTTGTTTAAATAATTTTACAATTCATTTATAATTTAATTAACTTGAATCAACACAATAATTAATACTTACAAAAATTATATTATTATGCTTATAAAAAAATTGCTTATTTTTATGAAAAATTAACTCAATGATTTAATTAAATATATATTTTCAAAATTATCTTTTATAGTATAACAATGTTGCGCTCTTTTTAAAAAAATCATTATTATTAATTAACAAAATTTGTATTATTTTTCATAAAAACTTTAACGGATTAATTATGTTTTTACATAATAAAAGTGTAGAAATATATTAAATATAATGATAAGAATAGCATTTATTTTTTTACAACATTAATGAAAGTCATTAAAACAATTAATTACAAGTCTTTTGTTGTCAAAATTAATAACATTTAATTCAATTGTATTTTAGTTTATAAAGAAAAAACAATTTGTTATTTTAAATATTCAGAAATACCTGAACATTAATTTAATTAAATAAATTATAATATGATTTTTATTTTTGAAGTGGATATAATTGAAAAAAATAATATAAAATATGTTTAATATATTGCAAATGAGTTTAAACATGTACTCTATATTTATATTGTTTTTTAATCTTAAAAATAGTTTTTAAATATAATAAATGATTTTCTTTAAGATATTTACATCTACTAAAACATATAATTTAAAATAAATAGAATTTTTTTTGAAAACAAAGTAAAATAGGTTTTAAAACAAATAATGAGTTAAATAGTATTAAAAATACTGAATATACAAAATTTTCATTATATTTATCTATAAATTTTATGGTAAAGAGTATATTATTTGCATAAAACTTGATTATTAAATTAGAAATTCAAATTCAAATTTTCTTTAGTTTTTTTTACTGCTTAAATGTTTGCTTTACGTAAAAATAGTGCAAAAATATTAAATAATTTTTGCACAAACAATAAAATGTATATAAAAATTGGTATAAAATGTACAAAACTTTATGTAAATATTAAATATTAAAACTTTATGCAAAATATTAAATCAATAATTGTACTAAAATTTTATCGAGTTAGTTATTTTGCATGAACTTAAAAACTACAAATTTAATCAATTTATTATATTTTTATCCTTATTATAATATATATATATATTTCCATATAATGAGATAATGATAAATAAATGCCATTAACGTAAAAGACTAATATAAAATTTATATATAACAAAGTTATGTATATAATACCTAATGTTTATTACAAATTCAAAGTAATTGAACTAAAAAATAAAGTGAAATACTATATTAGACACTAAATTGCACGATATCTTAGATAATTTTACACTAAATTTGTTGTTATATTTATCTGAATGCTATGGATAGTGATTATGAAATCACATAATTGGATATAAATCAGTAAAAACTGTATTTTCCACGACATTAACGATTATCTTTATTATATAATGAACTCTATAAAACAATATAAATAAAACTATTAAACAAAATTCTAATAATTTAAGTAATAAAAACAATAAATTATATTTATATAAATAACAAATTTATTAATAATAAACATTTATTTAGGTCTATTATTGCCTTCAAAATAAGTTAAAACATAATGTAATAAAAATAAATTAAAGATCTTTATAATTTAGAAGAAAATAGTAATGAAAACTAAATGTTTGAATGACTGACATAAATACAGCCAATTTGTTGGCATTTGGATCACAAATATTATTTGTCTTCAAATACAAACAAATACAGATTGTTATCGCGTTTAATGTTATATTAAATTAAACCATCAATTTATGGCTCAGTTCTCTGGTCTGCAAACACATCGGCTTTTTTTTGTCTGTCAATACATGCCTTTACTCCGCCAGTCATGTATTGACAATCAATGGATAGTGTGTTAGGCTATCAATGAATTTGTTTGGTTATCCTATCGTTTCATTTAACGCGTGAATTCATCTAAAATTGATTAGCTAGGTGAATTATAAATTGATCTATATACTGTAGATACACTATATTCAATACACTTTATATACTGATTTATATATATTGCTAACAATTGGATTTACAAATTTATTTGAAATAAACATTTTATTAGTCAATATTGTATGTATAGTATACGGTAACATAGAAAACAAATATTTCTATTAACAGATAAAAAAAGATATTGAGTTTTAGTGAAATCAATAAGTTTTTTATTTATATAAATTCCATAAATGTATAGATTTTTTGCAACAATTTTTGTGCTGAGTTTTTAAGTCATACAAATAAATCACATATTCTTTGTTTTATATATATATATATAATATTTCACTTTTTTGTTTTGTTTATTTATCTTAAAGTCTCAAATTGTAAGGATATATTTATATAACTATAGTTGTAGTGTATATTGTATAGCAATGTTAAAGTCAGTGCAAAATCTGATGATAAAAGACTGGTTACAATCAATTTAAAATTACAATGTTATTCATCACCAGATACTCACTCTGTATGTGTGTGTGAATGAGTCAGTAGTGAGAGAGAGAGAGAGAGAGAGAGAGAGAGAGAGAGAGAGAGAGAGAGAGAGAGAGAGACTAAACTTTGGGTATCATTTGTTATCTAAAGAATTTCTGTATTTCATATATTCCGACACTTTTAAGAAAAGAGAAAAATTGTTTT